CTGGGCATAGTCGGCCAAATGGTGTTAAAAAAAAGGATAGAACTTTCTTTATGTATGCAACAACAGCAGCAAGAATACTCATCGCAAAGTATTGGAAGACACAAGAACTCCCCACGCTGGAGGAATGGCAGATGAAATTAATGGACTATATGGAACTGGCGGAAATGACTGGTAGAATCCGTGACCAGGGAGAAGAGTCGGTGGAGGAAGATTGGAAGAAATTCAAAGACTATCTTCAGAAACATTGTAAAATTAAAGAATTAGAGTGATGTTGGACTGAAAATAAGTGGTTTCCAGCTGTACAGGTTAAAGTTAAATGACAGACTAAGATTAAGATTAGGATTAAAAATGTTTAAAGAAATGGAAATCTGACAATTAAGAGGGAAAATTTTAATGTTTTATTATATTAAGATTAAAGATCGGGTTTAAAGAAATTGAAGATATATATTACAATATTATATTAAAGTTAAGATTGGGATTAAAAAAAGTTGAAAAAGAAATAGCTGGACAAATAATTTGGACTGGAATACAAAAGAGGGAGGTATGAGGAAGTCCAGAAAATAAGTAAACTAAAAAAACGGAAATGGAAAAGAGATATTGTTTTTAATTGTTATGTTTTTTGTTTTTTATTGTTGAATTGTGTTCCTTTTTTGTGTGTTCTTGTTACCTTTTTTTCTTTCTTTTGAGATATGTATTGTGTATGTTTTTCTTTTCTTCCTTTGTTGTTCAAAACTTAAATAAAAATTATTAAAAATAAAAAAAAAGAAAGAAACATGGGGAGCCCAGAGCTGTGAGTTTTAGCTGGGGCTCAGGCCAACTGCCAGGAAGACTTGACTGCTGCCATCATCTCTGTCACAGAAAGATAGCTATGTTTTTGAACACATGCACTCTTGTAACTGGCCACAAGAGTAAAATGAAACAGCAATTTAAAATTCTAACGGTTGTGTGCCTAGCGGTTAATTTGAGAACAAAGAATGTTTCTGTATGAGCGATGTTAGCTGAATGACAGTTCTGTCAGCATTGTCTAGAGAGAAAAAATGAAGTCATGGCTTGGGTATCTTTTAGGAACAAGGTTTCAAGAATATACGAATCTAGAGGTGGGGAATTGTTTTTGCTTTTTTAAAAGATTTTTGGTGGTTTGAAAGAGAGACTCTATTTCCCACAGTGTACACACCCATGTTTCTTTTGCCCCACTGTCACTGTTTCATCAAATAGATGTGGAGGGTTTAAAGGGGGCGGGGAAATGTACAAAAAAACCCTGTAAAACCTGATTACCAAGGTGAGGGTGGGAGGAATGTACAGTATATCTGAAGGCAGCCCTGTTTAGGGAAGTTTTTAATGACTGATGTTTTAATGTACTTTTAATCTTTGTTGGAAGCCGCCCAGAGTGTCTGAGGAAACCCAGCCAGATGGGTGGGGTACAAATAAATTACTATTACTATTACTATTATTATTATTAATTCCAAGCATATATTCCTCTTTCAAACCTCTTTCAACTGCTTTTAAAAAGATCTGCATCCAACCTACTCCACAGACCAAATTTAACAACTGACAAATTAGGATCATTTCTCTCTTTCTCTCTACTCTTAAGACTGCTCAGAATTTTTGCAAGGCAAATAACAGGTAAGGTGAAACAAAGTTTTATACTGAATTAGCTACTCTAGAAATGACTTTGAAAGGCAGATAGGCAGGCAGGGGGACACACTGACAGATCTGCTTGCATGCCAGTTCTCTGTGCTTCTCTTCAGCCACATGACGAGGCAGGATGCACATTTGCATTCAGTCCCTGACCCAAACTTCCAATTGCTGGAGAGGGAAAGAAGTCAGGACAATTACATTCATTTGTCTGACTTGCTTTTACTGAAATCATTCAGACAAGGAAAATTGCATTACGTTGATTCTCTAAGGTATAATTTAGGCATGAGATGTTTACAATCAGGCCTCATTTGCATTAGTACAGAGGGAGGAAATATGGGTTTCTGTGGGATATTTCAATTGGTGGGTAATTTGCCAGTCTAAACACTAATGTTTACTTACATTGCTGCACTTAAGCAAATGATGGGCCAGATCCTGCATGTGTGAGTGAGTGCATGATTGAACAATGCCCATTAACCTTTGGGGTGGGGGAATAAAATAGTTTGCTGCAGAAAATAGTTTACTATGGAGGATATTTGTTGTGACAAACTGTTTACAAATGTCTAGGTTGAGCAGGTAACACAGAAGCATGTCTACACAGGCAGGCAGCAGTCAATTCCCAAAGGAGCATCACCACCAAGGAAACAGTTGCACCCCAGCACACACTCTGCACTGTATGTTTAAAACAGTCATGGCTTCCCTCAAAGAATCCTAAGGACTGTAGTTTATTGAGGGTGCTGAGAGTTGTTTGGAGGCCCCATGTCCCAGAGCTACAATTCCCAGAGTGGTTTAACAGTCATATCACCTTCCCAGGGAACTCTAGGAGCAGATGGGCCACACACAGAGCCTGGTTGCGTTTTCCCAGCCAATTCACACACACAAGATTGCCCTTTCCTGGCCAAATTCACATATTTTTGGCACAAGTTTTTTTTAATCATTTTGGACTAGATGGTTTCCCAGCACCTTCTCCCACTCCAGATATTAGACAATAACTGAGCTGCTGGTGGGGCAATCATGGCCATTTTATTAAATACAAGCTGTTTATAATCAGCTGGCAGATTTTACAAAAGCCAATGGAGTAAGGGTGATAGCTTCACTTGGTCATGCAGAATAGCAGAATAGTGATGGCCTAAATGCCCACATCCCCATTAAACAGCAGACTGGACTGATATCTGTGAACCACCCTGAGATCTTATGATGAAGGGCGGTATACAAATCTAATAAATAAAATCATCATCATCATCTCATCAGACCTCTCAAGTGCACATTGTCAAATCTAGTTGAAGAGAAAATTGTGGGAGAGAGAGAGATGGAGAGCAGGAAAAGAACGCCAGATATTAAGAGGCTTTTTTTTATATATATATAAGATACAGTGGTGCCTCGCAAGACGAAAAGAATCCGTTCTGGGAGTCTCTTCGTCTAGCGGTTTTTTCGTCTTGCGAAGCAAGCCCATTGATGGGATTAGCGGATTAGCGCTATTAGCGCTATTAGCGGCTTTTAGTGGCTTTTAGCAGCTTATCAGCTTATCGGATAAGCAGATAAGCGGCTTAGCGACTTAGAAAAAGAGGGGGAAAAGGAAAAAAAAACCAGGAACTCGCAAGACATTTTCGTCTTGCGAAGCAAGCCCATAGCAGATTCGTTTTGCGAGGCACCTCCAAAACGGAAAACTCTTTCGTCTAGCGAGTTTTCCGTCTTGCGAGGCATTCGTCTTGCGGGGCATCACTGTATTTATTAAGGTTTTTTGAAATATTACAGTGAAAATGAAAAAGAAAAAAGAAAAATACAAAATAAAAACAGTTAAAAACACACATATTTTCTATTACTTATTTTCCTTTAGCTTGTTTCCCGGACCTCTTCGTACCTCCCTTTTTTGTATTCCACTTCAATTTATTGGTTCAGCAAATCCTTACCATTAGATTTTAACCCATTTATAACCCTTTTTCATATTCTCTTAGAACATTACAGCTGGAAACCGCTTAATTACTATCCAACATCATTCTATCATTCATTAATTTTACAATATTTCTGTAAATAGTCTTTAAATTTCTTCCAATCTTCTTCCACCGACTCTTCTCCCTGGTCTCGGATTCTGCCAGCCATTATTAAGAGGCTTTTTAGACCCACTTACACAATTATTGCTTATGTGCACAGGGGCTTGGAACGTAACCCGCACATAAGTACGGGGGTCCCTGTTCTTGAGAATTGCATTTAAGCCTCGTGACTGCAACTCAGTGGAAACCACACATTGTGCATGCTTCCCCACCGTAACATCTCGGTTAACCCCCGAGTGAAGCATATCAGAGTGTGGGTGTCCCGCTAGACAGGAGGAAACCTTTCTTTTCGGATGTTTGGGTGGAAAATACGGTGGCTAGATGTTGGGCCACTTAGGGAAGCATTTCTCAAACTGCTCTGTGGAGTCTTTGGAGTTCTATGAAGGAGCCCCAGGGGTTCCCACAAAGAAGAAAAATGAAATGGTGGGCAAGTGTGTGCAATGCGTTCTTTCCATTGAATTGCAGTCATGAGGCTGAAATGCACTGCTCAAGCAATTGTCCTGACTTCTCCTCCATTCCTTCCCTTGATGCCCTTTCCAAGGGTTAAATCAATATCAGCTGGTGGGGTGAGCATGTTGGCACAGCCTACCTGGCTTCTAAATGCTGTGCATCACTGCCAGTTACTGTCAGGAGGATGGGCGAGGCAGCAGGGAGTTTGGGGTGGTGAGGATGCAACAGTGGAGCCAATCCAACTCTTCGGATGCTCCCTTTTCAGTATGTGGCAGTGACGTGTGGCTTTGAGGAGCCAGGTGAGCAACGCAGCCTTGCCCTTGCTGACCCACTACTGGGTTAAATGTGCTGTTCAAATGTGCATTTGTCATGGGAATACCTCACCCCCTCTTAGCTTCTCCTTTCATGCTAGTGGAGAGATAAGAACTCTCTCTGATAAGAGCTGGAGCCTTAAGGGTGACAAACAAGGTGAAGGCTTCTCCCATCCAGAGATCGACAGCAAAGTTTTTCAAAGTCTCAAAGTTGTTGTTTTTAATAGCTGGCACTTTGTCTAGCTCTCCTTTACAGGCTCCCCCAATAATTGACACTTCCGGCTTTTAAAAAATAAATAATTTTGAGTTTGTTACAGCAAGTCCTGGAGTTATTTAAAACAAATATGCAGCAGTGATCCTGGGAATTTGAGAGGAGGAGGATAGAAAGGATTTGGAAATGATTACCAGCTTGCAAATGTCCACAATTCTGCTTGGGGCCTGCAATTTAAACAAGCCATGCAGTCTATGGGTCAAACTGGAAAGGGATGTTTGATGACTTACTCAGGGTTGTACATCAGAAACCAGAATAAAATAAAATAAATCAAGTGCAGCCCCGAATCACTGAGGTATTTTATTCAGTTGCACATTCCTTCCCATTGATCCAAGATCAACAGGTTGATATCACTGTAAAGACTTTACAGGTTTTTAAGACAAAGAGAGCAGACAAAGAGAAACATATTATTATTTGCCAATATTCTTTACTGCTTTCAAGGAGTTAACTTCTTAGCTCTCTCTCGACTTTTTTCCTTACTTCCTCTTCTCAAGTTCTTGAGCATCATGGGGAAAGACAGGAAGCGTCCCAGAACTCTGAGGCATTCAAATTTGCTCCATCACTTGCTGTGGCCAAAGGAGAAAAATAGAATTACACTCTAAGTAGCAAGGCCATCAGAGAAGCCTCTTGAACAGCACTAGGTTGGGGCAGATTGTGAGACATAAAAGCTTCCAAATGAGGCTTCCTGAGGCCACTTCAACTGCTGCTACATTCCCTCCTCCTCCTGTTATAGATTTGCATCACCTCTACCTCACCAGAGCCATCGCAGCCAGTTTTGTCATGCTTCAGTTGCCCCCTGACTTGGCACAGTCTGGATGGATCTGACAGAGAGAGGTAGGAAGAGGGAAAGGGTAGACAGCACACAGTTGTAGGTTACAGCAGAAGGTGGCTGAGGCCTCAAAACATCGAAGACTCCTGGTTTAATCAACAGTGACATGAATGAGCCCAACAGAGCAACGTGGTAGGCAATGACTGTGACAAAACAGAAGGAATCTGATGAGAGTTGACTGAAGTTGGAAAGTTTGGAAAGGGAACACAGCTAAAACGGTAAAGCAAAACCACCTAGAGGCACCCCTGAAGGAAGGAAGCACTAGAATCTCAGCGGAATGAAGCTGGCCCTGATGCAAGCATGTTCTTGGTGACAGAATGCAAAGAGAACAGGATGAGAGATAAGATCTTGGGGACACCATGGGTCAGATCCAGGACTTTGGAAATATTGACACCTTTTTCAGTTCATGGCTCCATCTGCAACAGTTCTAATTTATGCCAGCTGCCAAGGTCTGTGGTGATGTTGACACTTCTCTGCTGGGACCTGACCTGAGGCCACTAACTAATATTTCATCAGTGGGATTTGGGCTGTAGCAGGTTTTGGTCTTTCTCAAGAAGGCTTTTCTTGAGAAGGAAGGATCACTGAGGTGTGGGAAAGAGACTCCAGGGCTCCTCGTTTGCCTGCACAGCCGGCCACCTAAATGTGTGTGTTTTCATAAGATAACCTCGAACACTCATTCTCATCTTTGCAGAATGTCTAGCATGACAGAAACATTAGTCAACATTAGAACAATGAGTTCAAACTGAAAAGGCCAAGGGAAGTTTTCCATGGTGGTGAAGAGAAGCCTGGTGCATATGGGTTGTTATAGCAGACTTCACTGGCCTGATGTCCTCATACAACTCTTATCAGAGCTGGATGGGAGTTGTTATTCAAAACATACAGAGCCCACCATGTTGGTGAAGACCGTGGCACAGGATTTATTTTTTTTAATCGCATCGAATACCTGAAATTGTGCAGCCATATTTCTGCAACATCTCCCTTAGGAAACAGCTCCACTGTTTTAGGAATGCTCTTAGACTATGTCTGTTATGTCCAGGAGTGCTTTGCATAGCTTTGGCAGATGCACCAACTCTGGTGTTTGCTGGTCATGGGTTATTATGCATACTTTGGTCACCTCCAGGATGCACTGTTTGTGGGGCTACCTTTGAAAAGTGTCCCAAGACTTCAGTTGATATCTAATGTGACCACTAGGTTACTAACTGGAGCTTGTCTGTTTGTGCATTTAATAACTTTGTTTTATCAGCTCCACTGGCTTCCAGTTTGTTTCTAAGTGCTGGTTTTAGCCTTAAAGTTTTGAAAGTTTGGGACCTAGATACCCGAAGGACGACCTCGACACAGTACACACCAGTGTTGAAGGCAGTCCCTGATGTAGGCCCCATCTGCATGTTGGAGGGCACAAGGAAAAGGATCTTTTCTGTGGTAGCACCAGGGTCATGGGACATTTTGCCCAAGGAAGTTTTACAAGCCCTTGCCCAGGCTCCAGTTACAAACTTTTAAATGATTATTTAGGATCACTTTCCAACAACTTGTTGCTTCTTGGTGGCCTGATGTTGTCATTTTTTAAAGTACCGTACAAGATTTTTGCTGCTCATTTTTCTGTGTCTTGCTGGTTTGTTTGTTTTATTGCTGTTTTAAGTTTATGTTTCTAATGGAATTTGTTAGCCGTCTTCTTGGCTCCAGCGAGGAGCTGAGAGGCAGGATAGAGATGTTTTTGATAAATAACAAATAAATAAATAATGTGAGAAGGAAGTAGCAAGCCTGTTCAAAAAGCAGTACTTTCCTTCCTCCTGCTCCACCTACCCAGTCATTAGTACTCTAAAAAAATAATATGATGCAGGATTTTGCTCGTTTCTGTTTTCCCACCCACCCTTCCATTCAAGCAGTTCATCAGAAAATACGCTGTAGATTCAGAACATCAGCACAGTTATAAAACATGTGTTTGTGTTCCCAGAAAGAAAACTCTTGTTGTAACGTAAAAGAATGTGCTTCAAAAGTACTGCACAGTGCGAATGCAGACTCAGTTTAAATGTGAAGCTGGCTGTGTAAACGACAACAGGCCCTTACCCTTCAGGGACGGTTTCTTGCAACTGGGTAACTGCACCTAGTGACTGAAATCCATTTTAACTGATTTTAATTATGAATTATGAATTTTGAACTGCTATAACCCACCCTGGGACCTGCAGGTTAAGGGTGAGTGATGATGATGACGATGATGATATAAAATAATACTTTCCAGCATATGCAACCACTCAGGCATATTCCCAACCATGGATCTCTGTTGTGATAACCCTACTTTTGCAACCACCTGTGACCCAGTTTAGATGTGATATGGAACCTGTCAGTTTAGGGAGGTTTTGTTTTGTTTTTTAACACAGCCATGTCTCAAGTGACCAACTGAGGCGAGCACTTTTGGATCTGGGACAGGATATTACGAAGTCATTTTTTCAGAGCTTTTTAGTCACTGCCCTTCCTGAGCACCTGGAAAATGCTCTACTGTAGTGGAGCATATTCACTTCACAAAACACAATATTTTGAGTGACTCTAAGATTCCAAGAAAACAAGCTGTTTACTTCCAGCTTAATGTATTGTTTCATGCTCTGGGCTTACTTCCCCCCCTACACTGATAGTCAAAACAGCTGCAACATTCGGCCAGCCATTAGCACTGTTTATTAGAACAAATGGTTGTCAGTTGCTGTTAATTAAGTGGCAAGTTCAGGTATGAGGCATCAGTGTTTTGCTTTTGCTTTCACCACGATCAAATCTGAAAGGGCAGGCAGGCAGGCACCTTTCAGAAGATAGGTCATGTGTTTTCTTTTTGCCACTTGCAGCAACAGTGAATAATGGAGCACAAGATACGCTTGATCTTGGCACACAGCCACTTCAGAAACGCTTGGATGTTTATTGCTCTGTCTGCTGAAAGATCCTTACAACCACTTCATAAAACCATGGCAATGGAAATGCTTGTATTGACAGAGGCCTCTTGGGTTTTTGCACAGAATTCAAAAGAGCTGCCTCATTCAAATTCACTGCCTCATGGCCAGACTAAATATGCATGGCTTCAACTGAAAAGGACTCCTCTCTGTTACATCTAGGAGAACTCACCTTTCGTGGTTGTGATGTCTCAAAGTTGCTCTGCTCACGCTCCATGTCATGGGGAAATTATCATGATGTCAAAACACAAAATAGGTTCTGGTAGATGTTACAGAGGGGAAGAGAGGAGCTAGATGTACACCTATCATTTTTACTGGCCGCCAGCTGTTTGTCCTGACATCCATCTTGACTTTCATCATCATCATCTGGCCATGATAGCATTATGTAGAGGAAAGCAGATTGAAAGTGATGTAAAAATTAGAGTTTGGCTTTTGCTGGTCAACTCCCCATGGGACTCTGAGCCCCCCAAGTCCATGATCAGTCATAGAAGAATGGGTGGAGGCAGAATCCAGAGGAAAGCATGGCAGATATTTATTTTTCTGTTCAACAGAGTTGCCTCTCCTCCTTCCAAGGAGGGAGAGACACTGACCAAAAGTGTGCAGGAACCTTTAAGACTTTTGACATTGCCCAACCCCCTTAGCCAAAGACCACCCCAAAATCATCATACATACATCACAGGAGGCGATCTACAGCAGAAATCCTGTCTGCCAGGATATCTAATAATGGTTACTGACTGATTCCTGAATGCAGGTCACAGGCTCACCCTATTCATACACAAATATGCCCTTAAGACAGAATTTGTAAGTGAAAAGACAATGGGGAAGGCTTTCCCCATTTGCCTCCCTTACTGCAGAGGAATATTTGAGGTCATTGGGAGCGTCAAAATGGCTTCAGGATTGCTCTCCTCTACTATTTCAGCCAGAGGATTGGAGAATATCAGTCTACATCCCAATCCCAAAGAAGGGCAGTGCCAAAGAATGCTCCAACTACCGCACAATTGCACTCATTTCACACGCTAGCAAGGTTATGCTTAAAATTCTACAAGGCAGGTTTAAGCAGTATGTGGACCGAGAACTCCCAGAAGTCCAAGCTGGATTTCGAAGGGGCAGAGGAACCAGAGACCATGTTGCAAACATGCGCTGGATTATGGAGAAAGCTAGAGAGTTCCAGAAAGACATCTACTTCTGCTTCATTGACTATGCAAAAGCCTTTGACTGTGTCGACCACAGCAAACTATGGCAAGTTCTTAAAGAAATGGGAGTGCCTGATCACCTCATCTGTCTCCTGAGAAATCTCTATGTGGGACAAGAAGCTAAAGTTAGAACTGGATATGGAACAACTGATTGGTTCAAAATTGGGAAAGGAGTACAGCAAGGCTGTATATTGTCTCCCTGCTTATTTAACTTATATGCAGAATTCATCATGCGAGAGGCTGGGCTGGATGAATCCCAAGCCAGAATTAAGATCGCCGGAAGAAATATCAACAACCTCAGATACGCAGGTGACACAACCTTGATGGCAGAAAGTGAGGAGGAATTAAAGAACCTTTTAATGAGGGTGAAAGAGGAGAGCGCAAAATATGGTATGAAGCTCAACATCAAAAAAACGAAGATCATGGCCACTGGGCCCATCACCTCCTGGCAAATAGAAGGGGAAGAAATGGAGGCAGTGAGAGATTTTACTTTCTTGGGCTCCATGATCACTGTAGATGGTGACAGCAGTCACAAAATTAAAAGACGCCTGCTCCTTGGGAGAAAGGCGATGGCAAACATAGACAGCATCTTAAAAAGGAGAGACATCACCTTGCCAACAAAGGTCCGTATAGTTAAAGCCATGGTTTTCCCTGTAGTGATGTATGGAAGTGAGAGCTGGACCATAAAGAAGGCTGATCGCCAAAGAATTGATGCTTTTGAATTATGGTGCTGGAGGAGACTCTTGAGAGTCCCATGGACTGCAAGAAGATCAAACCTCTCCATTCTTAAGGAAATCAGCCCTGAGTGCTCCCTGGAAGGACAGATTCCAATACTTTGGCCACCTCATGAGAAGAGAAGATTCCCTGGAAAAGACCCTGATGTTGGGAAAGATGGAGGGCACAAGGAGAAGGGGACGACAGAGGACGAGATAGTTGGACAGTGTTCTCGAAGCTACAAACGTGAGTCTGAACAAACTGCGGGAGGCAGTGGAAGACAGGAGTGCCTGGCGTGCTGTGGTCCATGGGGTCACGAAGAGTCGGACACGACTAAACGACTAAACAACAACACTATTTCAGCCACATGGTTTATATATTTAGATATGTTAGCATTTATTAATATTTATTCTATATTTGAGACCTTAGAATTCTTATAACAAAAGTGAATCCAGATAAGACTGAATAATAGTCACTATTCCCTGATTAGCATGATAAGGAAGGGTGAAAGAAGATGCTCAGGAATGATGAAATTGAGTCTCTTCTTGTTAGTCAGATTCAAATCTCTCCTCAGCCTCTCTCACTGACTGGCTTTAGGCAAATGCAGTGTTCCTCAGCTGCAACCTCCCACTGCCTACTTTACATGGTTGTTGTAACTTATGAGGAATTTTAAGAAGTTAGGAAAAAGTGTCCCAAAATACTAAATATTATTTAACTAGGGGTTGCACTCCCACTCACCAACCCCCTGCTGTTTGCTCACATTAGCCCCGTAGAGCTTGCTTTCCTCCTGAGCTTGCTTTTCACCTTCCCACCCCCATTTCTGAAGCCACGTCTCTCTTCTATTCTCCAGCCCTGCTTTGCACCCCCATTTTCACCTTCCCACCCATGCCCTCCTGGCCAGAGGGCACACCTCCTGCCACCACCATCTGACTCAGAGGTCCTCCAGGGAACTCATCCTCTACCTGCCCAGTCTTGCAAGGAAGCAGAGCCTACCACATGCCGGGCCTGACCAGGTTGAATAAATTGGCAGTAGCTCTCTGCAGGAACAGCTTCTTTTGAACTTGTTTTAGCAGGGTGCCCTTGGGGCTGCCTAAGGTCCTGTGGGCTCTTTGCTTGATGTTGGATTCTGACTGGGCATGGCCTACTTCCTTTGGAAGTACTTGTTCTGTTCTTTTCAGAAGCTGCACTGATGAAATGGAGCAACACCTTGCCTATCTAGCACCTGTACTGTAGAATTTCCCTCCAAATGTGACTCTTCTAGATCAGATTGAGGTGGTGACTTCCTTGTTGTTTTTTTTGTTTAAAGAAAGTTGGTGCAGAGCTTCGTATATTCAGCAGGTCTTTTACAGAGGTAGACTGGAGGATGAGGCCTTGTTGATAAATGAGTTGGCATGTGTTTCCTGGAATTTGCCGGACAGTGGGTTTTTTTAAAATTTTTATTTAAGAAAATACCTTGCTCTGTCACAGCCAATTTGTAGTTTATATGATATGATGTTTATTGGTATTGTAAACTGATATTGTTTTTAAGACTGCTTTTACTGTTGCTTTATTATGTTAGCTGCCCCGAGGGCTAGATGGAGACATGTTTAGTGGGGAAATAGATTTTAAAATACAGGAATGAATAAACATGTTTGTGCGGAATTCATGGCTGAATGGTTAAGACAATGGATTGGAAAATTAGAGCTCCAGAAGCAGGCTGATCATGACTTGAACTTAAATTTCAGACCCAAGAAAGTGCCGTGAGCAAAGTCAGAGAAGGGCATGAGAGTTCTAAGTTCAAATCGTTGCTGAGGCAGGAAGATAACTGAGTGGTCACAGGCCCCTCATTTTTTCCTCAGCCTCATCTACCTTTCGAGAGTCAGTGTGGTGTAGTGGTTAAGAGCGGTAGTCTCGTAATCTGGTGAACTGAGTTCACTTCCCTGATCCTCCACATGCAGCTGCTGGGTGACCTTGGGCCAGTCACACTTCTCTGAAGTCTCTCAGCCCCACTCACCTCACAGAGTGTTTGTTGTGGGGAAGGAAGGGAAAGGAGAATGTAAGCCGCTTTGAGACTCCTTAGGGTAGTGATAAAGCGGGATATCAAGTCCAAACTCTTCTTACCTCTGTGCTGAGGAGCCCTGGCTACGCCTGAAGCAAAACAGCAAACATGGTTCAGAGGCAAGAAAGGGATGTAGCGGAAGTGGTAGTACCATGATCCCTGTTTCCATTTCTTTCAATGGTATTTAGATGTTGCACCAAGTCCTGGGTGCCACTTAAGATTCAGTTCAAGGTCACCTCCCCTGTCATTGGCTCCAAGCCCAACTGTTCTAAGACACAGACATTTAGGATGTGCCTGGTACTTGCCATTTGCCCAGTCAATATGGGGTTAATCGAAATATCTTGTGATTGCAGCACATTGTCCTTTGGGTGCTTCCTTCATTTCATTCTTCATTTCAGAATCATCCTGGGCTTTTTATTCAGGGGCTGGGGACAATAGCCATCTCCAACTCCTTGAAAGATTCTATCAACGGTGTCTCCAAAAATTTTTACACATCACTTGGGAAGACAGGCAAACTAATGCCAGTGATCCACTGGGTCTTCTGCTTTTTTTGTTGAACTTTATGAGACTTCTGTTGGAATCTACAAATTGATACAATGAATAGTATATCTTATTTATTCAAAAGTACAGCCAGTTACGTCTTGTGTGTTTATAGTATTATAGTGTACTGGAAGAAGTAAAGATCACCAGTGTTGAAGCAATGATGCTTCAACATCAACTTCATTGGACTGGTCATGTTGTGCGGATGCCTGATGATCATCTTCCAAAGCAACTACTCTATTCTGACACAAGGGAGAAACATGCTAAGAGGAAGGCAAGCTTGGCAAACCCTCACTGTGATCAACTTCTGCCCGGTAACCTATGTCCCCACTGTGGAAGGACATGTGGATCCAGAATTGGCCTCCACACTCACTTACGGACTCATTGTTAAAACCGTGTTTATGGAAGACAATCTTACTCAGCTACGAGTGATCGCCAAAGAAGAAGAATGACACTCCAATTAATGAATAGCTTTTATGGCCTGGTATTGCCACTTACAGTAACTCTCTGGAGAAGCGTGTCATGTTTGAGATTTCTATCATGTTTGACTCTGTGTCCTCATTGATGTACAGAGCAACGGTACCTCCAGTATGCCCTTGTTTGTTTATTTGGTAAACTTAAGACCACTTCTCAGACAATAAATGCCTTCCAAAGCAAATCAATAAAATATTAAGACCATTTGAGGCATATACAAGCTCCTTCATTCAAAGATCAATAAGCAACACCCCATGCCATAAAATAAATAATACAAACAGTAATAACTAGTCCAAGTACAGCAGAGACAAAGACAGTAATAACTAGTCCAAGTACAGCAGAGACAAAGTCAGCCAAAGGCCTAGGTAAATAAGTAGTTGATGTCATATTTTGGGGTGCAGTGAGTTTGATAGTTAGAGTGCTTGTATGTACTGAGCATGCCTTCTTTCGGGTTGCCACATAATAAATTCCTGGCAGATGCGGCAAGAGATCTTAATGTCCAGGCAAGTGCCAGTAGGAGAAGACACTCTGTGTGTTTAGAATTGTAAGCCATATAAGACTTTGTGTCAATAATGAGCACTTTGAACTTGGCTCAGTCACATATAGGCAGCCAGTGCAACTGCTTCAGAACTGGTAGCGTCTCCCATTTCCCTGCCCTTCCTATAAAGTTCATATCCAGAGATAGCTGGTTACTGAAAGAATGGAGAAAGAGAGAGAGAGAGAATTCAGAGTACAAGCACCCAAAGTACAGATGTTTGCCCAAGCAAAACTCATTATGGAAATCCCATGATCTCTACTGAATCCAGAAAAATCAGAATTTCTTTCAAAAGGGAGTGTTGCTAACCATACGACATGTTTTCTTAAAGAAGTAGACCCGCTGATCTGAATGCAGTCGTGCTGATTATTCTGCCCACAAATTGTCATTCCAACCCAATCAGCTTACTCAAGAGAAAGCCCCATTGATTTAAGCACAACATACTTCCAAGTAAGCATTGTACTGTAACCTGAGCCATACATATGGCTCATCCCTAACCTTGTTTCCTGCGAAGCAAATTCCAGTGTTTTTAATGGGACTTACTTCCAAGTAAATAGGCTTGCAGTCTTAAAGGAACAGTGCCCTGGTTCTTGCTAGAGTTCAGCAGGCAGGCAGATTACTTGGCAAAATGTCAAGGTTGATGACTGATAACACCCAGTCCTTTTAGAGTTAGGATATGACTCAGAGCCATGGGACTTCCTATGAGAATAAGAAAAATGGAGCAACAGAATCTAGTTTGCTTGGGCTTACTTTTGCAGCTGCTCCACTTGTTAAAATCCACCAGTGGCAATCTTCAGGTCAGTTAATATACGGTTCAGAATTTCTGCTTTAAGACTGTATCCTCAGTGAGTGAAGGTGCATTCTGATTTATTTTCTAATAGCAGTGCATCTTAAGAATCATATTTGAAAAAGCAGTAAGAAATGGCTGCACCAGTGTTTATGCTACTGGTGTGATAGGCAAACAACAACAACAACAACATCATGTTGCAATGTTTTATCAGACGAAGTATTAGATTTAATAAAGCTTCCGTTGATTAGACTATTTTTCTTCTGACTTCTGACAGGGAATGAAATAGATGGACTTTAATACTAGGCTGTAAGTCATCTCAAGTTCCCTTATTATTTGTTTAATTAAAACATTTCTGTGCCACCTTTTTATTTCAAGTTCCCTATTGGTTCACAGTGATATAAATACATTCTGAATAAAATCAATACATTACAATAAATATATCGGCATCCACAGTAAGCCGGATGATTACTACAAAGCTTGTTTTCAATGCCTGTGTGAACAAACAGGTTCTTAGCAAGCATCCTTCAACATTTCAAAAAGATACATGGTTTATCAAGTACAACATTATTAATGGAGTGTCAGCCACAGGGGTAAAAAAAGAAAGGCATTTGCTGGAATGTTAAAAACTGGTATGTGTGTTCTTAAGTGATGCACGCCTGCGTCTTAAGATCTGTGACTGTGTGTGACTTATCTGTGGGAATAGATTGGGGTCGGTGGCAAAAGAGCAGACAGAAAATGGAACTGCAAAAAAGTTCAAGAAAAAATATTGATTTATGTGGCATTCTCTAATCAGCTTAAGATGGTTTTGTGCAGGAAAGTGAGTTCAGTAGTAGCTGGAAACTAGAATGCAACTGTCTGATCAGGCTTTGGTTGATTTGATCAAGGAAATAGGGGCATGTGCTTCAAGAATAGTGCCCAAAGTTAGATTTGGAGGGATTCGATAATGTGTTTGGATGGCATGCATATTTATGGTATGATAAAGTAAAGGCCCATAAGGCTTTTAAAAACCATGTAATTAGGAAATCTCTGTACAATGTGTAGATAAAATATAAAGATCTCTTAGAAAGGGAGACACCCAGATGGCTCTCGCCAATGGAGGCGAAGGCCCAGAAAAAGCTAAATATGGATATCAAGTGGTTGAGATACTCAGATTTATTATTGGAGGATAAAGAAGGTTTTAAATTAAAACCATTTGATCAAATTAAAGATAAGATAAATTGGTTACATTATCACCAGATTAATGAACTGTACAAATTAGATAAGAAAAATGGTTTTGCTTCAGAAAAATCTAAGTTGGAAACGGAATTGTTGGATTCTAAAGTTAAAAACTTGTCTAAAATGTACAATTTATTATTGGAGTGGCATACAAAGGATGAACAAGTTAAATCAGTGATGATAGATTGGGCAAGAGATGTGGGACATAATATAATGTTTGAAGACTGGGAAAGACTGTGGAAGAAAGGGGTTAAGTTTACTGCATGTACGGTGTTAAAGGAAAATATAATGAAAGTGATGTATAGATGGTATTTAACTCCTGTAAAACTAGAAAAGATGTACCACAATTGTGATAATTTGTGTTGGAAATGTAAAGAAAAAGAGGGTACCTTCTATCATATGTGGTGGAACTGCCCCAAGGTGAAAGACTTATGGGAGAAGATTTATAATGAATTGAAAAAAATGTTGAAATATACATTTATTAAGAAACCAGAGGCCTTTCTTCTTGGAATAGCAGGTCTGGAAATGGCCAAAAAAGATGTTAATATATTTTTGTATGCCACAACTGCAGCAAGAATTTTGTTAGCAAAAAATTGGAAAACACAAGAAATACCAACAGTGGAGGAATGGCAGATGAAGATGATGGATTTTTCGGAGCTAGCCGACCTGACGGGAAGAGTCCGTGACCAGAAGGAGGAGGATTACCAGAAGGAATGGTCAAAATTTAAAGACTATTTAGTTAAATATGTTAAGTTAACTTAATTGGAAAGCTTGCAAATATCAGATAGGCTTAGGATTTAAATATGTGATTAATTAATATGTTTAATGCCAAATTTGGAAGAAAGAAAGATGTTAAGTGATTAAGTTAATTTTATAAGAACATTGGTTTTGGAAAACTGTTAAAATGGTATACATTGAAATTCAACCAGGGGGATACAGGGAAGTCACTTAACAATGTTATTAAGATTGGTTTAAATAGTCTGAGATTTATGTTTGTTTGTGTATTTGTTTAAAAAATTATTGGATAATTAATTTAAAAAATTGGGGGGGGGGGAAAGAATAGTGCCCAAAGTTCATTCATTGGGGTAAAGAAACCTGAACAAACAGCCCTTCATACACATTGTGGTTTGTGGAGAAAAAGTGTTGTGCGATTTTTGAATACTAATTGATTGATATTGGCATGAACTATCAGATTCTATGCATTATCCAGATGCATTTCTGAATGCTCAGGGGTATTTCACTAGCTCCATTCTCTATTGGTAGAACTACGCATTACATGATTAAGCATGTTTGCCGAACATGCGTTTCCCAGATGATGTTTCCGGGGAGAGTGAGTTTAATGTCCCCGTCACCCATCATGCTTTCCCTAACGTGGTGGGGGGTGGGGTAAAATGTTAATGGGAAGTGAATGTACGTGGTAGTTGGTAAGTGGGAGAAGGGTTAAATATCTCCCCATTCCCCCACTAATTTCCCTCTGCAATGTGCAGATCTGTGCTATTCTGCTTCTATGGGGGGGGGGGGGTCTGCAAGGTCAAAGTGGCTGTTTCCATCAGTGCCCTTACTTTATGGCAGTTGAAAACTCTATTCATTATTAGATCAAAAAGATTTGTCCCAACTGCATGAAATTTAGCATGCGGAATCCAGCAGGTGCTATGAGCAGCAGGCCAAATTTCATTGGGGGTGGAGGAAATCAAATTTAAAAAAATACCCGAGAGAAATACCATTTTTAAATGTTGCTTTGATTTCCATCCCCCTTTTTGGCACATCCAAAATATACCTTCTGTTTCTCCTTTTGCTGCTTTCAAGAATTCAAGAATGGTGCAAGCGGGGGCGGGTGTGTTTGTTGAGTCTTGCCTTTTACAGCTTGGTGAAAATCCATTGTGTTGTGAGGTTTAAATCCAAGTAAGGGCAGCCATAGGCTTCTTGGGAGGATGTGTCAGATACACATGCCGAACACTAATAAATCAGTGTCACATTCGCTCTTCCCAGGAAGAGCACAGCCTCTTCAAAACAGAAAGATGGCAAGCATGAAACCAAGGAGGTTTGCAGCAGCAGAATTTGGGAAGTGGTGGTGAGGACAAGTGTATGTACCATGGTTTTTGGTGCATGAGTGAAATTTTTAAAAGCCTCCATTTCTCTTAAATCAAAGGTGTTTTGATCTGTGACTTCAGTATTCCTGTCTACACTTCTTTCATTTCACACAGGCAAGGAGCGATGACAAGAACATTATTATGAATTTCTGGTATTCATTTACTCCTTGCCCTCTTCTGCTCTAACCTGTGGTATAAAAATAGCAACAATTAAATGAAACTATATAATTTACCACACCTCTCCTGACATTTTTTTTTTTTTGGAAAAAAGAAACCATAGAGTATTGAGTCCTGACTTTATATACTTTACAAATCCAGGGGAGCAGGAGGGTCAGTTTAAACCAATGGGGACCGAACAGGGATTGGCTCACATCAGATAGAAACAAACTGGAGTATTTCTCAGTTACCTCCAGAACAACAGAAGACAAGCGTTATCTGGAAAGGCTGATTTGATATATTTGCCTGATAAAAAAAATAGCGGAGCCTCTAGGCAGCATTAATGGAGCCAAAAGACAACCTTTGCATTAACAGATTGTAAATCAAGATGAATAAATCAGCCATCCACCTTTTGCTCTTGGGACCTGATCCTGTAAGTCAAATGTAAAGCTCATTGAGTTCAGAGGTGCTTACTCCCAGGTAGACAGGGGTAGGATTTTGCTGCAAGAAACTTACCAGCAAATGCCCCACTGAAATCAGTGTAACTTCCAAGTAAACAGAGAGCTAGGCTGTTAGTGTGAGAGTCCCCTTAGGGTCAAGCACACTAGATGTGTTTCTCCCCAAGGTATAGTGTGATAGAGTATAATGCGCCAGTTACTCTGGGAGTAGTGCAGTGTTACCTTAAGAGATCAAAGACCTTATTTTAAGTTTCTTTTAAACCTGCAGTGGCGTAGCGTGGGTTGCTGTGCAGAGGGGGTGGGGGTGGGTGGGTGGGAAACGGACAGAGTGCGCATGCACATTCAACTGCCTAAAGGCATTCATGTCACCCAAGAGATTGCAGCCACAGAGATAAGAAAATAAGAGGTTGTCTGGAGAGGTTACTTCCTGGTTCGCATGGAGAAGCTGTCCTCAACAGAGCCCAGCGACACAAGAGCACAGCTGTACTGAGATAGCACCGGGTGCTGAAATTTTGTGCCCAGGGCAACTGCCCCTGTGACTCTCCGGCTACACCACTGTTAATCTGGGACAGGTAGAAAATAAGGACTGCCCCTGGTAATCTGGATGGTTTCAACATATACCCTCTCATTGCTGCTTCTCTGCTTCCAATACAGTGGTACCTCGGGTTAAGTACTTAATTCGTTCCGGAAGTCCGTTCTTAACCTGAAACTGTTCTTAACCTGAAGCACCACTTTAGCTAATGGGGCCTCCCGCTACTGCCGCGCGATTTCTGTTCTCATCCTGAAGCAAAGTTCTTAACCTGAGGTACTATTTCTGGGTTAGCGGAGTCTGTAACCTGAAGCGTATGTAACTCGAGGTACCACTGTAGTTTCCTCCCAAAGCAGTCTCTCCTGCTAAAAGGAAGACATCGTGCTATTGCTATATACACTCAGGCCATGCCATGCCCTAATTTTTCTTTTAGCTCCAGAGCCTAAATTCAACTAGGTCTCCCATGTTAATGAGCTAAATCTATTTAGTTTGAAACCTAATATGGGATTGGAAGTTGAGTCTTGCTCCCTGTTAGCTGTGAGGATTTTTCTTGCGTTTTCCTTGATATATAGGTTGCGTGTATGCTATGGAAGGGAAGGGAAGTGTCTTGTCTGAATTTTCCAGGACTTCCGGATACTATGTTTAAGAAACTAAACATCTGGGAGCAGCCTCCACAACAAACTAAAACAAAGCCAACAATAAACGGAAGCTAGCCTGGCTCAGCTTCAGAAACCTGGAAGTCCAGGTGAGGAGACTGCTCTCTGCATCCTGGTTCCAGCTTTTAAGTCCTGGCCGGGGAGTTACTTAACCTCTTCACCGGTTGCAACAGAAACAAAACAAAAGCATGTTGGGTGGTAGGTAATCTGCCAGACATTTGGATGGGAGGTCTATTTTAAAATTCACCAAAGAATGAAAAACAACAAAGAAGGAAGTGAGTCATTGCCAAAACACACACACTAATAAAGATGAGAAAACAACAAGGGGGGGGGCAGTTTTATCTGGCACTTCAGCAGACAAGGGTACCACAGATGGAGGAATGGAAGCATGGCAAAGGGGGAAAATGTTAGATGAATGTGTGACATCCCTGCCACCAAACTGCTTCCACTGCTTCCCACAATGCCACCCTATGACGGAGCCTAAAGGAGTGACTGAATACCAGAAATATATATTTCTTATCAGAAGACGGCAAAAGTGTGCCTGACATGGAAGCTGAACACCATTATGCTGATGATATAAACACAGTTGAAGGGAATATAGGGGTGGCAGCACTGATTTGCCTATGGCGATGAGCTCGGCCTGCCCTGGCTACATCTCTTTCAAAAGCGCTAGCATTTTACTTCAGCAATGAAGAAGCGGCTGCCCTCACTCATTTATTCACCCTTAAACTCAGTCCACATTTGAAATGTACAGGAGGGGAAGATCTTAAAAATAAGGATGGGTTATCACTGCAAGAGCTGAAAACCATGCCAGAGACTTTGAAAGAAGAAGTCTCACTAATGCGCTTTTGTTCCACTGAGCTAGACAGCTGGTCAAACAGAAGATTCTGAAAGCTTTTTCCAAAAGTGTCCAAACAAATGCACTTCACTCATAGCAGGAAGGGGAACCTGTGGCTCTTCAGATGTTGCTGGACTTCAACTCCCATCATCCCTGATCATTGGCCCTGTTGACTGGGGCTGTTGGGATCTGGAGTCCAACATGGGGGGGACTGCAGGTTATCCATCCCTGACTTACACTTTAGCCATCGAAATATATATAAAAATAAAAATATTGTACAGTAGCACCTTAGAAACCAACTATGTTTGTTCTTGGTATAAGCTTTCGTGTGCATAGAGTTAGTCTCTAAGGTGCTACTGGACATTTTTTATATATACTGTATATATATATATATATATATATATATATATATATATATATATATATTTCGCCTGTGTCAGACCTACATGACTTTAGCCATCTTCACCCATCTTCCGTTGATGTTTTATATGACTGTACATAGGGGTGAGAGAAGCAGTGTGGTGTCAGGCTCCAACTCCCGTACGGGATGCGTATTCCATTGTACATCTGCAGGGTCTTCTTTTCCCTGCAGGGTTGCCAGCTATATGGAACGATGCCTGCACACACAGACATGCTGCAGACACGCAGCGGGAGGTGAATATGGTGTGGCATGTGGGCAGAGTCTGCTGCCACAGTGCTGCCTCCCCCCCTACCCCCATAGGTTTGCTCAGCGTATGAATGTAGGAAGAGGGACTGGTTTATTCCCCTGCTTTGAGCCACTTTGCAAATTATGCCTTTACAAATAAGCAAAAGCAGGGACCTGATCTCTTCCATCCTGCTGCTTGTAAGTGTTTTGCAGTGGAAAGCCATTTTGAACCGAGGCCTTCTGAAGCCGGAAGTTCAGTTTTCTGAGACAATTATTGCTCTGGAATGCGTATGGAGAATCATTCACCTCTGACCTTTGATGATTGTGCTGCTTCGTTCAGCACTTTCTGACAGGAAGAGCACCAGTGTGAAGGTTGTGGATTCAGCATGCCCATCTCCTCTTTCCTGACCCTTGGGCTGGGATTGGTTCAGAATCACATGCCTTCTGCCCTAACCCCAGGAAGACATATCCATTAAATGCCTAGCAGTTGCAACACTCTTTTGTTTTTCTTCTGTCCTGCAGATCTTTTGGAAACTGGAAGAGATCCAGGCCAGACACAGGGCCAAACTAGACATGACAGCCACAGTCCAGTTTCTTGAACCACATCTCTGCTCCATAGGTGCCAACTCCCTGGGGCCTTGGGTGCCTGAGCACCCACAAAATTCCTCATGAAGGGGCCAGGGCCATGCACGTTGCATGGCACCCACAGCCCTGGGTACTGCCCCATTCAGATGAAAAGTTGGCAAGCAACATAAGCAGGAGGAGCAGCCCCTAGTAGTAGATATGTATCGCATATATGATCATTGAGAGTCATTAGTTAGCATGCTTTTGTGCTTATTTTATTAAATGTCTCATTTTATGATTCCTTCTGTTCTCCTTAAATACATGTTCAGATGTGCCTTGGGAATTTGGTGTATCTGACCGGAGTCATCTTGATTCTTCTGTTGTTTAGTCCTATAGCTTTAGCAGTTGAATGATGAAAAGGGCACTCCTTTCAGGTCCCCTGGTTTGTGTTTCCAAAATTTAGGGTTGCCACATGTCCTCTTTTTCATGGGTATGTAAAATGAGAGTTGTCTTAGTGATCCATAGTTAAAAGTTGGCAAATGTGCCCTCTTTTTTGATCTTCAGAATATGGCAACCCTACCTTTACTCACACCTGGGAAACATGCAGTAGTGGGAGCAGCAAAACTATACATCGCACTGAAAGTCTTTCCTCATTTGGGTCTTAATTGGAGAAAAAACAATTTGGCTTGATTAAACTAGGTACTGGCCTCCTAGGTACTGGAGACAGGGGGTAAAAGCATTCTAGTTTCTCTCACATCAGTTATCCTCAGTCATTAGACATACACACATTCTACTAAACATTGATTAATATTTCTATGAAGTATTTTTTAATATAAAATCCATTTTCAGTCAAGCATTTCACCTGTGAAAGTCAGTCTCAGTCTAACGTACCTTGCAGCATTGTTAAAAAGATAAATGAGGAAAAGATATATCATTATATGTACTCACACTGTGCTCTTAAAATACAGATTTATATGTGCCAGCTTCTTTGTAATATGTCTTTTGTGTCTGCATGATAATTTAAGAATGAATATTTTACATGCTATCGCTGAGGCCAAAGACTATTAGCACATATTGGCTTTGATAAATGCCTTGGCGGGCACGTCAAAGGTCTAATATTCCATGGAAAGTTGGTTTTCAGAACAATTGGGGTAAGTGGGTTCAGTGCCTCCAACGCTACAAAAATATTGGGCCTAAAGGGTCAGTTTCACCTCAGGAAAGCCAGCCTCCCATTGGCAGTATTATGGCACTGTTGGAACAACCTACAGAGATATCAAGGGTTTTCCGGTGATTTTAAGTCTAAGAGAGGAAATGAACTAAGAGAGACCACTTGATACATCTATTGATGAGCTATACCATCAGGGGATCAAGACCAGGGACCCCATATTAAATACTTTCTAAATATCAGTGCCTGACATCAAGAGTCAGCATCGCTGGATACTGGTCAAGGGGCAGTGACCAGGCAGAGGGCCTTCTCTGTAGTGGCACCCTCCCTGTGGAATGCGGTCCCATCAGGAAATAAACAACTACAGTGGTACCTTGGTTTACAAACTTAATCTGTTCTGGAAGTCCTTTCTTAAACCAAAGTGTTCTTAAACCAAGGTGTGCTTTCCCATAGCAGTGGGGGACTCAATTTACAAATGGAACACACTCAACAGGAAGCGGAACAAGCAAAGTTCACAAACCAAAACACCTACTTCTGGGTTTGCAGAGTTCTTAATACAAATTGTTCATAAACTAAGCTGTTCTTAAACCAAGGTACCACTGCATCTGACTTTTAGAAGACATCTGAAGGCAGTCCCTGTTTGGGGAAGTTCTTAATGTTTATGTTTTAATCGTGTTTTTAATATTCTGACCAGAGTCTCCCAACCCTGCCCTTGTTCCTCTTGTCACTACTGTCACTTGCTAGGACACTCTGACAGTCCGGCACAGAGGGAGAGTGCCAGCAAGCAACAGAAGTGAACAGAAAGAAATAACCACAGTTGCTACTGTCTCTAGTTCGCTACTCTGCCCCCTTTTCACTAGAAAGCAGTGGGGACTGGCAGGTGGAGAATATGGAAGGTTGCAAGGGGAAAGCCCACTGAGAGCATCTTGCCCAGGCTGGCTCTCCCCACAAAACCAGGAGCTTGGATTGCTGCATATAGAAGATGAGTTCTTCAAGGCAAATCTAGGGTAGCCTTTTCCTGGACATGCAAGTTTTGTATGCGTAAGGAGTTTTGTTCAAATGTGTGTGTGTGCCGGGTGTGGGGGCAGCATTCTGCCTCCCCCACCTGCAGGGGTCTAGCCCAGCACCAGATACATCATGCAATGCTTCTACTCATTTGTTTCGGTTCTAATTTAGGATTTAAAGCATTCTCTGTCAGAGGCGACGTTCCACAAAGTTATGCGGACTGCGAGAGAATACAAGAAGGAAGGGGCCATCCAGCTTAAGAATGCTGAATTGATGAATTTTCTCCTTTGCCTATAACTCAAAGTGAAAGATGAATAATCCTCCTAATTTGCACTTATTTGTAAGGCACCTGTTATTTGTAAATTGAAGCTCTGTGCAGGAGACCAGCAATTCATCGCGGACACCTTCCGTGAGATTAATTAAAGCGAAGGAAGCACGGCAGCCTGTTTTAAAAATAAAAAAAATATGATATGCCAGGTGTTTCTTCTTTAGAAAAACAGTAGGCATTGCGGCAACAGACCTGGCAGTGCTGCTTATGAGATGTTTTGTGTTTGTTCTTCCTCCACAATGCTGTTTTGACATTACAGCGACCTTGTGAGGAAGATTAGGGAGAGAGATAGTGACCCGATTAGCTTCATAGCCGAGGATTTGAACCTGCTCTACCCACATCCAAATCCACATCCCTATTTGCCTCTAAATGGAACCATATTCAGTGGTACCTCGGGTTAAGTACTTAATTCGTTCCGGAGGTCCGTACTTAACCTGAAACTGTTCTTAACCTGAAGCACCACTTTAGCTAATGGGGCCTCCGCTGCCGCGGGAGCACGATTTCTGTTCTCATCCTGAAGCAAAGTTCTTAACCCAAGGTACTATTTCTGGGTTAGCAGAGTCTGTAACCTGAAGCGTATGTAACCTAAAGCATATGTAACCCAAGGTACCACTGTATGAGAGTTCCTCGCTTTTATCTAAATTCTCAGGATTAACAAGGTTTGGGTTGGGGAAGTGCGCCATGTGCTGAACATGGAGCTGCTGCTGCTGCAAATGGCAGCCTCATGTCAAGTCCTCCACACACACCATTGCCAAATTCAACCTACCTAGTGTATGGAAGTGAGAGCTGGACCATAAAGAAGGCTGATTGCCAAAGAATTGATGCTTTTGAATTATGGTGCTGGAGGAGACTCTTGAGAGTTCCATGGACTGCAAGAAGATCAAACCTCTCCATTCTGAAGGAAATCAGCCCTGAGTGCTCACTGGAAGGACAGATCCTGAAGCTGAGGCTCCAATACTTTGGCCACTTCATGAGAAGAGAAGACTCCCTGGAAAAGACCCTGATGCTGGGAAAGATGGAGGGCACAAGGAGAAGGGGACGACAGAGGACGAGATTGTTGGACAGTGTTCTCGAAGCTACAAACATGAGTCTGACCAAACTGAAGGAGGCAGTGGAAGACAGGAGTGCCTGGCGTGCTCTGGTCCATGGGGTCACGAAGAGTTGGACATGACTAAAAGACTAAACAACAACAACAGTGCTCTGATAAGAAGATAAGAGCAGTGCTCTGATACGAAGATAAGGGTCAGGTCAATGGCCCATCTAGCCCAGCATCCTGTTCTCACACTGGCCAACCAGATGTCCATAGAAATTCCATAAGTAGAACCTTAGCACAACAGCACTCTGCCCACGTGCCTTTCCTAGCAACTGGCATTCAAAGTCACCATGCCTCTTAATTTCTGTGTCATGGGTTTGAGCCCCCCATTGGTCAAAAGATTCCTGCATTGCAGGGGGTTTGGGCTAGATGACCCTCGTGGGTCCTTCCAGCTCTACAGTTCTATGATTCATGTACCTGCATGCACGACCGCAAGGAGAAGCACAGTAGCACAGATGGAAAATCGCACCAGAAAATAGATGGAAGTCAAGTTAGAAAGGTTTTACCCCTCCTTTTCTGTACATTTGTGAGAATTAGGTCATGTCCTTACCTACTGCTTCAGCTTCTTGAGCTGTTATTGCCAGTAATAAAACTCCCCCCCCCCCAATGAACAAAAGAGCTAAGATTTTATGGTACTTTATGCCTTATAATGCAGGAGTGATGAGGCTGGGATTTGGCAGCGCTGACATTGTTCCAGATCTCGTGCCATGTCCAGAAAGTAGAGATTGTTCAGTTCTGCGATTCAGATTCAGAGGTTTTTCCTGCAATGTAGCCAATGGAAAGTGATTGTGCATGCACCCAGGGAGTCACACTGGCTCACGACATGCCCTCTTCACTTCTGCTTGTGAAAATGAGAGACTTTGTCCAGCAGCGTGAATGGATGGTGTCCATATAGACATCCCTCCGAGGCCTCCCTGCTTGCCTTTTATGTGCCAAGTGAGTGGATAATCCCAGAAAATGCCTCTCCCTCAGTTTCATCAGGGCTTGGAAACAGTGGAGCAGCACTGCTTGGTGGATTGAGCCCAGCGTTCCTTTCGGATTCCACGAGCTCCTCGATGGCTGGGCCAGCTTTCATCTACTATCACAGAAACACACTGTCTCCTTAGAGATAAGATGGCTTCAGCTTCCAGCCCAAAGGGTCTGACTAGCAGGAGCTGAGCATTACTCAGGCTTTATCAATGGGACTCTTGTTTCGGGTATTATTCTTGATTCTCGCCCCCGCCCCCATCAGAGTTGTAATCTCATGATGAGGTTACAGAGCTGAGCCGAGCCAAGTCAAGTCAAATCAGAGAACTTTCTTTTGTTGTCAGAATTATGGTGTGTGTGAGGAGCTTTTCCAGTGATGAAAGTCCTTAGGTCACAGCAGTGAAAGGGGATCTGTATCAGGAGGGGGAAATTAGCTCTGAAGTGAATAGAGATATTAGAAACCATCCCGCTTTCTAATCTCTAATATTGGTTCCCTTGGGGGCTTTTCTCTTTCTTTCTTTCTTTCTTTCTTTCTTTCTTTCTTTCTTTCTTTCTTTCTTTCTGGATAGGAATATATTGTCGTCATGGCTGTCCTATCAATGGCAGCAACTGCAGCCACCTTTCATTGCCGATGAAGGGTGCTTTCGCATATGGCACGAGCGCGTTTCAAGGGCCCCCGCATGCGGTGGTGATGCACCTGGGAAACCCAATTAGCTAGGCTGTACAGTCATCCTAAGAGCAGCCAGCTCCTTTGTGCTCTCGTCTCCCTCATTAATCATGTTCGCAAACGGCACAAGCCCAAGAGGGCCAGAGGTTCCCGGCTGCTTTTCAGCCGTACGTGGCGAAATGGTTTGAGGGGGGAAATAAGGGCCAGAAGGGCTAAGAGAAAACATCCCCTGTGCCCCTTTGAAATGCCCTCCCGGGCATGAGAAGGACATGTGCAGGAAGGAGACTGTGTCTAACAGCCAAACTTCAAGAGGGGAGCAGGGTTGTTTTTTCCTGGGGAAAATTGCAGCGAATGGTAGCAGCACCGCTTTTGAAGTGCTTATGGCTGTGGCAATGCTTCTAATAGTTGAGAACTTAAAAGTGGGGAAAGGCTCATTTTTCAGAAGCCAGCGACAGCAGCTGAAAAATACATTTCGGTGCTGATGGTCAGGGAAACCTGCTGAAGAATTCAAAGGCATGTTCACATTGGAGTTGGATCTCAATTGGAATCCGTGTTTTCCCCCGTTCAGATTTGACCTCCTCATTATTATTCTTTTATTACTATTTATTAAATTTTTATACCGCCCTGATGATGAAGGTTTGGAGTGGCATTTTAAAATTTATTGGATTATCCCCGGATGAGAAAAATCTGAATTTACAGGGGAGAACCATCATGATAGGAGTTGTTTATGCAGGCAATACTACTTAAATGGGAATGCAAACCCTTTCAGTTACCCACTAAACTCAGGCGTGGACAAGCCCGGAGTGTGCTTGTTGCTCCTACCCTTACAAACACCCCTCACACAACCTATTTTTTTGGGAGGGAGAAGCTATATTCAAGGGCAGAATATGCAGTTCAGTTTTCTGGTTCAGTTTGCATTCCAACCCCCCTCCCCTTCTTTTCAATATGCAAATAAAAACCACTGTGGTAAAAATAATAATGACAACAGAAATCAATGGATTTATTGTGAAATTTTATGTCTTGGATACCCCCCCCTACTTTTGCATACATTTTGCAATTTCTCACATGTTGATCCACATCAAGCTGTCCTAAAGTAGCGTTGCTATGGGCGGGCTCTGTTTGGCCTGCATTGCAAGCTCTCACCACAGCTTCTTATCTCTCTCTCAGCCCACCCCCCCTCACAACAGACCACCAAATTTGCTTGGGGCAGGGGAAGGCAGGGCCAGCAATTGTGGGGAGGGGATGGGCAAAAGGGCAATCTTTTGCCTGTGCATGGAATGCATGCCCAAAGGCCTGGACTGCGTACCTTTATGGCAGGTATGGGGACACTGGAATCCCTCACTGGAAGCTCTCAGGCAAGACACAAAGGTGACAGCTGCCCTCTGTTTTCTGTACCTCAAAGGATCTGGCAATCAGAGGGATACTACCCTTGCATGTTTCCATTTAACCATCATGGCTTGTAGCTAGAAATATACACCTCCTTCTGTATAATTTATTTACAGGATCTAAGCCCCCAAACTGTTCCTTCGCCACTAGACCACAATCCCTCTTTGATACGGATGCATATGGTTTATATGCTAGGAAAGGTCATCAGCCCCAAGTCTGTTTCTTTCTTGAACAAGACAAAAATAAAATAAAACCCAGCCTCTTCTGAGAGCCTGCCCTTTGATCATATTTCTGCTAATTATGCCCTATTTTATAAAGCAGGCAAGAAAAGCTACGAGCTGATCCTGCTCAAGTCATGATTAATTTACATGTAACTAGTTGCGCGAGAATGTCGATGCTCACGCCCTCATGCAGCCCACGGAATGCCATGCAATGCAATACAGGATGACAATGCCCATATTCAAAAGGCACATTTTCAATGTGCGTTTGATTTAAATCCATGGCTCCTAATCCAACAAGCGATGAATGAGTGACAGCTTGCTTCTGCACAGGGATCTTAGCTGGGCTGAGGTACCAGGAAGATTTTAGAGTCAACTTTCATAGTCAAAGTGCACAGAACATAGTGCCCCAACTGTTCTTTCAGTGACGTCACTACATCTAGCCCTGGAAACGATAAATCAGTGGCTAGGCACAGTGGATAATTTCATTTGCATGGATAGCAGGCAGAAAAAAATTCACGCTGCAGATGTGTGTGTTGAGCCTTGACTGTTGAATTCAGACTCCACACAGGTGTTTGCAACTTGATTTATTTACAAGGTTGTATGCAACTCCTTGGCAGGCTCCGAAGTTATCCTTGCACATGTTTTCGTCTAGCGAGAGCCTGGAGGCTGGGCTCTGCTTAAGAGGGCAGAGCACAATTCAATCACATTGCTAGAACAACATGGCATAGATATTGTTGTTGTTGTTTAGTCATTTAGTCATGTCTGACACTTCGTGACGCCATGGACCAGAGCACACCAGGCACTCCTGTCTTCCACTGCCTCCCGCAATTTGGTCAGACTCATGCTGGTAGGTTCGAGAACACTGTCCAACCATCTCGTCCTCTGTTGTCCCCTTCTCCTTGTGCCCTCCATCTTTCCCAACATCAGAGTTTTTTCCAGGGAGTCTTCTCTTCTCATGAGGTGGCCAAAGTATTGGAGTCTCAGCTTCAGGATCTCTCTTTCCAGTGAGCACTCAGGGCTGATTTCCTTAAGAATGGAGAGGTTTGATCTTCTTGCAGTCCATGGGACTCTCAAGAGTCTCCTCCAGCACCATAATTCAAAAGCATCAATTCTTTGGCGATCAGCCTTCTTTATGGTCCAGCTCTCACTTCCATACATCACTACTGGGAAAACCATAGCTTTAACTATACGGACCTTTGTTGGCAAGGTGATGTCTCTGCTTGTTAAGATGCTGTCTAGGTTTGTCATTGCTTTTCTCCCAAGGAGCAGGCGTCTTTTAATTTCGTGGCTGCTGCCACCATCTGCAGTGATCATGGAGCCCAAGAAAGTAAAATCTCTCACTGCCTCCATTTCTTCCCCTTCTATTTGCCAGGAGGTGATGGGACCAGTGGCCATGATCTTCCTTTCTTTGATGTTGAGCTTCAAACCATATTTAGATATTACAAAGGGCTAAAAAAAGGGAGCGGGGAGTTCAGGAACACAAGCTCTGTAGGTTATTATTTCCATATAGCCCAGCTACAATTTATATTTTTCTGTCTTGTTAGCAAGCCTGTGGACTAGAGGAGCACAGAGCTTTCAGAATGGTCTGTCCACCTCCTTAGCTCAGGACCTTCAGGTTTCCTGTGGAACCCTCTTACCACAAACACACACAGCATTTAGAAACAATTTAGTCACCTGCCTCTTGCTTATTACGCAGTTTGTATCCCTTTTACCCTTGGGGAAGAACGTCGAGCTTCCAAAACGTGGAACGGCTTAGGCAGAGATATGGATTCTACCATACGCAAACAATGCATTTCACGGATAGGCTTATCAGGAAGGCATAAGAGTGTAAAATGGCCTCTCCACCAAAGCCTGCAGGCCAGGCTTTGCGGAATATAAGAGAGAACGTGGGGCAGAAAAGCTTGCTGCCTTCAAGAGCGCTTTGGGATCAGAGATGGGAGAGCCCAAAGGGGCTGCATTCAGCTCTTGGCAGGCTTATAGCTGAGGAGAGTCAGAACTCCAAGCTGAGCTGGAAAGAGAAACGTAAATGAAGAAATATTTGGGAAGGGCACCAGATTTGGAGTCAAAAACTCTGTCAGCACCATAATAAACAAACAAAGATGGTCCACCAGCAGCTGCAAGTGGAACTTCTGCAAAACAAGAATGTGGGGAGCAATATATGTGGGGTACCTGTGGACCTTTAGCTGTTCTAGAAAGCTGTCAGACCCTTGATCCCCACAGCTCAGCATTGTTGTCTGCCCACAACTCCCATCATCCCTGATCATTGGGCATGCTGGCAGGGGGCCAACAGTATCCAGATGGCACCATGTCAGCTATTCTTGTGACCGTGTGGCCTAATGGTTAAGGAATTAGGATCAGAAGATTGGGGGTTCAAGACCCTTCATGGTCAATACGTTTTGTATAAGATGGGTAGCTCACTTGGTTAGAGCGTGGTGCTGGTAATGAGAAGGTTGCAGGTTCAATCCCTGTATAGGACAGTTGCATATTCCTGCATTGCAAAGGTTGGACTAGATGATCCTCAGAGTCCCTTCCGACTCTACAATTCTAGGATTCTATGCACTGACTGGCAGCAGCTCTCCAGTGTTTCAGACAAGCACTGGCACCTGCAATAGCACTAGGGATCTTTGGCACGCAAAGTTACAGTCATGTGTGAAATGTACAGTGGTACCTCAGGTTACAGACGCTTCAGGTTACATACGCTTCAGGTTACAGACTCCGCTAACCCAGAAATAATACCTCGGGTTAATAACTTTGCTTCAGGATGAGAACAGGAATTGTGCTCTGGCGGCGTGGCGGCAGCAGGAGGCCCCATTAGCTAAAGTGGTGCTTCAGGTTAAGAACAGTTTCAGGTTAAGAACGGACCTCCAGAACGAATTAAGTTCTTAACCCAAGGTACCACTGTATGGAGAAGTTTATTGGCAACAGCCATAATAGGCTTTGCTCTGTGCTGTGCTGACAACCATGCAGTGAGAAAAAGACAGCCTGGGACAGGGCATTTTGGGAAGAACTAACGGCACAGGTTCAAAGTACCTGAAGGAAATAAATGTATGTCCTGCTGCTTCCTTTTTATTGTGTATTGTGTACACCCACAAACTTGCTGCACACGCAAACTTTTATGTGCTGCAGTCAACAAATATCAGAGCTTGCAGGGCAGCAGTTGAAGAAGGAGCAAAAAGGGTTTTCTTGTGTGTGTGTGTTTCTTTGTGGCTGATTAGCTGCTCTCTCTGTGCAAAGGTCAGAGGGGGCAGGGTTTCTGTTTGATCCATCTTTTAGATTTAGGGGAGCTAGTCTCAAACGTTTGTTGGGGGAGACCTAGGTTTTTTTGTGGAGGGAGTTATTTGTCCTGTCTTCACGCTTTTTATGATGGAGGACCGCTGTAGCCACCCCTAACGACACGTTCTCAAGATGGAGGGGGAGGGAACAGCTGCAGTCGCCTGCGGTTCCTGCGCAATGTTTGCCATCTTGCCAAAGGTTGCAGGCAACTTTACCTGCAGCAATTGCATGTTGATTGCCCTCTTAAAAGACAAAGTCCAGCAACTGGAGGAATGTGTAGCTACGCTCCAAAGAATTAGAGAGCTGGCGCTCTTCTTGGAAGCAGCAGAGCACACCGTCTCCACCAAGGAAGAGACAGGGGACACCCCCCCGAGAAGGAGGCTAGTTCACCAACACAGGAGCCAGATATATGGAGAAACGTGACTCAAAGAAGTAGGAGGCCCAGGGTTCGCTCTGAGGTCCTCTCCCCTAGCATGGAAGACGAAGAGCAGACTCCATTTGAGGATCTCCAGTTGAGGATCTCTTTTATTGTCCAGAAAGTGGGAGAAGCAACAAGAGGAACAGCCATTTTAGATCTGGTCCTAACCAATGTTGATGACCTGGTTAGTGGGGTAGAAGTGGAAGGATCATTAGGCGCGAGTGATCATGCTCTTCTGAAGTTTACTATACAGCGGAAAGGAGCAGCCAAGCATACTAGGACTCAATTTCTTGATTTTAAGAAAGCCGACTTCATAAAACTTAGGGAAGTGCTGGGTGAGATCCCATGGACAGTAATACTAAAAGGAAAGGGAGTTCATGATGGCTGGGAGTTTGTTAAGAGGGAGATAGTAAAAGCACAACGTCAGGCAATACCAATGAGACGGAAACATGGAAGGTGCCTAAAGAAGCCAGGGTGGCTATCTAAAGAACTTTTAACTGAGTTAAGATTAAAAAGGATGTGTACAAAAATGGAAAAGGGGGAAACCACCAAAGAGGAATTCAAACAAATGGCCAGCACGTGTAGACACAAAGTCAGAAAAGCTAAAGCACAGAATGAACTCAGGCTTGCTAGAGAGGTTAAAAGCAACAAAAAAGGCTTTTATGGGTATGTTCGTAGCAAAAGGAAGAACAAAGAAACAGTGGGGTCACTCAGAGGAGAAGATGGTGAAATGCAAACAGGGGACACAGAAAGGGCTGAACTCCTCAATGCCTTCTTTGCCTCAGTCTTCTCCAATAAAGAAAACAATGCCCGACCTGAAGAATTTGGAGCAAATGATTCAGCAAAGGAAACACAGCCCAGAATAACTAAGGAGATAGTACAAGAATACTTGGCTAGTTTAGATGTATTCAAGTCTCCAGGGCCAGATGAACTGCATCCAAGAGTATTAAAAGAACTGGCAGATGTGATCTCAGAACCACTGGCAGTCATCTTTGAGAATTCCTGGATAACAGGCGAAGTCCCGGCAGACTGGAGGAGGGCAAATGTTGTCCCTATTTTCAAAAAGGGGAAAAGAGAGGACCCAAATAATTACAGCCCAGTCAGTCTGACATCAATACCAGGGAAGATTCTGGAACAGATCATTAAGCAAACAGTCAGTGAGCACCTAGAAAGGAATGCTGTGATCACCAATAGTCAGCATGGATTTCTGAAAAATAAGTCATGTCAGACTAACCTGATCTCGTTTTTTGACAGAATTACAAGCCTGGTAGATGAAGGGAACGCAGTGGATGTAGCCTACCTTGATTTCAGCAAGGCATTTGACAAGGTGCCCCATGATATTCTTGTAAAGAAGCTGGTAAAATGTGGTCTTGACTATGCTACCACTCAGTGGATTTGTAACTGGCTGACTGACCGAACCCAAAGGGTGCTCATCAATGGTTCCTCTTCATCCTGGAGAAGAGTGACTAGTGGGGTGCCACAGGGTTCCGTCTTGGGCCCGGTCTTATTCAACATCTTTATCAACGACTTGGATGATGGACTCAAGGGCACCAAACTGGGAGGGGTGGCTAACACCCCAGAGGACAGGATCACACTTCAAAACGATCTTGACAGATTAGAGAACTGGGCAAAAACAAACAAGATGAATTTTAACAGGGAGAAATGTAAAGTATTGCACTTGGGCCAAAAAAATGAGAGGCACAAATACAAGATGGGTGACACCTGGCTTGAGAGCAGTACATGTGAAAAGGATCTAGGAGTCTTGGTTGACCACAAACTTGACATGAGCCAACAGTGTGACGCGGCAGCTAAAAAAGCCAATGCAATTCTGGGCTGCATCAATAGGAGTATAGCATCTAGATCAAGGGAAGTAATAGTGCCACTGTATTCTGCTCTGGTCAGACCTCACCTGGAGTACTGTGTCCAGTTCTGGGCACCACAGTTCAAGAAGGACACTGACAAACTGGAACGTGTCCAGAGGAGGGCAACCAAAATGGTCAAAGGCCTGGAAACGATGCCTTATGAGGAACGGCTAAGGGAGCTGGGCATGTTTAGCCTGGAGAAGAGGAGGTTAAGGGGTGGTATGATAGCCATGTTCAAATATATAAAAGGATGTCACATAGAGGAGGGAGAAAGGTTGTTTTCTGCTGCTCCAGAGAAGCGGACATGGAGCAATGGATCCAAACTACAAGAAAGAAGATTCCACCTAAACATTAGGACGAACTTCCTGACAGTAAGAGCTGTTCGACAGTGGAATTTGCTGCCAAGGAGTGTGGTGGAGTCTCCTTCTTTGGAGGTCTTTAAGCAGAGGCTTGACAACCATATGTCAGGAGTGCTCTGATGGTGTTTCCTGCTTGGCAGGGGGTTGGACTCGATGGCCCTTGTGGTCTCTTCCAACTCTATGATTCTATGAAATACTCCCACACCCATTAGAAAATGTGATCATTAGTTGTAGCAGATGGGTAGTTTGGGGGAAGAGGAAGGGCAAGAGGAATATCTGACAAAAAAGAAGCATGTGGTTTCAGGGATGGTGGGAAAAGTGCTGAGCACCCTTAGGGTAGTGCTCTCTTTAGACAGAGTCAGGTGGCCACCTCAGGCAGCTGATTGTGGGTGTTGTCAAAGGGTAGCTGGTGGTTAGATTTTTTTTATTCATTTTTCATTTTTCACTGTTGCATTTTAACTGCCCTGAAAAGACACTTGGGGATTTTCTGCCTCAGATGCCAAATAACTTGGTCTGCTTCGGATAGGATGCACTGTGACTCAGTTGTGGTGGATGGATATCATTTGCTGTTCTGCCTCAGGCAGCAAAATGCCTTGGCCTGGCCCTGTCTCAGAATTAAGGCAACCCGTTTTATAACTTTCTAATGTATAGTGTAAGATGTACCTTTATTATGTCCCACACTCAGGTTTTCTTTGCCCATTAGTGTTTCCAGCATATTTTTTGGAACACCCATTGTGTGGCCTAGTTTCACAATAACCGCCACTTCTGAGGGTGTGTGGGAAATAATGTACTTCCTGCCCCATCTCTTTTCCACTCCCAGGCCGGACATCAGCTTGCTACACTACTGTACTGGAAAACCTCCTTGAGTTCTGGTGGCTGGGTGGAAACGGCCTAGGGGTGGTTTTTTTTGCTCCCACATGCTGTGGGGCACATCCCTGCCCAGCCAATCAACAGGAAGCAGAGTTTCCAGGCATGTTTGGAGAAGTGAGAAGATGGCAGGACCTGTGGAAACAAGATGTTTGGATAACTAATGGGTCAAGGCTAGAAATGTAATCTTTGGTCTCACAGCTCCTGCATCCAGAGGAAGAGCATGTTATAAACAAGGAGGAACAGCTCTGCCGGGGAATTTGGATTTGCTCGGGTGTGCCCGGATAGAAACAGAGGAAAAAGTCTGCAAGCTCATGCACATTACTTCCTCTGGCATTGTGGCCGATAAAGCAGAAAGGTTTATTTACTTACCCATTTACTCAACAGATCTTTATCCTGCTCTTGGATACCAGCATTCCCAAGGCAGCTGAGGGTCACAATTACAGTAATAAAATACAGTACAATAATATAAAATAAACAAGTACAATACATGGTAGTTCACACGGGGAAAAGTAAGGGTATGGTGATATTATTAAGAATATAAGCCCTGCAGGATGAGGCCCATCTCGTTCAGCATCCTGTTTTCACAGTGGCCAACCAGATGCCTGTGGGAAGCTTGCGACTGAATCTGTGTATTGTGGGACTTCACCGTGATTCAGCCGCTCAGCCACACACAAACAAGCACCAGAGAGCACAAACAGCACACACAAATAAGGAAGAAAAGATGGCAGGGCATACGAGACAGGCATGCCTTTAAAATGTTCGTGCCAAGCAATAGGAGTGTTAACAGAAAAATGATGAAAAGACAGACTCGCAGAAGAGACGGCCTTCTGTTTAGTTCAAAAGAAAAAGAGAGAGAGAAGCAGACTTCGGGATGGTGACATTTCACTATATATAAATCGTATGTATTTATTTGAAAGAGGAAGCATGATCTAGTGGCAAGAGAACAGTTTGAGGAGCGAAGGCTGTGTAGTTGAATTAGGAACGAGGAAATGCCTGTTGTTAGCCGTTGTGAGTCATGAGAGCTAAATGGAACCATTCAAGAGGCAGGATATCTCTGGACATCGGATTCTGAGGTCAGAACATGGCTTAGGGAGAGATCCATTCATTTACCAGTCCATGTTGCATGTGCTCATTCATAAATCTGCTCTCTCCAATTTTGGCATTAATCTGAGATTCTTTTTATTTATTTATTTTTGACCTTTTGGTGCATTTTTAAAGCGAGAAATGTATAACAAAATTCAGAGGACTGTGAAATCCAAAGGATCCTTATGCTAAATCTGTGTCTTAGTTCAGGAATCAGGTCGGTTCACTAAAAATGTGGAGCAAACAAAATTCTCCCACATGGCCTTCATGTCCTGCCTGAGAGCATCTAATATTATGGATGCACAGGTGTTCCTGTGCTTGACTGAAAGGGGCTCCTGCTTTCATGTACAGTGGTACCTCAGATTAAGTACTTAATTCATTCCGGAGGTCCGTTCTTAACCTGAAACTGTTCTTAACTTGAAGCACCACTTTAGCAAATGGGGCCTCCTGCTGCCGCCGCGCCACCAGAGCACAATTCCTGTTCTCATCCTGAAGCAAAGTTATTAACTCAAGGTACTATTTCTGGGTTAGCGGAGTCTGTAACCTGTATAAATCAGCTACATTTGCCAACTACATTTTCCTACTTCTCCCATCTGCAACGTTTGGGGTTTGACAGTAACTGAACGTTTTGGATTAACTTGGAAAGAAACAAATAAATACCTGAATAGCTCAGCCGGTAGAGATTGAGAATCTTATTCTCTGGGTTGTGGGTTCAAGCCCCACATTTGATTAAATATTCCACATTTGATTAAAGACTGCAGGGGGCTGGACTAGATGACTCTCACGGTCCCTTTCAACTCTACAATTCTATGAAACAGGCTAAAGCTTCGGAGTAGTGACAATGACACATATGTGACAAAGGAGTCATAGTCTCTGTGAGGCAGACAAATGTCACACCTGAAAGGCATATTTCTAGCATCTGGGCCTTCAGTGCAGAGTAATTCATCTCCAAACCCCCCTCTCCTCTTCTCCCACCAAGTCTAGACTCTTTTTGCTTTTTCAAAATGCAAGCTGTGGTCGTTAAACTTGACTCCAGCGCATTCACTGTTACACAGATTCTTAAACCTTAATTCTATGAAGCAAAACGGCCCGAACTCAAGAAGATATTTCCTGTTTGTGTGCACGACACATTTCCTTGCTCAGAGAGAATGGGGGATCATGACACGTCCTTCGGAACCACTACCACACAGCCTCTGGCACAGATAAGGTGACAAGAACGCTGCACCTCACAACTATTCACACAAATGAAAAACCAGAACAAACCCAGGAATGCAACACCTCGTGGTCCCTCTCTTAACAGAAGCATGTCTTCCAGACAACCAGTCAAGAATGAAAGCTGACTTCTAAACCAAAGTGGAATAACATTACTGTCATCCTTATATTATGAATTCTTCTTCCCAACCTAAGGAAGAGAGCATTTGGACTACGTGGTATACTCAAGTCCCTTCCATGTCCCTAATTCCCAAGAAGCAACAAGCTGAAGTTCTGCAGCAGTGACCCTGAGCCCTGGCACTTGGATTAGCATCATTTCCTTTGAGGTCTTGTGGCTGAGGCCCTTTAGCACAAAACCAAGCAGTCTTCCTGCTGCCCCTCTGCTATCTCACCAGCCCCAGAAAGACCCTTATCGCCCTCACCATTGTTATCAGCCATTCACACCACCCAGGCAGGGGAGGAAGGGGGTGCTCCCTGGCCCCCGACTTCCTCACCGCCCTCACCCAGTTGTTTCCTCCAAGATAAAGAGTTTGCAAGTGTCAGGAGAATGTAATGGAAATTTGCTTTGTGAAGCAAGCAGGCTGGGTTTCTTCTAAGATTTGCGGTTAACCCCGCAGTCCATGGGGAAGTGTCTGGGCTAAGCTGGTCCGCCAAAATTATTCAAGATAGCGCAGAGCTTTCCATCTCTCGGTTTAAAGGAGGAGAAGCACAGAGCAGAGCCTGGTGGTAGGAAGCTCAGCTTTTGGAGCCAAAGGCTAGATTATTACCTCTTCCCAGAGGATCAAGAAAAGCTGTGTTTCATTAGCATATGCTAATCATCACAGCCAATGATTGATGCTTCTGTTTCTATTTTATTATGCATTGGCTTTAATGCTATCAACTGTTGCTTTGAAATAGGGATATGCTGATTTATTGTTGGTTTGGGATATATCAGAGCGTATTTGGTTTTTAGCATACTGCTTTGGATTAGGGCTATGAAAATCCAGGTAAAGAAATCAAAATAATTTCATACGTATGTGAATTTAATTCTTGACGATGTTACAATGTCAAGCCCAAATCCTCATGCTGCAGAAATTCAGGGGTGTGGGCCTGCCCAGCAGATGGAAATTAATGCAAAGCCACTAAAAGTCTCACCAAAATCAAGAAAGAAAGCAGGCCTTCAGCAACTCCTGATTTCGAAAGGGACTTGGCCGAGCTCAGTTCTCTTTTCTCTGGCTTATTTTCTCCAGAATTGGAGGGAGCTACATTTCCACCTGCACAAGTGGCCCCAGTAGGGCAATACAAAGAAAACAGGTTGGGTGATAATGAAAAGACACGATGTAAGACATTTGGTAGCAATAAGCAGGCCACCTGCATTTAACAGCGTTGGGATTCACATACCCAGACAGAACTTGGAAAACACAAAATAAAAACACACCCACCAAATTAGCAGCCGGCTGGTTTACGAGAACCAAGTGTGGGTGGTCTAATGTCTAGGGAAAAGGTCAGACGAATGCTTGTTCACACTGCATTGCTCATGAGGGTCCCCATGCATTTTTATTTTATTTTTACATATACTCTATATTATTCATTAATATGTGAATGCTTCAAGATGTGAACACCACAGTTCTAACTTCAACATTATTTTCCGCAACTGTGCTGTAGGTTGTAGTTAGATTGCAGTGGAGTCCCAAATCCCAAAACAGAGTTCACTTAGTTGGTCTGTTAGGAAGATATAACGTCTAAAGATCTGCATCTCTTCAGTATGACTTTTGCTTTCCTTCTGAAAAGTTTTCATACCACTCGGTGGCAAGGGGTAGTAACGAATGACCGGCTCCTGTTTCCTCTCACAGGAGTCGTTTACCTGAACCATCGGTGTAACGCATGAGAAGGGAGCTCCATTAACACAGAGATTTTAACTGCTAAAAGCACAGAGAGGGGGATAACACATAGCTCCATGCGCTGTTTGAAGAAGGTCTCAGGTTCAATCCTCAGCATCTATAGTGAAAAGCAGCTCCTGGAGTAAAGCTGAGAAAGACCCTCTCGCTTACATCCTAGGAGTATGACCACCACTCAGAGCAGAAAATACAGTGCTAATAATAATAATAATAATTCATTATTTATACCCCGCCCATCTGGCTGGGTTTCCCCAGCCACTCTGGGCGGCTTCCAACAGAACACTAAAATACAATAACCTATTAAACATTAAAAGCTTAGAAGACTTCAGATGTCTTCTAAAAGTTTGGTAGTTATTTTTCTCTTTGACATCTGGTGGGAGGGCGTTCCAAAGGGCAGGTGCCACTACCGAGAAGGCCCTCTGCCTGGTTCCCTGTAACTTGGCTTCTCGTAGCGATGGAACCGCCAGAAGGCCCTCGGTGCTGGACCTCAGTGTCCAGGCAGAATAATGGAGGTGGAGACGCTCCTTCAGATGTATCCATCCCAGACATTCTCTATGTGCTTCTGTTTCTAATCTTGAGCTAGTCAATCTTTTATCAACAAAATGAGCTCCGCTGTGACTATAGGTTGCACAGTAGGTGGGTAGTCAGGTAGGATTGCTTAGTGATAACTAACTGTTGAGCTTCTAATGTATAAACAGCTATGTAAAATATACTGTGCTGGAGATGTTGCAATAAACTGGTTTATCTGAACTCTCTTGCCTTCTTATGTAACTGAACTGGCTGTTTGCTTTTTGAGCTTAAAACTTTATTCTAACAAGACTCCCACTCTGGGCCTCAGACAAGCTCTGCAGGGGCCTGACTACAACTCTAACTAGACCACCCTCCTTCTGTTTTTGTACTTCCTACATGATTCCCTTCTAAACAACCCCATGTTAAAAATATGTTAGTCTGTACAGGATGTTAAGAACTCTGGCCTCTGTTTTCAAGCAACATAGATTACATGTACCGAGACCGCTGGCTTTCCCAGGGGCCAGGGCAGGAAGCACCTCACTCTGCACAAACACCTTCGGCCCATGAAAGAAGAGATGAAAAGCTGGTTCTTGGGACAAGAATAACTATGACTCAATGGGAAGGAAGTGGTGGAAACTGACTTGACTGAATATACACACACACACAGTGGAAGGAGGCTCTGCCCATTGTCTTCAGATGAGTTCTAAACTATGAAAAGGATTATTAAAAACATGTAAATGATTGCTTGTGGGTTTGGTTTTAACTGCTGACTAAGGTGGACGGTGGAGCTCTTGCCTAAGAGAAGTCCGTGTATGCCTTTTGAACTAGCAACATATTTTGCATTGCTGTTTAGTATGCTTTTAAAAAAGAAGATCTACAGTGGTACCTCAGGTTAAGTACTTAATTCGTTCTGGAGGTCCGTTCTTAACCTGAAACTGGTCTTAACGTGAAGCACCACATTAGCTAATGGGGCTTCCCGCTGCCACCGTGCCACCAGAGCCTGATTTCTGTTCTCATCCTGAAGCAAAGTTCTTAACCCGAGGTACGATTTCTGGGTTAGCAGAGTCTGTAACCTGAAGCATATGTAACCCGAGGTACCACTGTATATCCCACTTTTTTGATCCTCAAAGCTGCTTACAACAGATTTCAATAATGCAATGAAGCAACAATCCCCACCCTGCACAACAGGCCTTGGTCCTCTGGATGACAGTGGGAGATGTTCAAATGCTCTTCCTTCCAGTTCTGGAGTCCAAGGACGTTGGAGCAAAATAGAGCCACTGCTCCAAGTCCAGAAGAGGAACAAGCAGCTCCTCACGGATACTCCTCTGCTTGAGACAGGGGAGTTTCCCTTGCTTGTATCGTCTTGGTGAGAGACAGGGAGTGCAAATACTCAGCAAACCTGAGTTGGGAAACTGGCTCTCCAGATGTTACTAAATCACAACCCCCATCAGCTTTGGTCATTGGCCTTGCTGCTGGAGCTGAAGGTTCCCAACACTTGCTCTAGCCAAGGGAAGAGGCCAGAGGATGCTCTCCTTCTGCTTTGCATTCCCAGGGCAACCATAGCATTAAGTATACTTCTTTTGGGTCATTGCTCATTTAGCTTGTTTATTGTGTTTACATTTTATTCCACCTTTGCTCCAAGGAATTCAAGATGGCATATGCTGCCCAGTTAACCTTGCAGCCCTGTGAAGTAGATTGGGCTGACAGTGAATGCTTGTCAGGGGGCAGCAAATGAAAATCTGATGAATTTCCACGTGGGTTTCTTCCCCCCTCTCTCCCTCCCTCCCCCCCCCCCCGCGTGTGTGCAAATTCCTTCAACATTTTGAAGAACTGAATTTCGGATGGAAAGAATGAGAACTTGAGCAAAACTGAAACCTGCTGATTCACTCCTCACTCCTGATCCGTTTCTTGGGGAGATACTCTGCAAAAGGTTTTCCTGACTCATCAGCAGCTGTGGGGAGTGGCATGTTGCAGAGGTGGCATGTAGTTTCAGGAGAAAGGGGAAATGTGTCAAAGTTATGAACTCCTTATGGAGCCATAGACTGGCAGAGTTGGAAGGGACCACAAGGATCATCTAGTCCAACCCCCTAAAATGTGGGTCTCAGACCATGACCCTGAGATTAAGAGTCTCAGGGCCTCTACCAACTGAGCTTCTCTTATCACACTGGTGTAATATCTGAGATACTGGGACAATGAGTTTTCATGACCACTAGGTGTCAGCCAAAGCTCACGTTTGAACAGCAACAGAAAAGGAAGATCAGGCTGCACAGAGCACTAAAATGGGATTTTCTTGATAGGCAAACTGGGATTGATTGCAAAGTTAAAGTCTGATAAAGGTTTGCAGATACAAGAACTAAAACACAGGCCAAAATATAATGAGATCATAGTTAAAAGCAATAATAATCACCTAGTCCACCTATTCCTAAAAGCTACTGGGAGGCCTCCTGGGGCAGGTGGTTTTCATCATTTCTGATGGACAAAGAGAGAAGATGCCGATGGACACTCATCTTCCTTAACCAGCCTATCAAGGCTGGAGGAGGAAACAGGAAGTGACCCAAGTAAGAGCAAAAAGACACTGTTGATCCTTGCAGCTTGGACTCAGCATCCGCTGGACGAGAAGTTGGGGCAGAAGGACACCAAATTTTACAGATATGAACAACACCCCACCCTCACTTTGAATCTTGGGGTTAGGCTCACAGTGAATTCCAACCCTTCCCAAATTTACCAGAATGGGGTCAGTGCAAATAGCACTCGGCAGCCATTAGCCTTAAGACCAAGGCATGGATTACAGCACCCAGGGGCACGGGGAGCTTTCCTGCCACCAACAGATGTTGTGGCACATGCTCATAGCAGCACCCAGAGCCTCAGGCTTGAACCTGTGGCTGCCACAAATGCTTCACCCTCCCCTGGAACACAAGTTTATCAAGAACAATAACATTACAATGCAGCGAACATCTTATAGAGATTCTGCTTCAACTAGAGGGCCTTGATCTCATACTCTCCAATGCTTTGAAGCCCAAATCCAGGATGCCACCTTCCCAGGTGCCATCTTCCCGTTTTGTTTTGTTTTAATCACGACAGCACGGTGGCCATTTTAGTTGCCCTGAATTTGCGTCGTCCGCCAAAAAAAGCACTGGGGGGTGCATCTCACTGCAATATTGTGCAAGATCACAGCAACCAAAATAGCCACCATTCTCTCACAATAAAAAACGTTTTTTCCCAGGGCACTTGCGTGATATGTGATTTCAGAGCAGGCCCAAGATCTTTTGCTGCCTGAGGTGGAAGAGAAGAAGGCACCTCTCCATGATCCACATACGGAAGCACTGGCGTTTGAAGCTTAATACAATGCTGGTGATGGGATAGCATCTAAATGTTATGCTACCAGATTACCATAAGGCCCACCTACATTGCATGGCCCTGCCCATACCCTTTAAGATCTGCATCTGAAATCCGGCTTGCATGCCTATCAATGATTTGGTGACTACACAAGGCAAGGTCTTCTTGGTGGTGATTCACCAGTTTACATGCATTTGACCCTTCAGGTCTGGCATATAAGGTGCGCTTAAACCAGAGCTTTCCACACTGTGTGTCGTGACACATTAGTGTGTCAGCTGCAGTGTGCAAGTGTGTCGTGCGAATGCGCCCCACGCTCCTCCCGGGGCTGGAACGGGTTAGTTTAACCTTTGGTTTGCTAGTAAGACTGAATTACAGTGTCACGAAATGATGCATGTCCAAAAAGTGTGTCGCCAACTTGAAAAGTCTGGAAAGCTCTGTCTTAAACACATACCTTTTTACTACTGCCATTCCTCAAGATAATTTCGTTGATGTACTTCAGTTACTCTCATTGCATCTACTTCTCTGTCTCTTTTCACTCAGTGCATCACACTCTGAGGTTCTACTGTTTTTATATCTGAACAAAAACAAATTAAGTTATCTAACTCAGACAACGGTAAACAAATCTTTAATTATTAACAGTGGAGGATGGTCTATTAGGATGAATGGAGCATTGCCCCACCATTCTGCTTGCTCCCAGCCAGCCCCTGAATGCCTTCCTTACAACTAATCCAGGGATGGCATCCTGTCAGCTTCCTCTTCCTTTGTCTCAGTGTTGTCCTTGTAGAATTCAACAGGGAAGATGATGGGGACAAACTAGAATTAGCTTACTCTTGTCTGTAATCTATGGCTCCACCTACTGTTAGCCTCCTGCCGTAAGTCCCAATGGACACCACCCACCATTTTTGAGGAATGGAGGAGGAAGCGTTCGCAGCAAGGACATAGGCAGCACCTGAGGGATCTTAACTCTCAACAAGTATCCCTCCCTGTGTATTTTGGGAAATGTTTTGTCCATTTGTCCTCTCTTATGTTCAGACGACTCGCAAGATAGCATTGCTAAACTTAGCACGAGGGTTCCTCGTGGAGCGTGGCAGTTTTTGTCAATGTTCAAATGCTGGCTGCCATTTTGAATCAAGTTGGTGGACTGAAGTGTGACTTGGGCATGACTTCCCATGATTTTCAACACAATGGGTCCAAACTTTGCTGAGCTCACCCAGCAACTTCATAACTTGATGGTATCAAAAGCCAATGAGAGATCCAGGAGAACCAATGGACCACACACTTCTGTCTGTCTCCCAGAGAAGGTTATCTATCATTCAGGGCAACAAAGGCCATTTTGGTCCCACACCAGAGTCTCAAACCTCTGTGTAAATATTTGCTACTAAGTTCATTTCTGCAAACAGAAGGAACTGCTGAAATAAGATCACAGCAGAATAGATCAGTCCGCCACTAGGTGGTGTGCCAGACCAACAGTTAAGAGTACAGAAGATTAAGACGAATAAAAATAAGAGTGCCTACCCAGAAGGCTTGTCTGGGAAGATGCTCTTTAGGAGCTGTAACTTCCCAGTGTTTTAAGATGCATGTAATGCTTATATATGTATATGTGTGCACGCACGCACACACACACATCATGGGCCAAGCCTAAAGAAGGGCAACACAATTCCTCAAACACCTTTAGTTTGTCACAATTTTAAAATTTCAAAATGTAGATTTTTATTTCACATAGATTAAGACCTGTTTTTCAGAATATAATGGGCATTATGTTTTATTTTTAAAAATAAAAACGGATTTTACACCCACCCCACAGGGCTCAAACATCCAGCCAGGCACATTTTGTAAATATCTTCCAGGTTTTTTTATAACTTAAGTGGTGTGTAAAGGTAAAGGTACCCTTGACCGTTAGGTCCAGTCAAGAATGACTCTGGAGTTGCGGTGCTCATCTTGCTTTATTGGCCGAGGGAGCCGGTGTACGGCTTCTGGGTCATGTGGCCAGCATGACTAAGGCTTCTGGCAATCCAGAGCAGTGCATAGAAAGACCATTTACCTTCCCGACGGAGCGGTACCCATTTATCGACTTGCACTTTGACATGCTTTCGAACTGCTAGGTGGGCAGGAGCTGGGACCGAACAACGGGAGCTCACCCCGTTGCGGGGATTAGAACCACCAACCTTCTGATCAGCAAGCCCTAGGCTCTGTGATTTAACCCACAGCGCCACCCGCGTCCCTCTAAGTGGTGTATACATTTTATGAAATAAATGAAATGAGATAGCCTGTGAAACTGGGTCCTATCTGGCTGACCAGGGGTGGTGTGTCCCATTTCGCAGCTTGAGGCAAAGTGGCACCCTGCCCTGCCACTGTTCCCGCCATCATCTGGTTATCCAAGAGGATACAAGAGCAAGAAAATACTTTGAAAATTAAGTTTAAGTGGCAGTCGACCCGGCTGCAGTTTCCCCATATGAATCATAAGCTTTTCCCAAGTTGCTGGAGAGGGTGCAATGTTCTGGGATACCTGATCCATATGTGGTGGGGCTGTGTCCTGATGCAATCATTTTGCCAAAACATGCTTTCTCTGCAATTCCTATTATAACCAATCACAATTTGATTTTGAATCCTAAATTAGCACTTCTTGTCACTTGAGAGCAGCTCTTAACTGCGAGGTTCCATCTCACACGTCTCTTTTCTCTTAGCTACAGCCAGGATGGAGAGAAAGGTAAATGGTCTATCTAGGTACCTTGCCAGAGGAAAGACGACAAATGTGGCAGGTCCTGAAGTATGCCAAATCTAGGATGGAAAAGGCTGTCAGATCAGCCAGTGTTGCACAGATCTTGTGTGATAAACATAGACGGTAGCAGCCACTGTATTGGCAAGTCTTCCCTAGATAAACCCCCCCTGTGACATGTACATCCTTTCCTTCTTCCAAGGATCTCCAAGTAGATTTCAGCCTTAAAATTACCCTGAGAGATAGTGTAGGCTGACATCGGTTTGCCTGACCCACGGTCCTCTTAAAGCTCCCCTGTGGGCAAGGAGACTTGTTGCTGAATCCCAGAGATGCAGCCGATCACCACCATCTTAGGATTCCCCCAACCATCTTAAGGCACCAAGTCTGAGCTGAACGAATGCAGCTTTGAGTTCTTTCCCTCCAAGTCGCGATCATGTGATCGCTTCATTGCCTACCCAGCCCTCCAAGGTCTATTGCAAAGAGTCAGTGTTGGAAAGGGCTGTGTGTAGACAACCACACTGGGAAACTTTGTACCACTTATCCTTTATCAGTCCGGGGGTGGGTGGGTGTGTTTCCCAACTGTGCTCTGGAGCATTTGTGTGGCCACAGGAATTTTGGGTATGCCCATAGCACAGCAGATGGCCGCCAACAGGGCTTCATGTGACTGGAGCGTGCAACTTAAAAAAAATCACTTGGCAAATGATGTGAAGAAGTTTATTGGAAGACAGATGGGTGTGGTTAGGGTTCCTGGAAGGTGGAAAGTTTGAAACCCGCTGCTGGGGCAGCACAGAACACATTGCTTTGTATACAGTAGGTATCAGCTCGAATTTCCGGTATCTCCATTGACAGGTTTTTTAAGACCACTGCTTAAGACTTTGGAGAGCCTCTGTCAGTTGGAGCAGACAGTACTGAACTAGATGGACCAATTTTGACTTGCTAGACAGCAGCCTCGTATGCGGTCAAAGGACTTGATAACGTAAGCACATGGCCAAAGGAACAGGCCACACAAACTTTGACAAAAATCAACTTTTTGCCATGCTACTTTGGCTCCCTCCCCCATTTCCGGGTTGGATATTCCTTTCCCTCATAGGACCAAAACAGCGGTTGATAGCTCGAATATCGTCACACCATTGCGTTGGTTCCCTGCCCAACCCCTCCCTAGACAACACTGGTCACACAGCACTTAATATCTGAGGTCTTTATTTAATTTTATATACAGTGTAAGCCACAGACAAGCCTGTGACGATCAGACAAGACAAATGTCAATCCCTCTCAACAATTAGCAGCTTAAAATACCTATAAACTACAGTGTTACGTTCACAAGTGTCATTTCTGTAACTCTTCCTCCTGTGCAAGTGAGTTTTTAGTTTTATACTTCTTAAAAAACCACACTTACAGCTATGTCAGTTGCCTACTGATGCACGGTACCACCTGGCATACACAATACAGACACACAGACCTCTTTTAGCCACATTCAGAATTCTCTTAGAAACTGGCAAGCAATCCAGCGAGGGCAAAACACCCGCCTCCCTCCCTCCGTCTGGAGCTGGCTTCTTGGTTTCTACTGCTTGCAGCTTTCATTTCTTACAAGTCCTACCCCCACCCCATGTAGAAGAAAGATCATGACCCAGCTGGCCAATGCACAAACCTACAGACCTCCTCAACGACATCAGGTTTTTAGGTGTCCACAAAGTTGGAATAAACTAATAAAGTAATCACTGTGAACACAATGTTATCACTTGAGGATACACTCAGAACATATGAGGCATCATATGCAATGGTGGGAGGTATGAAAGAAAATCAAAACATGGTTAACTTTTCACTTTAGTAAAAAAAAAAAAAAGGCAAATAGGGTTCTTTCCAACCATGTTGTACTCAGAGCAGAGCCACAGAAATTTACAGGCATGGTTAATTTATGCCCATGAATTTCAGTGGATCTACTCTTGAGTAGGACCGAAAATGTTTCATGAAGCATGGTAAGCATGTTAAAATATCACTTATCTTTCCTTCAAGGCAGTCTGCTACATTTATTCCTTTTTGTGATCAGCTGATATGTGATTAATATATTAAACACTTCACCCTTTCCAAATAAGAAATTATATGGAAAAATAATTCCATAACCCAAGGAGGTCCACAGCAGTAAAAAGAGCAATAGTAAGAGTAATGTTACACACACACACACACACACACACACACACACACTCTCATTCACTGGCAGACACTGCCTTTAAACAAGTCATCCAGGAATGCTTCACCTTCAAGAAAAAGAACACAGCACTTGCAAATGGGATGGGAGTTTTAAAGCTAGTTCACATTTCTGAAATAACTAACATCTCTTAAACAATTTGATGCAGCCACAGCCCTTCAGACCAACAGTAGGGAGAAAATGTATGATCTGCTAACCAAAAAAATAAAAATAATAAAAAAAAAAATACAAATGGCAAAATGACAAGACAGGAGTCAGGTTAGGAGAGTTGACAGATAGGATTCAACAACACAAAGCACTTTTGGCAATCTTTCAGAAATATGATGGTATTGAGAATCACTTATAACTGTAAGCCAAAAGACCTTCACAGAACAGTCCTGGAGATAAGGGGGTCTCTCAATCATTTTCCTTCTGGTAAACAGGACAGTTTGTTTATGGTACACTCAGAATTCAGAAACCATAAATGCATTTTTACAGGGGATGGAATTAAGCGCCACCCCCTCCTTTTAGACTTTAATGAGTAATGAGTAACAAAGTGCTCATTCATCATCCACTTTGTATTGGTTTGTATTCTGGGCTAAACAAATCTCCAGTGAATTCAGAGTACCATCAAAAATCTGAAGGAGATGCCAGGATACGAGTTCCTGGAAGAGGCTCGTTTCAAGCACTTCAGAATGCAGACCAAAGCCTGCCCTTGTTGCTTCCTTTAGTATTTTTTTTTAATGAAATACGGTGAAAATTGAGAAAGGGTGGAGAGTCGGATGCTATATCAAGTAAAATGGGCATAAACATATGATTCTTGTCATGGCAGATCAGGATAAACGGGAATGGGAATACTAACAAATTCATTCTGTATCTGCAAGTCTAGGGAAACAGGAATGTTTGTTTATTTATTTTTTGGCTTGAGTGTGTTGAAACTGGCAATTCCTTAGAAGGACAAGCAGATATTTGCTCAGTGACAATGAGGCGTAATGTTATTAGATTGAGGAACCTGAGTATATAAAGAGCCGTGAATCTGAAAAGTGATATGCTGAATCTCTTGAACCATGACTAGGGCAGAGGGAAGGTTTCTTGCTGCTGGAAGATAGCAATCAGAAATCAAGTCCCATTCAGGAAAGCAAGGGAAATGGTTACGCAGTTCTAGAGGATAAAGCCCTAACAACAAGAGTTCCTGGACTTCCTATTCCACATTATTTTAGGTCACTTGGGCATTGTTAATTTCTTAAGATGCAATACTGACCAAGGGTAAGTTACAATAAATTATTGAATTCCAACGATGTAAAACAGACTTTTAAAAAACAACGAACTTGTTTCACAATGAGTACAGTGAGCCAGAATTAAGAATGAATCTGAATTCCAGAAATATAAGCCCTATTGGCCAGTGTAAAAAAGAAAAAGGCTCCTGAAAGAAACATGTCACAGTCTTGTTCCAGTCCCAGGACCAGTTCATATGTTTCCAAAAAGGAAAGCAGAGGAACAAGCGGTCATTTCTTATGACACTTCTCCCCTAACTGCATGTCTTGCCCAGGACAACATTCTCTCTCTCTCTCTCTCTCTCTCTCTGTCTGTCTCTCTCTCTCTCCCTTTGGGGCATCATCTTGACAGTCAATATAAATGTGGGTGGAGAATGAACCAGCACAAGCCATTGGCAGTTACACTTCCCCCCCATTTCTTGGTAATGTGCAACCATCAGTCAGTAAAACTGTACAAAATATTATTACTTATAGAGGGAAGGAGACTCTCTCCATCACATATGAGAACAAGATGCACAGAAGGGCTCTAAACACAAAAATCCCCCACCAACAGCGAACACTGCCAGCTTGCTAACAGGATAACTTTGGTTTCCATTATCAGGGGTTTATTTGAACAGTAAATTAAATCTGGGAATATCTAAGGGATTGGCCTTTTGATCCGATGTTTCCTTAAGCGTTCACCCTTCCCTTAAAGATACAGGGCAACTTTCAGAACAGACCTGAAGTTGACTGGATGTAAGCTATTCAGCCACAAGCCTAGCTTTGGTATGCAAGAATCTAAACTGAAAATATAAAACCTATGGACTATCAGTGAGATTACGACTTCCAAGTGCCAATTTTATTTTCAGAGCAGAACTTCAGCTCACTGACTTGGCCGTTTCAAAAGTTAGTTTTCATCTCTCCTTACGTCAGACAAGGATTTCTTTACTCTCTGGAAAGTATTCAGTTCTCTATATGTAACAGACCTGCCCGCCACACCTTTAAAAGAAAAAGACACTATGTGAAGACTAAGAGGAGGAGAAAGAGCTCTCTTTGTGATGCTGTGTCGGCAAGTTAGGGAGAATACAAATCACACCTGAATAGGTCTGCACTCAAGATGCACTCGAAGCTGTTTTCTGCCTTCTCCAAAACTGTTTCAGTATCAGACAGCTCACACTTATTCACACATTTCTTCATTTCAGAACATCACTTCTTTATTTTAAAGGAAAACAAAAAGAGAGAGAGATGATGACCCTGCCCACCACTAAGTTCAAAAACAACCCCCAATAAGAATAATAAAAAATCCTATTAGAAACAATAAGGAAGCACTGAGAGTTTGAGTATTACACTCTTCAAGTATGCCATTCGGATTTTTAAATCTGTGACTATACATATATTAAAAAACCGTAAAAGTGCGACCAAGGGCATTTGCTTAAAGTATTTAAAGGGCTACTTCAAAATACTGTAGTACAACTGTGCAGTAACTATGTCTGGCATAACTTGTCCACTTCATATAGCTAGCCAAAAAGTTTAATAGGCCTTGCAGAAAGAGGGTGGTTAGCGGAAGAGGCCAACCCAGCAACGGATCCAGGGACTTCCATGCATTGCTCTGGTCTTCCATTAGAGAAAGCCACCCTGAAGCTATACATTCGGACATGGAATGTGGTCAGGTTTCACAGTAGCATTATGGGATCGTCACGGTGTCACTGTGCACTAGATTAATCTTTATTACGCTTTATGTAACTGTCTTCTCCTCTCCCCCAGCAGGTTTAGTACAGTAGTTCGCCATAATTTAAATTGCCCATTGGTGTGCTCCAAATTGGTGTTTTATTTTTGTACATTTAAGGAAACTTAAAGATTTGCATCCAAAGAGAACCATGCTACATAAAAAGTATCCAGGATTTTTTTTTGCCAAAAAGAGCTCTTGAATAAAATCTAAAAAATACTATTGCCAATGTGTCTCATAGAGAGAAAATGTTATTTTAACTGTAAACAAATTCACACTCTGACACTTTAAAACTTCAGCAGAGGAAGGAGTGGCTGATTAAGCTTTGCCATGCTCACTTGCCAGAGCAAACCGGAGTGGGTAGGGCAACAGCCAGCTCTTCTCGACATCATCTAGGGGGAGAAAAGAACCGTTCCAAGTAGCCAGTGATGGCGTCCCAGTGCTTCCACAAAAAGGCAATGAAGACCACTATAAATAAAGTGCTGAACGTCCTGCTGCGAGTTTTCATGAGGGGGACAACACAGTTGGCCACGGTGGAGACAAAGACCAACAGAACGGCCATGACAGCCAAGAGGATGTTAATTAGTTTGCCCAGGAGGTTTCTGGCAGTGGCATTTTCAAGACCTTCCAACTGGACAACTTGCTGCTGTTGCTGCTGCAGTTCCATCTTTGAGATTCTGGTTTGACATGCCTCCAGTGCCTCCTGTTGAGAGTAAGAGAATGGATCAGTAACTGCACAACACCTTATCTCATGCATATACATGTTGGTTTCATCCAAAAATGGGGAAGGGAGAGAGGCTGGCCTTGTTCTGTATTGCTTCCTACTCAAATGGGTCAAAGACTGCAGTGGGTTCCTGGATACATTTGGTTGGAATCACGCCAGTCTGCTGACAGTGGGATCAGGTGCCAAGGACACGGATGAAGAACTGGTTTTGCATATCCTGAGTCTAAATAAAGTTTGGGAGTTCAATACCTCAGGCATTCCTGCAGCCTTACTCACACTGCACAGGATATGAGTAACACTTGTTGGATTCATGTCCTGTAGCAAAAATTCCCTTCGTGGTGCAGAGCGCATACAGGCAATTCGCAATGCAAACAAGCAGATCCAATGACAATGCAAGTTGCTTATTGCATTTACAACAGTACTTTCACAAGCCTTGGTGGCATGATAGATTCAGCCTCAGTAATAGTAGAGGACAGTGGATCCTACCTGTTTTCCATTTCATGCTTTCATATCACAGGCCACTGTTATAAACAGTGCAACTTTGGGATTGAATGAAGAGAAACAGCTCTTCAGGAAAGGTAGACTAACGCTAGTTCCCAGCTCAATTTCAGCTACCTGCCTGAACACCACCCCACACATCCCAGCATGAATACTTGTGTCTCATACCCCTGACCAACAATGGTGGCAGTTTATAATATAAGTGCTCCAGACACTGATGTTTAATTTATGCTGAAGTAGCAACAGTACAGCTGGTGAAAATTGTTTATGATGATGATTATTATTACCATTTTTATTGCTATTATAATTACCATTGAACCAGAAGGGGTTGAATGCACCTCTCTAATTTAAAATCAACACCCTAAACCTACACAGACAGAGGGCCTTCTCGGTAGTGGCACCTGTCCTGTGGAACGCCCTCCCACCAGATGTCAAAGAGAAAAACAACTACCAGACTTTTAGAAGACATCTGAAGGCAGCCCTGTTTAGGGAAGCTTTTAATGTTTAATAGATTATTGTATTTTAATATTCTGTTGGAAGCCGCCCAGAGTGGCTGGGGAAACCCAGCCAGATGAGTGGGGTATAAATAATAATAATAATAATTATTATTATTATTATTACTACTACTACTACTACACACCTGGACAGTTTATGTGGCAGAATTTTGAACACTGTTTCCCCCAGCTGGAATAACAACAACAACCCTGTAAGGGATTACTTTGGCTTTATAACTTGGGTGAATGTGAAACAAGTAAGAAAGTATTTCACTGTGGTCAGGCACTTGTACTTGGGTACTTGTTCTTGGTGTTTATTTTGCAGCTGCAACTCTCCAAGTTCAACTTTTCAGACTTCTGAATTTCAAATACTTGACATACCCAGACCAAAAACTTCCCCCTCAAAACACATCCTTATTTGGGAAAGAAAAAATGGAATAGGTTGCTTCCTGAAAGGCCTGAGGGGATATACAAAGCCAGCTACTGTTTTTAATTCAACATTTGTACAGATAGGATTCAAATTAGTGACAGACACATCCTGCCATCAGCTAACTGGGGAAAATACTATAAAAAAACTCTTATGCTTCACAGTACTGCATTTTGGCCCAAACACACATGGAAAAGCTTTATTATAGCTTCCCTCAAATATGGAGGCAAACTCTCATTTGGACTCTTGAGAAGGAGAAAGTCTTATTATATGATGGCTGGGAAACTCATTTTTACCAGAAATTTGTTAAGAGTACTGTAGATGGTTAACTGGCTCCTGTTAATAAAGACTCCTGCAGTAAAAACAATGAGATAAATGTAATTCAGAATACTGGGCACAAAATCTGATTCCACTATTAATGGAAATTAAAGCGGAAACTGATATAATCAGTTGACCACTTCCAATTTGCTTGTCACTTTCACCAACCTGGATGTCTCTGGCTCGTTCATAAGACTGATAAGCTATTTTTTCCTCCATGCTGGCCAATTCCTGCTTTAAATTAAGGATCTCATTCTGGTGGAGCTCAGTCAGGTCATTCAGCTGCTCTTCTAGCCGTTCACATCTAGAACAGAGAAATATGGCCGTCAAACATATTTTAAAAGTATCTACTTTGTATTTCTTTGCAAACTCAGGCTGAAAGAGATGACCAACCATTTTGAAAACCAGAGTTGGTGGCAGTGCTGGATTTAGGGGGGTGTGGGCAGTTAACCCAAACAGGGCACTGAGCTGAGGGGATGCAAAATTTTGGCCTCACTCAGGGCCCCATATTGCCAAAGACTGGTGGATTCAATGTGATGGCAGGAAATTCAATACATATTCCCACACCCGTGTAGGTCTTAAAGTGCTCTAAGACAGTAAAACTGAGATTTTCACTGGTAAGCAGCTAAATCTACCTCATTTGAAAGTCCTGTAGATTCTGCATGTTTTATGGACTTTTTAAAATGCAGCTTTAAATTTACAAAGAAAAGCAGGGTTTAAATTTCAAAACAAATTAAATATAGGAAAGTGTATCCTGGAATTCAAGGGTTTCGATTTTCTTTGTGTAGTTTCACATCAGGCTTTAAATTTACTGCTGTTCACATGCACATGCTGTTCATTACGCACGTGAGCATAATATCACATGGGGAAAACATAAGTAGGTAACCTTGCACAACTATAATAATATACGTTCAAAAGGAGCCCTGGGTTGCCTCATCAACTGTATTCTTGCTCTGACAGGGCTATTCAACATTCTTAAACTCTAATCAGATTCTAGAGAAGTCTGCCCTTCGTGACTGTTTTGAGGCTGCTGCAGCAGCTGGTACAAAACATTATGGATGGCTTCTGGGCCAGGAATCACTTCACACCAACAGCACATATCATGGGCTTTCTATAGCCTTCTAAGCATAAATTTAAAGGCACCCAGTATAATGAACTCAAATAAGGGCATCTCAATTTGTAGGAAGTGCCAAAGAGGTGTCCAAACATGTTCGCATGACAAGGGCCTTTTCTTATTTCTAGGGCTAGTTTCCTTTTCATGACAGCACACTGTTACTGTTATGCAGCCTCTTTAAGAGACAGCATCATTTGCTGCCTCCCCTCTATGCAAATACAGTGGTACCTTGGGTTAAGTACTTAATTCATTCTGGAGGTCCATTCTTAATCTGAAACTGTTCTTAACCTGAAGCACCACTTTAGCTAATGGGGCCTCCTGCTGCCGCCGCTGCACAATTTCTGTTCTCATCTTGAAGCAAAGTTCTTAACCCGAGGTAATATTTCTGGGTTAGCGGAGTCTGTAACCTGAAGCGTATGTAACCCGAGGTACCACTGTATAAGCTGCCTAGGTATGTATACTAAAATGGAGGAAAAAAGACATGTCCTGAATTAGCAACTGGTGTGATATTCTTATATTTGCAATTATAAAGGGGGTTGGGGGAGGGAATAGTACTTAAAAGGTAGCATTAGTTGACAAGTGGATCCCAAAACGTTGAGTAGGTTTATATGCAGTTTTCACTGGAGAACATATGGAAACCACTGGCTTACAAGGGACCACTTTGCCACATTGCCTTGGCAATGGAGAAAGGTTGATTCTGTTCAACATCCTTGAAATATTCAGAGGGTCCAGGGGCAGAATTTGGCTTGGGTGAAGCATACCAAAGAAAACACTCTTTCCAAGCCAAGTATTTCCTCCCACCTATGAGTGAAGGCTTCATGACAAAGGAAGGATGATTTTGCTCAACATCTCTGCATCACAGGTGCTTTCACAGAGCGAGTGAGTATAAAGGATAGAAGGAAAATCTGGCTCAGACAAACTGACACTAAAAAACAAAATTTGGCACAGAGTCCATCTTCCCACCATAGTGTGTAAGAGAACCTTGTAATCTCTGGATGTGGCAGAGCCTCCTTACCCTTTTCCTGCCCAGAAATGTATTCTGTTCACTGGACAGAAACTAGCCATGTTTGCCTGCCTTTTGCCAATTAAACCACGTTGTTACCTTCTCCTACCAGTGATATTCTTCAACAGCAGAGGAATGGACACATGTACAATCTTCATTAGGGAGGTTTGGGGAGGGATTTGCAGAAAAGGCAGGGGTTAGTCCAACCTGTCAGTATTTTTCTGTAAAGGCAGCAAGCCTCTACCTTGAGTAGAAACCCTCAATGACCCTACAGCACCCTCAGAGCATGCAGGCACTGAAGCTTACTAACATATAGTGGTATTTTGGGTTTATTGTGTCCTATATTGTGAGATTATTGTGTTTTTGGAAACACTGCAGTCTGAGTACCAAGGGGATCAGCTATAAATACCAATATAACATCTTTTTAAAAAAAAATTCCTGCAATTTTTGGCTCTCTCCAAGGCCTTGTATCAGAGGGCAAAGAATAATACCAAATATGTACCATGTTACCATGCTATCAAAACATTCCTTTATTTATGGTGCCTCACTCAGGGAATTTTCTTCCCAAGAGGCTTGCCTGGGGCCTGCATTAATGTCTTTTTGGTGCCAGGTACAGCCCATTTTATTTTCCCATGCTTTGAATTTGATGAGATACTTTAATCCTTCTCTTGTATTGATTGTTTTATAACGTATTTGTTTTTTCTGCCTTGGATATACCCGTTGAAGGGCAATATCAATTCATTAAATGAACTGAAGGTATATGGGCTGAGCACTGTGATGTTATTCAGAGCTGCAATCCCACACACATTTAAGTTCCTTTGAGCTCAGTGGGGCTTACTGCTGAGTAGGTAATGCATGTGCTGCAACTCCTTTAACATTCTGAATTTTAACTGACATTTTTGCAGTACTCTGGGCGCTTACTGCCTTGGTTCCGCAGCATACGTAGATATTTGCCCATGATCTAATAGTTGGGGGCAATTTTAATTTGCTGCAGTGCAAAGAAGACTTGCTGCCTCTGAAGGGGTGCCCAATTTTCTCTTTAATGATGAAACATCCAATGCTCCCGTTAGATGTCACAGCCCTGCTATGGGAAGCTCCTGCACCACCGATTTAACATCTATAGGACACCCAAGACGTAAATTGATTGGAACATGCCATAATGATTTTTTAAAGCTGGTTGTTTTGATCTAGCAGTAAGAGGTATCAAACCCAGCATTTCACTTGAATCGTAGAAGTGGAGTTGGAAGGGACCATGAGGGTCATCTAGTCCAACCCCTGTAAAACAGGAATCATTTTGCCCAACTTGGGGCTCGAACCCATGACCCGGAGATTAAGAGTCTCATGCTCTTACTGACTGAGCTAGACATCTTCTGTTCTGATGTAGCAAATGCACACCTTTGTATACAAAATAAAAATAAAAATCGTCTGTGTGGTACAGGATGTGCCTGTATATTTTGTGGTTGGCATAAGTACCCACTGTTCTAAAGCGCCACATAATATGCATCACTTTTTACATCATGATTTCAAATTGAGACTACAAGAGAAGTCTCCAAAACAAAGTTCTGCATATCACAAGCCAGCAAAGCACTAAATGACTGGTCTCAAGGCTATCTTGGTAGACTAGAATTAAACAGCAACAGAATGGAGATCAAAGGGATTAAACTTGTAAAAACTGAAATACAAATGCAGCACAACACACTAATTGAGCTTCTAAGATGATCCCATGAAGACTGGCAGTCTGTGAGTGAACGGAGTGCATCTAAGCTATCTATTTTTCGCTCTGTAAAGAAAGCTTCAGGCATAAATTGTAACAAGAGAGACTCAGTAGAAACTGTTGACAGCACATAAAGTCCTGTTTTATCAAGTAAACATCAGCTATATTCTCAAAGCTATTAAGCAACAGGCTATTTTGGAGTTTGGTCTCACTGATAAAGGATCGATTGCAAAAAGAACAACATGCAGATAGAGCTGGATTACCAAAGAGGGATGTAAAAGGAGTGGCTAATCAGTCTGGACTATGAGGCCACATCAACTGCCCAATGGACAGGAGGCACAGCTTCTGCCAAGGCTTCTAATAACTTCTGACACTACAGCACAGGGCAGAAGTGACTTGCGGAAATCATACTGTCATCAAAAAATGCTGGCCGGGTGGAATGGGAGGGGGGAATCAGAAGATGAGACAGCTCTAGCAGCACCAAGTCTCAGCGAACAAAGGCAACTACAATGCCATCAGCAAGAAGGCAGGCTGCAGACAAACAGGGAATGATAAACAAACTACATAGAGCAGGAATCGCTAACACAGTGTCCCCTAACAATCACAGGACTCTAATTCCCATCAGCCCTAGCTAGCATGACCAACGGACAGGAAACTGAGGTTGAACCATCTATGAAGGTTACCACAATGGCTACCACTGCATTGGAGAAATAAAAATTTGAACAGGAAACGGCACCCTTTGGTATAACCCCTTCACTTTCATACTGGGGTCATTTTTAAACACAAGAATGGAGAAATGCCTGCCTTGAACTCCCATACCGGTTCTACCTATGGCCGTCAGCAAACTACCATATGCTTTCTTGGCATCAGTTATCACTTCATCAAGGCCAAGGGAGAGCCCTATCTTTTGGGTGTCTTAAAGTGGATTTTACTAATCCCTCAGCAAGGAACCTTACACAGTAAAAACGGCAATGAGAGTTAACGAATAAATCTTTTGACGCAATGCTCTTTGTTTTATCTTCAATGCTATAATGGCAGTAACAGCTACAAAAGCTGCCAGAAAGGGAACTTCCACACTACTGAGGGGAAGGAGGGAGAGGGAAGACAGCATGAACCTCCTTTCTGTTAGGAAACATAACTATTTATATAAGCAACTTTTCCTTATAAACAAAGTAGAGGATGGCGGCCAGGTATCTGCCAAAACTCTGTGTCTAGCTATAGAATCTTCCTGACAGAGGGGCTCTGCACGCACACATAGAACTCAGACATGTGACTGACATAGGAAGTTGCCTTATACAGATTCAGACTATCTAGCTCAGTATTGATTGGCAGTGGGTCAGACTGGGGTCTCTCCCAGTCATATCCCGAGGTGCTGGGGGCTGAAACTGGGACCTTCTGCATGTAAAAGAGGTGCTCTACCACTAAGCCCAGGCCCTTCTTACCATTTTATGGTGCATAGGAGATAAGATATATTTGACAACAAGTGTACTTTTCCCCCTCCTTGCAGCTTAATGCTACAGATATCAACTATAAACTGAACTAGTTTAACACATAAAAACATAAAGAATAACAGAGACTGGCATGCAGGAAACTGTGGCTTTAATTACTAGCATTACTAGTTAAAATTACCTTAAGTAGCAGGATTAGGAAAGACTTGAGAGCCTATGAGCCACTTCTGGGAACAGGTAACAATGGCCTAATGAGTGTATACCAAGATGTCTAAAAGCTAGTTTCATGTGATACAGAATGGTGATGAGGAAGAACTCTTGGGATAATGTTGTTATTTTGCAATCAGTTAAATATCTCTATCTTGATTGCTTAAGGGTAATGATATTTTAACACTATCTTTAAACCCAGTGAAGCAAATATAACCTCAAAGTTACAAATACAACAAAGGGAATAAAAAAATTACACTCTGTGCTTCAATGTCTGCAAATGGCAAAAAAAGCCGTCAAAACCAATTAGTGCTGCCTAAAGGTATATCGTATCCTAAGACCCATATGCCAAATGATACAGTGAGTTATTTTATTCAATAATAAAACACGGCCCGCTCATGCTTGCTCTAAGGCTGAACAAATACTATCAGCATAATGTTGTATAATTAGGGCCCTCCCAATTTCAATATGGAGTCATGGACCAACAAGTCCAAATATCTGACTTATTGGTTTTTTTAATATGTAACTCAAGGTACAACTTTTTGGAGGCAACAAAAGAACAGCAACTACCAATATCATAATAATAGACAGGGTGAAGTATTCTCCAAGATTTGGTGGCCCTGAAGGTATCACATACCTTTAGAGAAGCATAGCACTGAAGCCTGCAAAGTGCATTTTGTTAAGTGTTGGGTGACTACAAGACCAGTATTACAACTACTGCACTGGCTCACAGCTTCCAGAGTAAAGTCCTAGCTTTGGCCTTTAATTTTTTTTTTGCAGCCATAGAACATTCTTGCTCCTACAACCCTCTGCCTTCCACCCTCTCCCTCTATGTAGATCATCAGAAAAGGTTGGGCTCAAAAAATCCCTCATCCAACAGGATGAGGATTTTGGGATGGGCAGGGAACTGTAGCGCAGGGCTACTTTGGTTTCCAAAACTGGGACAGACACCCAGAATGCATGTGCTGTGAAAAGTAGCAAGCTGAAAGAGGTGAAGGTCTGGAAGAAGAAACCTGCACATGTAGAAGGGGACAATTGTGTATGTGTATATATATTACGGTGCTGCCTGATACCTGTGAGATTGTTAGCGCTGAATGAATGCATGCATAAAAGGGACGCGGGTGGCGCTGTGGGTTAAACTACAGAGCCTAGGACCTGCCGATCAGAAGGTCGGCAGTTCGAATCCCCGCGACGGGGTGAGCTCCCATTGCTCGGTCCCTGCTCCTGCCAACCTAGCAGTTCGAAAGCACGTCAAAGTGCAAGTAGATAAATAGGTACTGCTCAGGCGGGAAGGTAAACGGCGTTTCTGTGCACTGCTCTGGTTCACCAGAAGCGGCTTTGTCATGCTGGCCACATGACCCGGAAGCTGTACGCTGGCTCCCTCGGCCAATAAAGTGAGATAAGGGCAACTCCAGAGTCGGTCACGACTGGACCTAATGGTCAGGGGTCCCTTTACCTTTACCTTTATATATATTACGGATGCTGCCTGATACCTGTGAGATTGTTAGTGCTGAATGAATGCATGCATCTAGGTGTGCTTTAACATCAGTAGTATCAGTGAAAAGTTAGACTGAAATTCTCACCGGTATCTTTCTTCCTGCAGAGCCTGCATTATCAAGGAATAATCCCTCTGATAGTGAACCTTAAGGTTCTCAAAAGATTCCTCCAGCCGTCCTTGCATCTCTCTGATCTCTTGAATCTCATGCAGTATTGCATCAAACCCTGAGCTCTGCATATCCAGAGTGTTCGTTTTGGAGCTTGGTGCTCCCACAGGGATCCCTGTGGTGCTGTTGGCCCCCACAGAGCCTGATGTGGCACTGGAGCAATCGTCCTCGCTGCCATATTTTGGGCTTGACTGAAAATTATGAACACCTAGAGTTTTTCCCCCAGTCCCATCTTCTTGACCTTCTTCCAAGGAGTCCTTCAGATTAGCAATATTGTCTGCACTCCCAAACCTGTTCCTAATGAGTGAGGCAATCTCCCGGGGTTTGGAGACGACAGCTCCTGCTGCCGAATGGGTTGCTTGGGAGAAACTAGAAAGTCCACCCTTAACACTGTCTACCACTCCTTCGCTGAAGCCAGTGACCTTTGCTCCCACATCTTTCAGCCCCTGGTGCATATCCCTCAATACATCTTTGGGCTGTCGAGGGATACCATTCTGTTCGATCTCTCGCAGCTTCCGATGGTAGTGCTCTAGCTTCTTCTGCAACTGGAGGATTGTCTGGGCTGACTTCTGGTTCTTCTTCTCAAATACCTGCTTGATGCGGGCACTCTGTTGCTTGTCCGCATTATTGGCTAGTTTTAGGTATTCTGCCACATTGTCATCCCGAGCTGTTTGCTCTATTTTGATCTGCTCAGTCAACTTCAGTATTTTTTGTTGCAGGTGGGTGATGGCCACTTTTGTGCGCTGAGGATCTGGCGTTCCATCAATGGAATCTGCGTTGATGCTGCACTCTGTGCTTGAGGCCACTGCACTGGATGTTTGTGCTAGACTGCTTACATCTAATCGCTCAATCTGGGGAAAAAATAAGAAAGTGAACATTACAAACTGCTTTAATACCATGCAGCCTCCACTCAAAATGCACTTTGCTTCATTTAGGAAGCAAAAATATACTTATTATTCTTATTCTTATTATTATCTTGTTTCTTTAGGTATTGTTCTTCAATATTCAGGTGAAACCTCTAAATCAGTGAGAAGAATACCAGCAAGCCTCTCCAGTTTTTGGAGAACTTAAAAGGATGAGGGTCAAGAAATTTCATCCAGATGCTAGCTTCGTGAAGAGCAAAGGAGTTAACTGTCCTGGGTCATATGTATTATCCTGTACAACAGAGAGAGTAATGTGATACTTCCAAAAGCTCTATATTTCCAGCACACATAGCAAGCACAGTAATAGTATGTATAGCAAATAAACCTTTTAAATAAATTCAGTCTCTTATTGTGTGACTGTGTGTTCATGCTTCCTTTCCACATACAATCCTGGGCCAGCACGGATCCCAATCTGTTGTAAACCACTTTGTGAAACTTTGTTTGAAAAGCAGCCTATAATTTTTTTTTAAATAAAAAATATAGTTGGAATGTGGGGGCCACATCCCCCAGAACAGGAGTATGCTTGTACAAATGGCTGAATAGGTGAGCATCCAAAGTAAGGTTCATTCAACACTATGAGGTATCAATATCATGACTGTATCTAAACTTCCAGGATGATTCACCTTCGTTCTCATGTACCCACCCGAGTCTGAAATGTACATCAATTTACTGAGCACAAAAATTCCATAGCAGCCAGAGATGCTGAAACTCTCCCAAACAAAATATACTGGTATGTAGCCAAGCCTTAAAAATGTCTACAATGGGAAAAGTCACATGGAAATGAAATTAGCATTTAACTTTCTCAACATATTGACTACTCTTAATAAGTAAACCCTTAATAAAAACTTAACTACAATTGTTTTTTTCTTTTTAACGGGAAAGAAAGGATCCCCCTTTCTCTCACCTACCTTGGCTTTTCTGAGCCGCAATAGCTGTTCCCAGTGCATGACTTGAACAAAGGAGCAACATGCCTACAATAGCTCTGCTGAAAGCTATTCTACACTCACTCGCTGCATGCAGTAAAATGAAGTCTTAAGGAAGGTGGCTTAATACAGAAACCAATGAATCATTTAATTACTCAGCAGCTCCTCCCCAAACAGGGAAGGCATTAGTTCATGAAAAATAACAGCATGACATCATGTGAGCTGTGGACTCTTAACACACAGGTGCTCTCTCTCTCTCTCTCTCTCTCTCTCTCTCTTTTTCTTTAAAAGCAGTCCAGAGAAAACAAAGGAAGCTGTAAAGACTTGCCAGCAGATGAAACATGATTCCGCCCTACCTATCACACATAGTTGAGAACCCATGCAAAGGGTGAGTTGGAGCCAAAAGGTGTCATCTGAGGTGGAAGGCACCCAAGGAGGAAGGGGCAATCTTTAAACCACACCAACCTTCACAGTGTGTTCTGCCAATGGAGCAAGTTAAGCTATTTAAACAAAATGAAGAATAGAATGGTTTAAGAGTGACTTGACCCAGTATTAAATTCAAGTGGTGTAGACATTGAAAGCACTATAGGATTTTCTTTGGTGGGGGGAATATTAGTAATCCCCTCCTTTAAAAATGGAAGGAAGTTAAATATGTACACATTTATGTTCTACAGCTCTGAGGGGTCACAACCCTTAACTACTGACCGCATGTCCCATTAGCAGCAATCACCAGGGGGTGATGTAGGTAGGAAAAATAAACTGCACTATGCGTACTATAGATAAAGGCTGTCCAAGTGCTATAAAAGGTAAAGGGACCCCTGACCATTAGGTCCAGTCGTGGCCGACTCTGGGGTTGTGGTGCTCATCTCGCTTTATTGGCCAAGGGAGCCGGCGTACAGCTTCCGGGTCATGTGGCTAGCATGACTAAAGCTGCTTCTGGTGAACCAGAGTAGCACATGGAAATGCCATTTACCTTCCCGCCAGAGCGGTACCTATTTATCTACTTGCACTTTTGACGTGCTTTCGAACTGCTAGGTCGGCAGGAGCAGGGACCGAGCAACGGGAACTCAACCCATCGCGGGGATTCGAACTGCCGACCTTCTGATCGGCAAGTCCTAGGCTCTGTGGTTTAACCCACAACGCCACCCGCGTCCCCCAAGTGCTGTAGATAAGGCTTAAATTAAGATGTACCAAAATATAGTTTATAATGAAAACTGAAATGGAAGTAGTTAAAGGCACTCTCTTGGGCAAGGCTCATCTACAAACACACACACAAACCTACTGCAAAGAGTACTTGCTCCTGGACCTTGAGTTTTCTTTGCCGTTTGCAGACTTGACATAGCTAGCAAATTTCATTTTACATGTAGCTTCTGTGTGTGCTATCAGACTTTCCTCTTTTTAATGCCCTCTTCTGTTAAATCTTTGGCTGTGAAGCTGAAATCAATTTTTAAAAAACTTTAGACCAGGTGATATAGGAACCTTAGTTAGCCCTTTAACTGAAACTCTCAGCTAGTGGGTAAATATTAATCCTACTTTTTGACGAAACTGAATTGCTTCCTGAAAGTGGAGCTCTCCAAGTGTAAACAGTTTTATTGCTCAGGATAAGCAATGAATGATCTCAGTTCCTCAACTGAGCGCATGGCACAATAGACACTAGGCACACTTACAAGGGTTACACATACAGTGAGGGGGAAAGTATTTGATCCCCTGCTAAATTTGCCCGTTTGCCCTCTGATGAAGAAATGACCAGTCCATAATTTTAATGGTAGGTTTACAGTAGCTGTGAGAGACAGAATAACAACAGGAAAACCCCCAGAAACCCAGAATACAGAAGTCAGAGACTGATGTGCATGCAAAGAATAAAGCTGGTTTTAAAAGGGTTTTAGATAGCCATTGATAGTCTTGTCCTCAATAACTATTGTCATGCTACAATGGCCATGTATCAGAGGTGGTACCCCACTCAATTTCAGTTGCCAGGGAGCACGTGGGGAATGTTCCCTTGTATTCATGTTCCTGCATGCATCTGGTTCCCATAGGCCAAAGGTTTTCAACCTTTTTAGGTTCACGGCTCCCTTGACCAACTACGTTCTTTCTTCGGCACCCCTGTGAGGCTCAGGAGCCTGGTTATGTCACCCCTTGCCTGCAGAGCTGGCAGCCCCTCACCCCTTTTTGACCACCCTCCCTTGTGGAGTGTTCCCTCAGCCTCCTCTCTTCTACCCTCTCCTTGGGAGTCCTTTGGGCAGCAGCAGCTTCCACCACTGGTCTCTGAGCTGCCCCCCCCACCCCAAAGAGAGGTACCTCCTCACACTGCCACACAGAGGCCTGGGAAGCAGCCCCCGGCCAGTCCCAGAGGCACCATTTGCCTGGGGAGCTTGTCGCCAGAGCTGCTGCCACAAACATCTGTGCAAGCCTTTGGGAGGCAGAGACGCAATAGGGCATCAGAGGGAGGGAGGGAAGGAAGGAAAGAGGGACAGAGGCCAGTGTTGTCCACGGCACCCCTGACTATGATTCAGGGTACCCCAGAATGCCACAGCACACTGGTTGAAAACCACTGCCACAGGCATCTGGTTGGCCACTATGGCTTCAGGATACGGGAAGAATAGAATGGTGGCTTTTTGTCTGAATCACTTATTTCTGAAGGTGTGTTCGAAATTTCTCATGAGAAGTAGCAATCGACACTATAATTAGTCTGACCATGTGATACTCCTTACAGTTTCGTTTTTTTCAGAAACTGTGCACAGAATGGCAAACAAGAAAATGAAGTTTCTCTATGCATGTGCACCTGTTGACCCATCTATACAAATAGCAAGTGCTTTCGGATATAAGAAAACTGGGTCAAGAGCAGTGCTGTGTCTTTATCCAGGGAGTAACTGCCTTGGATTGATGTCATAGCGTATGGCTATATAGTAAGCTGCATTGCCAAATTTGGCTCTTAACCACTAGCTAATAACTATTTACGTTGAACTTACCACTTGTATTTCATTTTACAGCTTTGATAATTGTAAGTTCATTCAAATAACCCTTATTTCAACTATAGGGCAGGTATCAGAGACAAGTAAGGGAAGGTGATGGAGGTATTCTAACTGTTGAACTCCAAAAAGGTGTTATCTGGCATGTGATAAGCTTTGACTTTTAAAGCAGGGCTCCGAAAAAAGACATGCACATTCCAAATCTAGTTGAATGAGTTTACTAATCATTAAAGGGGAGGCCCTACTTCTTCCAGTCACTGTGATTTTCTCTCTGGAATTTTGAGGACAGCCCTGCTTGAAGATCTTAATAGGCAGCCACATCACACATGGAGGGAGGAGTCGTCTTTGAACCATGCAGGTATGTAGGGCTTTAGTAGTCAATAAGCACCTTGAATTGGGCTTGGACACAAACTGACAGTCAGTGTAAACACTGTAATGTAGGTTGTAGGTGGGCGTACACACATAGCCTTATCAGTTACATTCTGCATCACTTGAATTTTCTGGACCATTTTCTACGGCAGCCCTTGAGGAACACAGCTTTGAACATGTCTTACCATGGAACAGTGGCAAACAAGTTTAAGAAATCTCTCGCCCACGTGCCTAGTTAGACCCATAAGGCCTCACCATTTTGCCTCACAAGGCATTTTGGCCAAGCCACCTCCACCTGCCCTACACCTGACATCAGAAATAGGCAGGCAAAGACCTGGCTCAAGCCAATAGGGAGTTTGCAGGCACACCTACAAAGCCCCAATGATCATCTGATTAGTGCTGATCACTGATACTTTGCCTGCATAGTTTGATTTCACGTGGGCAAAATAGGGTCACCTCACATCATTGTGACATCAGGTGAATGACAGGCTCTACCAACCTGCCAAACATGGTTCACAGGGCTTGGAGAAAATAATAATCTGGATTACCGACCAGAAACAATATAGACTAAAAGGCATCCCTGATTAACTGAGCAGCACACTTTTAAAAAATGTTTATTATTATAGTAACTGCAGACTGGAGGCACCATTTATTCAAAGCAGGTTTCTTAAATCCTAGCAGATAAGAGAAAGCTGTTAACATTATTGGCTGTGCGTTTCTTGGTGGGTTTAGCTACTAGCTGCACCCAGAGTGTGTGAGGGATGGGGCGCACAGAGGGTGATGTTCACCCTTGCGAGTCCAGCCCGGCTACTGAGTGCTTGCCCAGCAGGGCGGGGGAATGGGGACTGACAGTGGGGTGTGGCAACATCCTCAATATTGGGGGGGCTGAGTCCTTTGCCCCAAAATATTGAAGTTGGCTGAAGCCCCCTCTGCCCCATATACTTGGTGCTGTTGTGTTGGAAGAACAAGCAGCATATGTATTTGGGCCCAGAGAAGAGCAGTGATGAGTTTGCCCTGTACCCAGACAGAGCAGGAGTAAGGTGATGCCTTCATACAACAGCAAGAGTAACCAACCTTCACCAAGGCCTGAAGATTCCCTTTGAAATCCCATGTAAATACAAGTCCTGCAGATGACCTAGATGTTCTCTGATCCATATATAATGGGTGCATTTGTTGTACAGCTGGTTTTTAAACACATAAATTATAAAAGAATGTTTCTCATAGGATGTAGTGGTCACTTTAAAAGAGGGACAGTTCTATGGAATCCTTTTGTATAATAAAAGGCGAAGGGCCTTCTTGGTGCTCGCCCCCGCTTTGTGGAACACCCTCCCGTCAGATGAAAAGGAAATAAAGAACTATCTGACTTTTAGAAGACATCTGAAGGCAGCCCTGTTCAGAGAAGTTTTTAATGTTTGATGTCATATTGTGTTTAAATTTGTATGAAGACACCAAGAGTGGCTGGAGGAACTCAGTGAGATGGGATACATATACATATACATATACATATACATATACATATTATTATTATTATTATTTCTGCAGACCGGTTTCTGAAGATTATTTCAGTTGTGATGGGAAAAGAGCTCTAATTCCCACAAAGCTTATATTCTGGTGAGGTTAGACTATGGAAAACTTGATAAGCAATCTTAATTACCAAAACTTGCATGACAGATTTTACTGATGCTTTAAAGGAAAAAATCCATTTCCCTAATTATGGGTAAATTACATTTCTTCTGGCTCTGTTAAAACAAAAAATATGTAGTGTTGCTGAGTTGTAGTTTAAAATTTTGTTGCTTTTTGTTGATTGCAAGGATTACTTGCCCAGAAAAGCACCCTAAACATATTTTTGATAAATAAGTAAATAATAAAACAAACTGGGATATTTTTTCTGCACCAGATAGCTTATAACCCAGTGCTGCTTTGAGGCACATTCCACCTTGAGTGATCATGTTTATAGTCTGCTTGTTAGAAGAAAGCTCCGCAGTTATTATCCATTAGTATGTCTGGAAATGAAACAGAAATTGGATGGCTTTCTGTCATGGGTTATTTAGTTGTGTTTCCTACATCGCAGGAGGTTGAACCACATGACCCTTTGGATCCCTTCCAATTCTATGATTCTATGAATTCGGAACTTTCACAATTGTAATTTAACTACATGTTGTCCATCCAGTGTTTAGAGAGACCCAAAATCCAAGCCCTGTATAAGAACTTACATGATTCATGATGAGTACACAGAGTTGAGTGTACTTTGCAAATCTGCATGTCAGTAAAGCAAATGTCCTAACTTGACATGCAGCCGAGAGAAATCACTAAAAACTATGACTGACTGCATCAGGTCCTTAAAAGACACCTGAATGAGCTAGCCAACAGCTATTCTGCACCATGTGGATTATTCTTCAGTATCTCCACCGGAAATTATTGGTGCCCTGCTACGATGCATACATATAATTCCGCTGACAACTCCTCTCATCTGACATCATCCTTAACATAACACTGTTTACTCAGCATGCTGGCAAGTTCATATCACTGTTTTGGTATTGATTACTCTAGATAGCAAGCTGGCATTTCTATTAGCAGAAGTCTTATCTGAACATTTAAAACTGCTGTTAAAGTTATTTTTAAAACAGCACCTGCACATTAATGCTAAGGTTCATAGAAGCACAATACAGTAACCACAACTTCAATGACTGACCTCTTACATCGAACTACAAGTACTGGTCAAGACTGCTTGAATGCAAGGAAGGCTCTATGTGGGGAACCAAGCAGTGTGTGTGTGTGTGTGTGTGTGTGTGTGTGCGCGCGTGCGCCAAACTCTCCTGAAAATGCCCCTAACTCTCCCTGTTGGTGGCTTATTTTCAGTATTTTGAGCTCAGCTGGGAGGAAAATGGGTTAATAATGACATGAGAGGATAACAGCAGGAAGCAACAGATCAGTGGCAGCTCATATGCTTTACATCAGGGGTGAGGAGCCTCTGTCAGCCTGAGGGCCACATTCCCTTCTGGCCAACCTTTCAAGGGCCACAGGCAAGAGTGGGGCAACAATGAATGTTAATTCTAACTCTGTACAGTAGGCTAGTTTCTACACACACACTCATCAGTGTTAGAAACTCAAAATATATAAGGTAATCGCCAAATGTCACCTTAAACCTTGGTTAGAGGTTGGAATGTCTAATCACCATTGTTATTACTATTACCATTATTATTATTCATTTCATTTCTATACCACTTTATATTTTAAAGAAAAAAAAATCTCAATGTGGTTTACACTAGGAATGGACAGACAAGTCCCAGGCCCCTGTGGGACGGTGTGAGGAGGCATCTCTCTTTGGGGCAGGGGGGTGCAGCTCAGAGATCAGGAGTGGCAGCAGCGGCTGCCCAGAGGACTCCCAAGCAGATGGGAGAAGAGAGGAGGCTGAGGGAACACTCCACAAAGGAGGGTGTTCAAGAAAAGGTGAGAGGCTGCCAGCTCTGCAGGCAAGGGGTGTCATAATTGGGCTCCTGAACCCCACAGGGCTGACACAGAAAGAGTGTAGTTGGCCAAAGGACCTGTGGATTCGAAAAGGTTGAAAGCCTCTGTTCCAGGGCATTCCTTTCTCTCAGGACAGTCATATCTCATTAATGTGAATGGGATCACCAGATTACCTAGCTGCACCACTAACTATAACCTTATAACCCTTGTGACTGGACCAGCCTTTTGCACAGGGCTAAGCCTCTTTTCCTCAGCTGGGATAGTCAGAGGTACCAGGCACACTTTAACCCAGGGGGACACAGACTCTGGTGTCTTTATGATGTATGCACCTTGGAACTTGCATGTTGAGGCCTTGTTGGTTGTTCCACTACTGGTGACAGACTCATTAGTGTTGACTCATGACAGGGCCTTCTCAGTGGTGGTTCTCCCTTTGTGGAAAGCCCTCCCTGGTGAGATACATCTTTCATTGGCTTGCAGGAGGAATATCAAAACATTATTGTTTACCCCAGGCACCTGATGCTTGATACTGTCACTGGTAACTCTGAAATCATTGGCTGAGAATGTCACTTATTTTAGAATGCTTTAATGATATGCTGTTGACTGCCCTAGTCACCTTTAGAGGGATATAGATTGAAGAAATAATAATAGCAGCAATAGTAGTAATACCAAAGTTTCTTCATTCCAGCAATTTTCACAGGTGGCTAAACTAAAAGCTGTCTGTGATCCAAACATAACTGATTTTATAAGCCTACGTCATATGACACAAAATGAGAAACACTAGCAAAGCTTAATGTTTTGTTTAAACAATTCTCTTACTAGCTTGCTGTTAAACACAAGAAGCATTTTAAGATGCAACTGGTGTGCAAGAGGATTCATGCTCTGGTAGAAACATGTAGTTCAAAAATTCTACAAAAGACACAGATAAATCAAGGCAGATGGGTAACTAGCTGTGTAATAATCCTGTTAAGAATGCTCTAATTAAAGGAACTCATCATGACTCATCACACAGTCCAACTGCAAGGGCCTAACCCACTGGGAATCCAGAGTCAGAACATGATGCACATGGACTGTGTGGCTTGTATAAGGAACTCCAGTTTTGAATTACTAAATCTGCTGCTTAGAGACTATTAGCACCACTTCTGTCATCTCTTAATGAAGTGGATCTGGGCAGCTTAATGCTGAAAATATTGTTATATGCCACCCTATCTTTGAGCGGTGTGAGATTCCAGAGGTACCAGGCACACTTTAACCCAGGGGGACACAGACTCTGGTGTCTTTATGATGTATGGTTTATTTACACACATATATAATCTGAAGCCTACAGTGGAAGAGCCCCCAGCCTTCCTCCCCCGCAAGTTTCTGTCTCTCTCATAGACACAGCAGCATCCTTGCCTTTTTCAGAGAATGGTCATATCCCACATGTTCTAACCCAAGACCAGGTCTTTTGTAACACAGAGAGAGGCCCCACTATCTGCATTCTCACACTTAGTTCTTTGATGATTTGTTCTGCTAACGGCTCACTACTCCCAGGCTATTACCTCAAACAAGCTTTTACAGGGGTTGATTGCCTAGGATTAAAGGGGGTGCCAGAAACACAATTTGGGAAGTTTTCCCGAGGGGCTTTGAAGTGGGTCTTACATGCTCATACAGACCTATCTGAAGACAGAAGGATCTGTCATCCTGTTTTAACATACCAGTTCTAAAGTCTAACACTGATTAAAGCCAGACATTAAGCCTCCCACCAAGAGACCTGGTCTAGGGTTAGCCAGGTTATTAATATTAAGATACCGGCAGTTAAATGTTTATTTCTATTGGCAGAGACTGGTAAAAATATGCAAGTATTTAAAAATGCAGCTGATACAATACAGCAATAAATTATTTGATTCATTCCTCCTGCTCCCATCCTTTCACTTCAGTAGACAATGAGTAGACGCTACCTCACCTTTAAAGTTAAGATTATTTCCTGTTATTATTGTAGGCCAGCTCAAACATGTTATGAAATTTGCAAACGAGCAGTGACTAAATAAATATTAATAGGATGACAAAGTTTACGACACCAGACACACATACACTCACATGTGTGGTACAAACTTCCTGCAGATTTAATAGATTCTAACTGACATCTCCACAAACAGCAAAGATTAAAAAAGGAGGGCCTACAGTTAAAGCCACCTAATTCTCTTGCACTTTATCGCTTCACTTAATCAGTAAATATGGAAGAAGCAGAAGTATATGTGTGCGAGGTGTTAAGGGAGGTGTTAAGAGATTGTTTCCCCTGCAGGTGCAGTGAGGAATGCTACTTCTGCTGCCACAAGGCCTTAACCTCAGAGAACAAACACTGGCCCCTCAGTCTAACTGCTCCACATTCACTTTGTGGTGACAAGGGGTCCCAACAAAAGCAGGGGCTCTGCATAGGGCAGATCAACCTCTTTCCCAGAATTATAGAGAGCAATAAAGTTCCTGGCAGATCCTCAAGAGTAAAGATCCTCATCTCCCCTTTTTCTAGTTCACAGAAAGGACAATTGATCTTGTTTAATAGAAGACACTCTCTACCCAAAATATAAACAAACTGAGCCAACAGAATGGTGCTTTTTCCTGCTTGAATATTCTGCAGCCATTTCTACCATGTATTTATTGTAACCAAATGCTCTGGCTCATATTACTAGAGTGCCCGTTCCACATATGAATAAGAATGAAGAGGGAATTTCTTGGATCAACTATCTTTTAACATGAAGCTATCAAAATGTAATGTAAACATTTTATCTACTCTCCTCTGCATACCAAACTTGAGGGATAACAGAGGTATTAATAACTTAATAAGCAGGGGCCTCTCATACTTCCACCATTTACTGAAATGCAGATGCATAGAAAACCTGGGATTTTCCACATTTGTTTCTATTCATGTTGGAATATGATGCTTGATGTGGCAGCTTATAAAAACCTAAAAAGATGGCAAGTTTATTTCTGAAGGTCACTGGTTTAATGATAAGGGCATGTGCCCATACAGGCTGCTTTTTCCAACACCAAGGATGATTCTGCAATATGTTCAGGCTTCCCATGAAATGCACATTGTACAACTGAAAACCAAAGCAAGCATTTACATCAAAATATGTGGCTGACCTAGGCAGCTATGTGACACATCAATTTTACTAATATTACTCCTCATAAAGAATGTGCCATTTATATTCAAGATTAACACTCACTCAGACGGGAGCTCTTACGCTTCCAAGCTTCTTAACTGCAGATGTTAAAAATGACTCAAGGATTATAAAAAGCCAAGCCAGCAAGGGAGGGGGGAGGAGCATATCTAAGAATATTGCTTATTAATGAGCCACTGGAGTTGTAAACAGAGCAGCCAAATCAGACGCAGCAATGCTTTTCTGCAGGATCTCACCTTGCCAGGTTCACTGAAATGATTTTCACAGCACACACAGGTACAGCAACACCACATAAACATTGCTGCATGGCCCGTCTGCAGCGCCCTGCTCAGTGCTAGGTACTGCTAGGACTGTCGCCCAGACCAACTACTCTGCTCCCTACATCTGTGAGACTGAAAGAGCTCTGGGTACTTGCTGTATAAACAGACCATTTGCCAAAACAAGCAGCCCTGTGTGCTCCACTATCACTGATGCAAATGAATAGTTACACTGAGCTCACGCATGGTATATGCTTTTCCTTCAGCAGAGAACATTTAAAAAAATGCAAGCTCACCGTCACTTCAATTTAAAGCTACAGAGCACACAACTGTTATGCCCATTACAGCTCCAGGTCAATTACAATTCACTTTCCTTATATATGCTTCTCTGCCCCTGGGTGTTGGAAGTAACTTATGCTAGCTACCCAGGCCTTTGGCTCCTCCTCCCACCCCAAGTTTACAAGCTCTGCAATGCCTTGGAGCCAGGGTGAATAGGTGTGTGGACCTGGATGCAAGGACAGTTAGAGGGAAAATCTTTCAAGTGGTTTTGAGTCAGATAACAACTTTGCCGTAGGAAAAGCAAAACAGAAACACCAGAAAAACCAAAGGTTCAGACAACTTTAAGTCACCCACAGCATAACAAACTTTATCAAGGCTGGCATTAATTAGAATGAGGAACTACGTGGGTATATTTTTCAACTCATCAATGCAGAACTTTCAAGGGGCATCAAAGATGTTTGTTCCCAACTAATCAGTGAGATCTCAGGAGAAATTCATCCACATGACCCAGTCAACTAATTTAATGTAGCCCTGCTCCCCTGCAGTGGTAAACTGGATCTTTGCACCTGACTAAGGGCAAGAGTGGAATGAAAATAGAGGACACTGTTGTTGGTACAAGTGGTAGAGAAGTTCTGAATGCAGAAACGCAACTCAAGAGCAAGTTTTACAACTTGCTCATTGTTCCTTCATTGGAAACATCTCATCATATTGTGACATGTGATTGAGGTTTCCCAATAGAGATGCCAGATTAAGACACTGTCCCAATACAATACATGATGTTCAGTTGTGAAATCAGTAGATTGTAGTTTTATGATTTTGTGTTACTTTTTTCATGGAATTTATTGTTAGCCACCCTGATATCATTGAGGAAGGACAGAATATGTATTATTTTTAAAAATAAAAAGCTAACTAAGGTAACTTGGGTAGAGACTCCAACTTTCCAGAACATCTGACATTGCCACTGTAGAAAAACCAACTTTCCATTATGTACACTGCTGCCGTTAAACAGTTTGGACATGAACTGGATCTAGATTTACCAATCTAGAGATGGGAAGGAGATTTCCTATTGTTCTCTCTCCCCCCTACAGACCCCAGTACCACCTTCTACATCATCCAGGACAGTTTCCCCTCCTTCTGAAGCAGATTTTCAGGAGAACAGGCAAAAAACACCTCCCCTCTGCCCCTTCCATCAGGAGATCCAACCTTGCACCTGTGTAGTCATGCTCCTGATATCTTTAACCTGGCAGAGACTTATCTCAAAACATTGGAAATGAACTCAACATGCTCATTTTATAGGATAACTCATATAGTAGGCAACGGCAACCTGGAAGAAGTTCATTCCTGTTCTAATGAGATTCATTGTCTGATACACAGTGACCCACGAAGACTCTCAAAGAGTTACTGTAACTGTCTACATTGCACACTGGGACAAATGAGACATCACAATAAAGCATGGTTTATCATTATGGGAGGGAGCCATAAGGAATCTAAGGCTTGCATGTGCTCCCTCACATACACACTCCTGCAAAGCTATAAAGAGGAGACTGGAAGTTTTGGCTTCCAGTTTTGATTAACTGCAGCTTGTTGTTTCATCCAAACCTGACAAACTGGTTACTCTTAGCCATGTTTTGTTGAAACAAACCAGCTCCATAACCCACAGACTACACTACAATAATTAAGGTCAACCAGTTTATCAGGTTTGGATGAAACAACAAGCTGCAGTTAATAATAATAATAATAATAATAATAATAATAATAATAATAAAATAAAAAATAAAAAACTAGAGCAAAAGCTTCCAATCTCCTTCTCTTAGATAAGCTGGAAACCTGTTAAGCTCAAAACTTGTTGGATGCTCATAACACCTGCAGTTAACCAAGGCTCCTTTCCAAGTCTGTTTGGAACCAAGAAGTTTAGACAAATGAGGAAGGAGCAGTGTAATGTCCTTGCCAAAACAATGCTAGCAGAATAAGTACTCTAAGATTTAAAGTTAATAGACGCTCTCAGAGCAGACATGGTGAACATTTCTATGGGTTTCTCTCCAGGGATGCATTGGGATTGGTTTAGCATGACACAAGTATAACATTGTGTGTGTGTGTGTGTGTGTGTGTGTGTGTGTGTGTGTAGGCCAGCTAAAGAAAATACTGCATTCCAAAGCACTGGCAGAAAAATTCAGAGATGGAAGAATAGATTTGTCAATGAATTTGGTGAGCTAAGAATTCTTTCTCATGTACAGGACAGTAAGTCAACTCAGTGCCTGTTAATGTCACATGTAGAGCTTCCTCAAGCTTGATGGGGACAGATTCTGTTGCTTATTCCTCTCAATTGGGTGCAAGGTGGGGGGAGGGGAGAAGAGTGTGGAAATTGTTATATTGGAACTCAAAACCTTAATCCAGCAAATTCATATATATGATTATCCATGTACTTATAAACCACATTTATCTATAACAAAGAATAAAAATATTTCAGTGGTACATGAAAGTACACTGGCAGTCTAAAAACTGATCATATTTCTATACATTGAAGACTGCATATTAATCTCAACATAAGTTCTGGGCTAAATTGGTTTCGCCTGTTTTCAACACAGCCCCCGCTGCCAACAAACAAGAACCCCTCTTATAAAACCTATTTCAATTGAGACCATAGCTGGATGGTGGAATGGGGGGAGGAATAGCATGCATACCTATGGCCAACAATGGAGCCTTCAGGTCACTAAAAGAATATTTGTTTTTTTTAAAAAAAAAACCCTCTTAGTTATTATCCTTAAATAGTTCAGTTATTGTAGTTTGGTTTCCAATATATTAGAGAATGTTACTCCAAATGAAAGGCTTTCTCTGTATAAGCCAGTTTTCATGCAGTGCACTTGTGTGCATACATAAAAGTGTATAACTATTTGTGGAATGCATGGCCCTTCAAAAGGCAGCTTGTTATGTAACTGGGGAAAAGCACTATGAATGGAAGAAAACAGCAGTACGGGTAGCGGGAACGATATGCATGACTGTTTCTTTATATATTGTTGCAAGGAACAAACACCCAGAAGAGGAGAGAAAAAGGGGATACTAAATTTCAAAATGTGAACAACATGCAGAAGACAGAAAAGTCAGCTAAAATAATTTTATAAGTTCATTTTATGCAAAACATTGATTCCAGGGGTAGCCCTCCAGATGGTGTTGGATTACAATTTTCAAGCTAGTATGGCTGAAAGCCAGGTATGGTACATACTGTAGCGTAATAGTATTTGGAGGGAACCACACTGGCTACCTCTGATTTGTCTATAATAAAGACAAGTTAAGATCAAGGGGATATAATTGAAGGATGAGATTATATGTAATATTCAGAATCAGACAGAAGAATATCCCTATAGAGGGTAACCATATTTTACTGTGCTGGCAGATAAAACAGACCTGTCTCCCAAAAGCCTTCCAATGCATGTGCAGATGGGGGTTCACCCATCACCATTTGCCACTGGACCAGGCCCTCTCAGAGGTCCAGAAAGGCCCATGCAACTTCCAGCTTTTGAGGCCCCTAGCCATAATAAAAATAAAAAAGCGACAACACATGAAAACCATATAAGGCACCTAAAAAGCATGGAACATGCTTTGATTTAAAAAAAATAAAATAAGAAATGTTTTTATAGTCTTTTTCTTTGCAAAAACACTAATCATTGAGAAAAAATTAGCTTACATACACTGTCACAGTCTACATTAAACATTGCAACTTTTCTCTAAACTAAGAGGCCCCAAATGCTGGATTTTTTTCTCATAGGGAAGTTGCTCCATCTCCTTAATTATTTGAGTTGCCTTTTTATTTAAGAGCAATTGTATGTTCCAGCAGCCTTAAGGGTTTTCAACGCAAAATCCATTTCCCAACTCCTTTATGCTGCAAATGTCTGGCACAATGGGGACCTGCCTAAGCTAGACGGCTTTCAGGCAAAAAATTTACGATCTCTGCTACAGGTCCCTAACTGCGTCCCCAACTCCATACATCCTTGTGTTAGAATCTGGTGAATGCCCAATCTCAACTAAAGCATGGTGGGCTGCCCTAAAACATTGGCTCAGGATTTCAGTGTTTGATCTAGGGAAGAGTTTGTATCAACATCTGACCAAAGAGGAGTTTGTCAGCAAATGGCAGAAAACCATGGCTAGAAAAGCCACCTCTAATGGTCTGTCACCTCCACCCCCATCTTTTTTACCTGGGTTATGAAGGCGTCCTAAAAACACTAAAGCAAAGATTATGGGATAATACACATAGTGAGTGACTTGTGATCTTGATCACACGCAGTCTGTAGTCCATTGGCTGTAGGAGTACAATATGGGCACCTTACATTAGAAACTTTACAGTACCAAATTATCGAAGGTTATTCACCAAAGCCAGACTAAACGTCTTTCCTTCTGCAGTGTTGGATGGCAGGTTGAGAGGAGTTCCCTACCAGGACAGACTTTGCTCGTGTGCCCACAACATCAATTCTATAAAACATATTTTGCTGCACTGTGCGAAATACGAGCAAGCCACGGTTGAACTGATATTGCCCTTGCTGGTACCTTTCCCGGGAAAATCAGAGGCTCACTATGTGAGGTTCCTATTGGAAGACCAGACAAACGCTAGAAAATTAGAAGTGGCGAAGTTTTTATCGGTGGTTGCAAGAACCAATGATATCTATCTCTAACTCTGAACAAAATACTAAATTTTATCACCACAGGTGAGAGCTGAGTACAGCGTGGGGACCAAAGGTGGACAAAGTACCCCAAAGGAGCACAACATGTCCCCCACCAATGTTAGTACTCCTTCCCTAACACCCTATACACCCCAAACAAGGAGCAGATATCATGATAACAGGAAACTTAGAACCAACCGTAGTAATTTCTCAGACAAAAGTAGTCACATCTCTTCTTGAAATTTCATCACCATGACAATTACATTATTTGCTTTGCTTGCCACTCTCTATGAGCAGGAGATGAACTCAACCTGCATAATACAAGTTGCTTATTAACCAAATCGGTTTCTTACAGTTCCAGGGAGAATACCAGAATCTTGAGACACCCGAAAGAACAGCAGATTTATTGCAATGAAAGCTTTTATCTAAGTCTGGTATCTTTACAATGTCACTGGTGGTTTTTTTGTTTGTTTTGTTTTTCCTTTTTACCATAGACTAGCATGTATATAAGGGACACGGGTGGTGCTGTGGGTTAAACCACAGAGCCTAGGGCTTGCCGATCAGAAGGTCAGCGGTTCAAATCCCTGCAACGGGGTGAGCTCCCGTTGTTCAGTCCCTGCTCCTGCCAGCCTAGTAGTTCGAAAGCACATAAAAGTGCAAGTAGATAAATAGGTTCCGCTCCAGCAGGAAGGTAAATGGTGTTTCCGTGCACTGCTCTGGTTCGCCAGAAGCAGCTTAGTCATGCTGGCCACATGACCTGGAAGCGGTACGCCGGCTCCCTCGGCCAATAAAGCGAGATGAACACCGCAACCCCAGAGTCGGCCACGACTGGACCTAATGGTCAGGGGTCCCTTTACCTTTAGCATGTATATACCTTTGGAATCTTTCATTGTGAAAAGTTCCAGGAAATACACCTTGAAGTCTTCAGGCTTTTCTTACCTGGGACCTCTCTTTAGGCCAAACACACATTTGTGGGCATATTTCTTAATATTATACCATATGTTTGAATGGTCATATTGTTCATCCATGACAGATGGCCATCCAACCTCTGCTTAAAAACCTCCAATGAAGGAGAGTCCACCACCTTCCAAGGGAGTCCATTCTACAATCAAACTGCTTTTACCGTCAAGCTGGGGCCCAACCCAAAATTTGGATACAGGACCATTGAATGTGTGGACTAGGTGTCATGGTTTACATGAGAAAAGAACCAAGGATATCTGTGGGAGGCAAGGCTCTTCAGCTGAGATACCATGTTATCGAAAATCAAGTATTTTTTATAACCTTAATGTAATTATCTGTTTTAAACACTTATTGCCTTCAGGGGTTCAAAAGTGTAGATAATAGAGATCTGCTTCGCAGCAAGCATGCTAACAACATTTTTTTTCATTTATTAGTCACAGTTCATCATATGAACTCTGAATACAATTAAGACATCTAGCATAATAAAAAATATACACTTGGTTAAGTACTTCTACTTCTGTCACATGTTCTGGAAACAAAGGCAACAGTTTGTATATTTCCTTAGCCAAGAAGATATGTCAGTAGTTTCTACAGCATGTTGAACACACACACACACACACACACACACACACACACACGACAAAAGCAATATTTAAACTGAACCTTAATTTCCCACAAGATTACAAGATAAAATGGGATTTATGGAGCCCCAAGTTCACCTCTGAATGGCAAATACAGCTATGCCAATTTACAAAACATGCCTGTTTTGCACAACTATACATTCAATATGATCAGTTGTGGATTAATTTTTGCTTATCTTTTACAAACAAAAATTAGCTTACAATATAAAAAGGTAGTAATTAGGATGAATTACTTTCAAGTAAATCATTGGCAGATTTACTATTTCTAGCTGTACAGCTAGAGTTGACAGCTATGAAACTACATAGAGAAAGAAAAGACTTCTAACATAGGAGAATTTCATTTCTGGTTCAGGGAACTCTGTCAATGGTTCAGCTGGGTTTCTTCACTCAAGTCCTCACCAGTTTACCTACAAACAGGAAGCTTGCCTCATTATCAAGTGCACTGTTATATTGATTTATTCAGAATGTGAAATGCTTACTTACCGTCTACATTTGCTAATCGGCTTGCAACCCAGGCTAGACCACTTACACCTAGAGTCTTAGAATCATAGAATCATAGAGTTGGAAGAGACCACAAGGGCCATCGAGTCCAACCCCCTGCCAAGCAGGAAACACCATCAGAGCACTCCTGACATATGGTTGTCAGGAGTGCTTGATGCTTAAACCCTGGTATCACTTAGGCTGAAAGAGAACTTAAGAAAACAGGACTCTTGCCACAACAGAATAGTCTAGCCTACTATACTACAGAGCGTGTAAACCCGTAGCAATGGAGGCAAGGTTAATGGCAAGACCTCTGATGAGCTTCACATGAACTTATTTAAATAAGCTAATAACTGAGAGATAATTTTTTAAAAATTCCAACTGCTCCCCAGCACCTGAAGTCTTTAATGATACCAAACACTGCTGTTTAATTGTGGTGTGTGGTTTGCCACCCTCATAGCAGTAGAGATGTCTACTAATCTGAAGGATCTCTATTTGACCACAGAACCACTCAAACAAAGTCTGTTTCAACACGTATACTAGCAAAAGCTAGAGAACACACTGGGTAACACATATATTTTAATCCATATTTAATTTATTCCAGTTTGGTAACCTAACATTCCTAGCCCAGTCTGCATGCATATCAGGGTTTATTACAGACACTAGACTTTGTCCAATGGATATATATATGCATTAGTACTGTTCCTGCTAGAGAACTGAAACAAAGGAGATATTTTAGTGTGATGGATTGCAGGACTGGGAGTTCTTGCCCCCCAATTCTATCTACTTTATTTGCTCCATTTAAAATGGCTTATAATTGTCCCCACATTTGGGGAATGCACTCCTAGCATTCCACCTCCCCCTTGTATAGTATCCAAAATATGCATTTAAGAAGTTCAAATATGCATTAGCTCAAATTACAATGCATATAAACTTGGCCAAACTAGATATTTGGTGAAAAGCAGCCTTGAGAAGTTGCAACTGGAACAATAGCATGGGAAAGAGATGGATCCTTTTGTCCTCATCAGATATTTTAATGCTCAAAATAGCCCCCACCCAAGCTTCTTTTCCCCTTTAAGGGTACAAAACACACTTTACCAATCAATACACTGAATAAATCAAGCTTGCTTTACATATCCTGTTTGGCTATAGTTTAGCCTGCAGAGGGCACTCCAGATGAAGATAAAACATTGCATTTGTGAAATCTGTATTCATAGATGGATTGTGAATTTTTAGATCAATCTCTTATCTTAGATTGCCACAAACACAAATGTTAATGCACACTTATTTATATTATGAATATTTACATGATTAGAAATGTGTGGATCAAATAGATTTTACATGAATTAATTTATAGGTAATTTTAAACATATGCTGGAAACATTTTAAAGATGTTCATACTTGCAGTATTAACAAAAATTATGTTTATAGTTGTGAAAACAGTTTTTGCTCTGGAATGAAAAGGGGGGAGGGAAGTGACATGATGCTAGAAAAAGCAAAAATCCATTTAAAGAAAGCCCCTAGTGTACACAGCAATTGTTATTTATTTTAAGGATATACACCACTTTCTCCACTTCCAAAATGAAAGCACTCAGATGCTTATGCAACACCAAGTTAAAAAAAATCTATAAAATACAAAAAGTAGCACTTAAAAACACTGTCATTCTTTATATGCAATATACATTTTGGGGGGGAAATGCATGTCATTTCAGAACGCTATATGACCCACTCTACTAACAGCAAATATATAAATCCCTCTCCACTAACACCAAATGTAACCTAAATCTTTACATGTGTAGCATTTATGAGCTAAAGCAATAATTCAGCAAGAGAAATATGTCTATTCAGATTCCAGTTCACCCAGGGGTTTAGCGCAATCTTCATGTTGCACTGTGATTTTTGGGTGAAGTGCAGTATACAAACTGAGTAAATAATAAATAATTATAATTATAAAGCCAGGCCCTAAACAAATCCTACTGCTTGTTGCTAACCCACCTCATCTGGAGAGAAGAATTGTAGATACTTGCAGCTGTAGAAATGAATAATGAATATGGTGTTGTTAGGATAAGCAACTGTACCACTGATTTCAGGGTCAGCCCTAACATTACGTGGGATGAGGCAGCTACCTCAGGCTGTGTATGCTGGAGGGCAGGAAGCAACAGTGAGGTGCTGGAGGATGGAGCAGTGGCCTGCCTTGAGCCCCTAAGCTAGCCGCCCATCCTCAAGTGCAGTGATGGATGCTGTCCCTTCAGTACGTGAAATCCAACTGCCAGGTTGGGTGGTTTTTATACATGAAGCAGAGCATTCGCAAAAAGCAGCAAAACAATTTGACAGATATGAATATAAGAGATGAAGTATATGCCCTACATAAATTGGGCTGATGGCAAAATCAACTTCTAAAAAAATGCCAGGGTTTGTGGCCAGTATATTGTAGGGACCACGAGGGGAAAAGAGGCGCAACATGCCTGTGTGGTGGGTGCTTTCTTCACAGGTCCAGAAATTTAGACAACTGCAGTACAGTACTTTGTTTCTACACAACCAGTATTGCATCACCACTACCTGGCCCTTAAGATTCCTCACAATGGAGGCTACAAGCATTAAGAACAGGCCTTGCTCCCACAACACTGGAGTCCCACTGGATCAGACAAAGGTCCACCATTCTGCTTTACCTAGTGGCCAACCAGGTGCCTCGAGAAACCACAACAATGCACCTAAGCACAATACTTAGGAGAGGAAGTTATAGCCACTTATATGGGTGGAAATGCAACCAATATACTCAAGAACATCACTGAACCAGCTGAACTGCTTCCCGGCAGGACAGGACGAAAGAACAGGTTGTGCCACTTCCAACAACTTGCCAACTGTAACCTGCTCACTTTATTCCACAGAACTTAGTGGGAACCACTGAGAATCAAATGTATTCCTGTCTGCCAAGTTTTATTTATTATTCTTTATTTACTGCATTTATATCCCACTTTTACCTCCAAGAAGCTCAAAGTGGTATAATTGATTCCCCCCCAATCTCTATCAATCCCCATAAGAACCCTTGTGACTGAGAGGTGGTGACTGGCATCACTTTATGATCATGCTAGAAAGCAAATGTCAGCAAATCAGTGTGGTCTTATGAATAAATAAGAGTGTTGAGCTTTGACAAGGGAGACTTGGGTTAAAATCCCACAGGACCACAAAATTCACTGGTCTTGAGCAAGTCACTAATAATCAGACTAATCTGCTTTGGAGATGTTTGTTGTATTACAGTTACCTTCTTCCAATTTAATCTCTTACTACCCATCTTTAATTTGCAACGATTATGCATTGTATTTTAACTACGTATCACTCATTCCACAGCAAATGAAAGGAACTTTAAATGCTCTCTATTTTCACTGTTTAAGCCCCAACAAAGCAGCTCTGTTCTGGGAACAAGAGCACAGAGAACAAATACAGTATGTCATTCTCTTATTTTCATTCCTATGTATTTCTTATTTGAAACTACTCCTCTACGCCCCCCCCATTTTTTGCATCTCCTGATACAACTGGTAGCTGACTTTAAAGCTGCACAATGCCACAAGCCACTGAACTTTTATAACCTCTGAGCAAACAAACTGTGATTCAGCCATACTGACAAAAAATAATCAAATAAACCAAAACTTTCTGCAAACTCAAACAACAAGGAAAGAGTAACCATAGGACAAAGGAAATAAATTCTTACTGGAGTCATGGGGGTGAGAGGATTTCTTAAGTTCATTCAAATGGCTGTGTTAAGGAATATTACCAGATCTAACATAAGCTGATTAGGAAACCAACTTTTACTATATTAAGAGCAGTGAGGACCAAACATTCCAATTTCATAATCAAAGTACCTCATTCCATATTTGCCTGTTAATACTGCCAATAAATGCACGATCTAGATAGACAGAAGAGAGGCAAACTCTGTTTTAACTAAAATATAAATGCTACTCAATGACAAACCTATGTTTTACCCTTCTGAAATTCTAACATGTTCATGCAGATTGAATTTCAGTTTGTTGCTAAAGCAAAGACTGACCTCAAAGCCCTAAGGGGGGGAAATCACTTTGCATAACTACAAACAGCTCTAATGAGGATGAAAAGGGACAAGAACCTTTTGTATTATGATTTATTTCATAGAAAAGGGCAGCTTTATGATGCCCAATTATTCTTCCATCATAAAAGCAAGCAAAAAAATGTGCACAAACACACCATTTATTACTGGCACTATTTATATGACACAAATGGTACAAAAACCACCACCATAAAACCATTTCAAGTCCATCTCATTACAGTTCCAAAACAGACCAAGCAGGCATGCACAACAGAAAAGGTATGGCTAAAGTCATTCATCCAAGCCTCCCACTTTCGAATCCTTCTACATGATGAATATGGTTTATGCCTGCTATATATTTCTGACATATTTCATGCTCTCGATCAGCCTGGATAACCAGGACTTTAGTGTAAGTCTACGACAGAATGAAAAGAAAAAAAAAAGCAGACAGCAGCTATTTCAGAAATGAATGGAGCATCTTTTGAAGGAATGCTTCATTGCATGTATTCAATGCCTATCTGCATGTTGAGCTTTCTCTCACTAGAACTTTAGCAAAAGCACCACTAAAGAAGGGAGGGTAACAAAACATACTGTATCAGAAGAGGATGTCGAGGTTTCCATGCTGGCTCTGAAACAAGCAAAAGAACGTGCAGTAAAGCCGAAGGCTTCTCCCTAGCTTGAACATGCTGTCCTAGAGAGTAAGGTTAAGCAGAATGTTGCTCTAGCCTTGTTAGACTGAATTCTGTCCTGCCAATGCAGTATGAATAGAATATGAAGCAGGGGCACCCTAGGCATGTTGGCAGAGCTCTGAGTGGATGTTCCAGAAAGAGAGGGCGACTCCTAACAAGCAAACTGCTCTGTGTGTCACATGAACAATCTTCAGCTGTGTCACGAAGCCCACTAAAAATATTCCCAGCCTCTGACAGAGAAAAACAAAGCTGGAGTTCCTTTTTTTTTTTTTTGGTAACAGAACTGCAAGCAAAGATGATTTCTTCCTTACAGATATAGGAAGACCAACACCACGTTTGTTTTTTACCCAGAGGGAAGGCAAAAAAGCTACACTACAGACTACATTTTAGCTTTAATAGTGATGACTTGGAAACAGCTCCCCCCATCCCATATGAACATACCTGCCTCCATCAACACCCACACTTGGAGTTCTGGGTTTCTGTGTCTCCGTCTTCTAAAGGATGTTAAGTGGTAATTTGGGGCAGTGGCATCAAAACTATGCAACTCTCTCCATAGGGAAACTTACTTTACTTGTCCTTTGATGGCCTCATGATAGCAGGCTACCTTATCTTCTTTTTAAGAGAGACTTTGAACTTGCCTGAGTGATCTTTCATGATAATTTGACTGCTGCATTTATTATTAACCCTCCATGTTGCTGCTACTAACTGCCCCTCAATACACACTGACTGTGTTAGCACATCATGTTAAACGAGGGGTCATAGCCCCTTTTGGCCCATAGGCACACCTGCAAACTGGATAAACTGTCATGGGCACCCCCGCCACCCTGCAACTAATCGCATACTGAAACCCAGTCTATTGGCTAAAACAGACTGCTTCTTTGAAGCCTAATTTCATGGGTGGGAGGTGTGTGGTGGGGAAGTGGCTCTGTGGGCACAATGGAAGGCCTCTCTGGACACACATGCAGGTACCATGCTGGTAACCCCTGCAGTAAACCATAGTTAACATTTGACTATGGTTTAGTGTGAAGGAGTAGTACATTGGGGCATGCTGCTCAAAAGTGTCTGCTTTGGCCTTCCCTGGGCCCCAAGGAACAAACCAGAAAGTTTGGCTTCCATGCAAACAAACCATGAGTGGTAGCCAAAGTTTTTTTTAGAGAAAACTACCTGGAGTTTAGATGACACAACATGCCAAGGTTTGCTGCTCCTGAGATGGCAATGGATTTTGTGATGTATCTACCAGCAAGCAGCACATTCACATTAGCTATAATAACTCACAGGACCTCGGTTTATGAGAGCTTTTTGCAAGGAATTTTTTTGCCTCTGCAGCTAGTGACAATGAATCAAGCTTGCTAAATTCGACCACTTCAAGATCAGAGCAGCTTCCATCTCCTTCTAGAACAATATTTTTAACCAGTTTCTATTCTTGTTAGATCAGAAAACCATGGTGAGAATTGATGAACCTGCTTCTCCACCCCATACCCAAATAAGAGTAAGGCTTACTGCCAAGTCTTTGGGGCCAAATTTAAAGGCAGAAGTGTTTAGTTTACTTTTATCCCACTTTTTAAAAAAAAATTAACACAGTTTACAAAATTAAATATGCTGCAACAGAACAGGCACAAGAAAATAAATACCAACAATCCAGAATATAAAATTAGCGCCAACCAAATTCTTGGTACTGTTCTCTGTATTCGTAGTGTTCTCTCTTGAAAATTTCTAATTTAAATTTTGTCATGTGTTTTAGCACACATACCTATGTTTTCAACTCAACTGGTCATTCAATTTCATCATGATTTCACAGAATGACAAAGGACTCCTTTGGAGCCCATAAATCAGGACCACCTTATCAATGTTCCAAAAAAGAGCTGCCAACAGGTTTACCACACCTATCAGTCAATCACCTATTCCCACCACCCTTCTGAGTAATACCCCTCCCCACCCTCTCACTATATATAAGGGTCTGGTAACTTCTGTTTCAATGGATCTGAAGAAGTGTGCACGCACACGAAAGTTCATACCAATAACAAACTTAGTTGGTCTCTAAGGTGCTACTGGAAGGAATTTTTTTATTTTCTTTCGACTACGGCAGACCAACATGGCTACCTACCTGTAACTAAAAAACATGACTTTTTAAAAAGACCACTGAATTTAGAAGAGATGTTTTGAATTCAAGTATAGTAACACATATCATGCAAGCACTCATTCAGTTCAGCTGCTACATTATGAACTCTAAATACTGAAACAATATTAGAAACATCTACACTTGAACAAATCAGGAAAAAACCTTAAAAACAGCCTCCTCAAGTTAAAGAAGGGTTCCTTAAGTTGTCTGAAGCAGAACTAATTCTACATCAGCAGATGGAGCTCTAGTCTAAGGGTGGGATTCAATGCTGCACTAAGGAGCTCATTCAGGCATTGCAAGCATTTCTGCTAGCCAGATGGAACAATCTCCCCCCTCCTCACACTGTGTGCTGTTCTGAGATTTCTCCCAACCCTCCCAAACAGATTTCAGGAGGGGCAGGAGGACTCCTGTTAGAGGACTCACTGTGCTGGCTTCTCCTAGTGCAACAACTTAGTTGCATTCAACCCCCACTATTCACTGTCTCCACCTATGTAATTGTTCCTTTGTGTAATTGTTAAATCTCAGTGTAATTTATTGTCCCTTTTGTTAATGTAATGTGCACATATATGGCTCAATACCCAGTAACAATACTAATGGGAAGAAAAGGCGCACATCATTTCAGAATTTGCATAAGAGGCCTTACTGAAAGGCTCTAAGGCTCCCAAAAGAAATAAGATTACAGTGGTGCCTCGCAAGACGAAATTAATTCGTTCCGCAAGTTTTTTCTTCTTGCGAGTTTTTCGTCTTGCGATGCACGGTTTCCCATAGGAATGCACTGAAAATCAATTAATGCGTTCCTAGGGAAACCGACTTCAGACCAGGTCCGGGGACAGTCTGTCCCCGACCTCTTCTGAAGGCTGGGGGGGACAAGGGCTTTCTTCCCACCCACCCCAGCATTTTAAAAACCCGGGACAGCGGAGGGCTTCTCCGCTGTCCGGGCGATCTTAAAATGCTGGCGGGCGGCATTTAAAATTGCCCCGGGACAGCGGAGGACTTCTCCGCTGTCCGGGGCAATTCAAAGCCCCTGGGAAGGCAGGCAGGGGACAAAGACTTTGCCCCCGCCAGCCTTCAGAAGAGGTCCTGGACCTCTTCTGAAGGTTGGCGGGGCGAAAGTCTTTGTCCCCCACCTGCCTTCAAAGCTGTCCAGCCAAGGCTTCGCGGACCTCTCCGCAAGCAGCGGCAGCACTGCCGCTGCTTGCGGAGAGTTGCCGGCATGCCGAAGCCTGCGCGCGCTGAGATCAGCGCGCCCAGGCTCGCGGACCTCTCCGCGAGCAGCGGCAGCGCTGCCGCTGCTTGCGGAGAGTTGCCGGCATGCCGAAGCCTGCGCGCGCTGAGATCAGCGCGCCCAGGCTTCGCGGACCTCTCCGCGAGCAGCGGCAGCGCTGCCGCTGCTTGCGGAGAGTTGCCGGCATGCGAAGCCTGCGCGCGCTGAGATCAGCGCGCCCAGGCTCAGCGGACCTCTCCTGCCTTCAAAAGCCGTCCGGGATAGCGGGAAGCGCTTCCCTGCTATCCCGGACTGCTTTTAAAATGCTGGCGGTGGGGAGCAAAGCCATTCGGCCCCCGCCAGCCTTCCTGGACCTCTTCTGAAGGCCGGAGGGGAAGGCTTTGCTCCCCACCGCTAGCATTTAAAAGAGGTCCCGGAGATTTCCCTATGGGCTTTCGTCTTGCGAAGCAAGCCCATAGGGAAATTCGTTTTGCGAAGCGCCTCCAAAACGGAAAACCCTTTCGTCTAGCGGGTTTTCCGTCTTGCGAGGCGTTCGTCTTGCGGGGCACCACTGTATTATTAATCATGCAAGAAGCCTTTAAAATAGGTGTGGCTTAATAAAAATAATCTTTTCAACAAGCAAAAAGCAAGGTGTACAAGTTCTATACTATCAAGCTTATTCTTGTTCTGTAGCTAAAAAATACTTTGTCTATTACAGATCAAATACAACCCCGGAACACATGATCCAACCAAAGTAAATCTTGCAGTTCCTTGATCACAGAGTTAAAGAACATACAAGTCTTCCATTAAAATCAATCAAATCTAAAAATGTTCAGCCAACTGTAATACATCCAATGCACCTATGACAATGTAAACATAGAAACAAAGAACATAGACTTGTAGAAAAGACTGAGGATCATCTAGTCCAACCCCCTGCAATGCAGGAATATGCAGTCATCCCATACAGCAGGCATGTCCAAAGTCTGTTTTGGGAGCCTAATCTGGCCCGCCAGTCAATTTAATCTGGCCCCTGTGGCAGTATATGTCCTGGGATAAAATCCAAAAAAAAAAAGCTCAACAGCTTTGGTCGCCCCCCCCCCCCCAAGTGTTCACTTTATCAAATCTGGCCCTCTCTGGAAAAAGTTTGGGCACCCCTTGCATACAGGGATCGAACCAGCAACCTTGGGCATTATCAGCATCATACTCTAACCAACTGAGCTATTTAAGCTCTTCATCACAGACTGAGTTTGAGGGGAAAAACCCTTAAAATTAGTTCAAATGACTAGCTAAATACTGGCCACACATTTTAAAAACAATTTATTGGAATTAATCCTGCAATAGGTTAGATACATATTACACACTGGTTTTATTTATGACAACTAGTTTGCCAGAACACACAATTTAAATTTGGCATGAACAGGTAGACAAATTCTAGCCATCTGTATTAACCAAATCATTACTGGAGCCTTTGTTTTTGCAGCAGTGTGGCAAAATACAAAATACACTTTAACATAATACAGTGGTGCCTCGCAAGACGAAATTAATCCGTTCCGCGAGTCTCTTCGTCTTGCGGTTTTTTCGTCTTGCGAAGCACGGCTATTAGCGGCTATTAGCGGCTTAGCGGCTATTAACGGCTTAGCGGCTTTAAGAAAAAGGAAACAAACTCGCAAGAACTCGCAAGACGTTTCGTCTTGCGAAGCAAGCCCATAGGGAAATTCGTCTTGCAGAACGACTCAAAAAACGGAAAATTCTTTCGTCTAGCGAGTTTTTCGTCTTGCGAGGCATTCGTCTTGCGGGGCACCACTGTATAGCCTTCTACTTCTGGCATTGCCTCCATGTTAAGGAAGTAGATATGAAATAATAAAGAAAAGTGTATTTCAACCAATAAGCTACCCTACACTGGATGCCTTCCAGGACTGATCGACACGAGTTCCCACCAAGCATGAACCCAGACACCTATTCCCTTCAAAATTAATCACTGCACCCCACTTCACAATAATTTTATTTTGAGTCTTTTAAAGCTGATTGCTTATGAAGATCCTATCACAACTTTAACTGATACTCTGTATTTGACTATCACATCATTTTCACTACCAAAAGGTACTGAGGAAGCAGGAACCCTTTCTCAAAAAGCCTTGTCTCCAAACTACGGTATCAGATACAAGCCTCCTCAAGTTACTATACTATTAGTTTAAAAATTCCATCTGGTTAATTAGGGCTGTTAGATTGGAGGGATGGAACAGCTTGCAGCAGAGCTGCACAGAGCTACAGTAAAAGTTTTTGCACCAGATCACATACTAAATAATTTGTGGTGAATTTTGAGCCATTTGTAAAGTCATCATTACAGCTCTTCGATAAAAAAACATATATTCTATAGGGAACCTCCTTTTGGCTGTTCTAGAGAGAGAGTTGGGAACAATGTACGTTAACAGATGCTTACTTATGGACAATAGGTTTTTTTTTTCTGCTGGCACATACACTATTTTCTTGCTTTCACCAACAGTGAATAGCAGTTAGAGGGGAGGGACTAAACATCCCCATTCACCTGTGCTGTCCACAGCCTCTCATATAAATTAAGCAGGCATTTATTTAACAGAACTAGTAAGAAATCTTGCATTGACAGTCAGTGATGGCTGGAGTAGAACTTACATGATTATTCAAATATCAATTAAGAAACATAAGCGGAAACTTATGAAATATATATCAATAAAGATGAATGGTTCACGTAAGGCAGAATTTGGAAAGCAAGATGTCATTTGAAACACATTTGCCAAGATATTCATTTGCAGCTAGAGCTTTCTGGCTAAATGTTAAGCTAACTTTATTCCCAAGTGCAGCACAACCCCCAAGGGAAAGATGAATTGAAACAAACAGCAGAGTATGAAGCAGTAAGAGAGAGGTGGAAATAATACACATTAGAAAGGCCAAATTTGACACATTTTAAAAAAGTTATTAGAATCTGTAGTTTCTAGTGACAGCTTTATTAAAATATATACTTATGCAGCTACAGCAGACCCCCTTCCACATTCCATTTATGAGGCATATGACTAATGTTGCCAACTTTTCAGGCAAAGCTCCTGTATCTTTAACAATTGCCTCACATACAAAAATACTGGAAGAGAAATTGTCCCACAGAGAAAAGTGATGCAATCCTTAGTGGGCGAGGCTTGGGACTGCAGTCTGCAGCTGTGCTTTCCTGATACATTCTGCATATTGGATCTCTGTTAAAAAGGCATAGGAGCCATTCCAAAAGTGTAATTTGGGCTAGCATATTGGAGACTCTGCTTGAGTGCCTGAGCTCTGGAATGAGCTCACTTTGCAATTTAGCATTTATTAACTGGACTTTTATTTTCATGGACAACAGAGGCAACAAATGCAAATGAACTGGCTACCCAGTTCTTCAACTGCCCAAATTTTGCTGAGACAATCACAAATTTAAAACTCCTTTCTCAGGGAAACGCCCCCCCCCATCTCCAATAGTCCTCATTTGCCTATGATAGCTACTGCTGACGCCCAGAGTAGAAACACAAAGAGGTTTCCTACTAGAGTTGTATTCTTGATATTATTTATTTACATCAGTTTACTATATAGGATTACAGGTGGAGCTGTAAACTTAGTGACAGGGCACATGCTTTGCATACAGAAAGTTTTGGGTTTAATCCAGAGCAGGTAGGGCTCACATCCTACGCTCTCTCCTTCCAGTGTGGCTGCAGATGAGTTTGGAAGCATTTACTTCCACTTCAGATGAACCACACAGCTTGCTGCGTCACCTGAACCCAAACTGCAGTTAAGACTAACTGGTAAGTGGAAAACTAATCAACCATAATTTACAAAGCTGATTTCTTTCCACTAATCAGTTTAAAACTAACAACAATTTAGAGTTTGGACAACATACTACATTGTGGTTAATCTAAACTTCCAATCTCTGTTTTGTGGCTGTGCTGGAGGCAGAGAGGGCCATTATGTCTTAAACATACATACATACATAATTTTATTTATTTCCCACCTTTCCACAGTTCAAACATGCTCAAGGCAGATTACAACATGGAAAAATATGTAATGATAACATAACAAAAGTAGTCATAAACAATAAATAAAACATGAAAAATACACAACCAAACTGAAAAAAATTCACATAAATCACAATAATATATGTAATAAAGATCCAAAAAAGAGCATTAACAACACCAACACCCCCCACAGCCAAAATCCCTCAAACAACAACCCAGCCCAAGAGTCAATTCAGCAGCCTCAGCTACATATTTGTAGCTGGAGTCAGTTAGGGCCCCATGCCCCCATGCGAGGTGGAAAAGGCCTACAAGGCAGAGAACAAGTTTTCTAGGACTCACAGGCAAGTTATCTTATCCTTGTAACACTAAACCATGACTTAGTGCTACATGCAGGCTTGTGTGCCATCTGGAGCCAACTGCTTGCCTGCACTTTTAGTTTCCATTTTCAGCTTGTGGCCCATTTGAATCTAGACCAGGCTTCCTCAAACTCGGCCCTCCAGATGTTTTTGGCCTACAACTCCCATGATCCCTAGCTAGCAGGACCAGTGGTCAGGGATGATGGGAATTGTAGTCTCAAAAACATCTGGAGGGCCGAGTTTGAGGAAGCCTAATCTAGACTGTGTTGCCCACATCACACCAGAAGGTTGAGCTGCCCCACTCACCCCCCATGCATAGTCCTCGTGTTTAAATATGTTTGTTCATGTTGCTGTCTCATCAGCAAAGCGTAGGAGGGTATGTCCATGTAGGGTTTGTGGAGAACATCTATAAATAATATGGTTTCTAGTTTGGAATTCCAGTGGATTTTGTTAGTATTATTATCATTTAGATAGTTGTGACTTGACAGAGGGTAAAGGAAGAAGTGGTAGGAAACAGGCAAAGATGGCACAGCAAATAGCGCTAGCTCTTAAGTAAGGCATAAAACAAGATGAAAGGGGAAGGGGAAGGGAAAACACCTGGCATTTTTAAATAAGACAGTTCCAACTCACCTCTCTTTTTGAAGGGTTGGTCTGCATGGCTTTTAAATGCAGCCTCCTTCTGTTCCTCCAGTCCTCTTCTTGGCATAATTATGCTTGCATCTACATTGCTGTATTAAAATTCCCAGCCAATGTTTCAAAGCACATCCTTGCTCTGCACTACAGAAGTAGCTGAATTGTTCAAGAAGAACATATAGCTATAGTGATCAGTCTCTAGAGCAAGGTTGCCAGACATCCCTAGTCCTGAAGGGTTTGACTCTCTTGTCACTCTCTCACTGTTACATATATCACCACTCTGAAAATCATAAAAGCTTTAGCCGTTGCTTTTGTTGAAAAAAGACAGAAAGAAAAATGATACAAATATATGTACCAGGGGCTGTGTGCTATCCATTTCAGATTCTGAGCTTAAGAACCTTTAATTCGGAACTCCTCTTTTCAGCAACTGTTTTTGTTTTGTTCCTTTGTTTGGATTGTTTTTAATAAAAATGGATCAAGGATGGTGGAATTAATGGGAAGGTGGTTTTAAGTGGGGCGGAAGATGAACGGAAACTAAGGCAGGGAGTGGAGAGAAACAAACAGCTGAACAGGATATGGAAGACTTGATTTATTGGTTAGTGAAAGTCACGACTTGTCTTCCTTTCCCTCTAACTTCTTACTTGTCAAGATATAACATTAGCAGACCTCCAGTATTTTCTCCATAATTGAAGTCTAGATACATTTTGGAAAAACTCAGGATGCCAAATTATGTGCTGAATATGAGATTCTGAAGAGTGGAGCCACAATCTCACACTTACCAAGTTACATATATGGCCCTCTAAATTTTGACTGTGGGTTTATAGAATAAAAGTCTTTTTGAGTTTACTTCTCTTTTACAGTATTAGTATTCCACCAAAAGAAACGTCATTAGAAGTTAAGAAATCAACTGCTTCTGAAAGACCTGCCCTTCAAAGACAGAGCTTCACTGGCCAATTCAACTTAAATGAAAGCAGGGGCTCTTTACAAGCCACCAAAATATAAATCAACTTGTCTCCTTAGGATATACAAGAGTAAACCTATCACTTACTGAAAAGGAAAAGCAAGGGAGAGAGCTCTTAAGTGTAATTAGGCATAAAACATGTTTAAGAACTCAAGCCAGCAGCCTAAACAGTAGCAACCTAGGTCCATGGAGGCTTTGAAAGAAGCAGAATGGCATCTCCCAAGAGGTGGATTATGCATAAAAGGAGAACAGCAGTTTGAACATACACAAGTTGTTTCAGGCAATTAGACAGCAGATTGGAAAGGAGTGATATGTGATATTGGCAGAGCTGCAGTGAATACGAGTGAATGATGATAAAGTATAGCCTGATACTTCATGTGTGCAAAGGGCACACCTGTGCTGCAATCTCATTAAGAACTATCTTGTCTGTTCTCAAAGCACCCCAAAGCTAACATGGAGCAGGATGAGCTTGTTAGAGGTTTGAGTCAGCTTCTAGCTGTTTGGCATCCATCTGTCTTGGGAGACAATGGAGCAGTGCACCGTTGGGGGTAAAGTGATAAGGGTACCAAGTAGGCAAATGTGGTACAGTTATCAGAGAGCTGGACTAGAATGAGGGAGACTCAGGTTGAAAATCTCACTCCACCATTAAGTTCACTGGGTGACCTTGCACAATTTTCTCTCACAGCCTAACCTGCTCCACAGGGTTGATTTGAGGATAAGATTGGGGGAAACTATATATACTACCTTGAAGGAAAAGTGAGATATAAATGTATATGCCTACTGGATTCCAGCTTCCAAACAGATGGGAAGCTCTCATTTATAGTTCATGTGGTCACTCTATTAGAGGCAGCTGTAATCCTGTTGAGGCTTTCTCTATGAAAATGGCTTGGAGTTACTTTCATTGGTTCTGCTCAAACAGTAGCTTATGTGTAGGAGCACACGTTTGTATTTGTAGTGGGTGCGAAGACTGGTGCAACAAGAAAGTCATTTTAAATTGTGAGGGCAAAGGGAGAAAACACTTATTTGAAGCTATGCCTTTACAATAATATATCTTTCCGATTTCTGTTATAAAATTTACCTCAGACATATGCCAAAAGACACTAACCCACTTGAAGGATGAACAACTAATGAAAGCAACAAAAGATGATTGTGCATAGTATATACTTTATGTTGATTATAAGGCAATTTCTTGTTTTTTAAAAAGCCAGTATCAAATTACAATCTCTTCAACTTCTGATTTTTTAAAAACAGTCTTTTAAATCTCCCATGTTATAAACAGAAGAAATAATCAGTACAGTGGAACCTTGGGTTGTGAACGTGATCCGTGTGGGATGCACGTTCACAACCTGCAGCATTCGCAACCCGCAGAACCGCGTCTGCGCACACGCGGGTTGCGATTTGGTGTTTCTGACCAAGCGCCGAAACCCAAAAATAACCAGTTCCAGTACTTCCAGGTTTGGCACAGTGCGCAACCAAAATCGTGTAACCTGAAGTGTCTGTAACCCGAGGTACCACTGTATCTTGCTTTAAATAACTTCTCAAAGGCAAGTACAAAGAAAGCCGATCTGAAGCCTTTGCATACAGATTATCTCAGGTGAAGCTTGTAACTGAATTTTCAACTGCAGAAAGACATTCTTTACCAAGCCTTCCAGTCAAAACAAAGTGGGTATTTGGTTTCCACAGTGCTCAAGAACCCTGTTCTACACAACAATGCAACTAATAATGTAGTTGACATATACTGGACATTCATATCATGTCACTCAACCAAGGTTTTACATTAAGATTAATGGCAAAAATATTCAACTGAGGCCAATGGATCTGCCTTTTAATAGTGACAATTAGGGCTTTACTAAATTTCCAACATAATTACTACCCATTATATATAAACAACATTTCTTCCAGCTTGCAATTGAATTGCAGGGATCTTGTATTTTCCCAGCCCTGGGGTTTTGTTCCTAGGAAGAAGTGACTTTCTCCAAGCTGCATATCCTTTGCTTCTGCAATGCTGTGTGGGCATGTTACATTGGCACTTGTCATTAATGACATCACAGCAATACCCAGGGAATAACAGCCTCCTCTCCCTCCAGCAAGCTTACATCATTTTATGAACTTTTTGAAAAGTTTACATACTTGTTGGCTATGAATTGCTACACTGGGTTAACACAGCACTTCCCAGAGTTAGTTTAAAACAAAGCTTCAACTATGTCATCATTTCAAAAATACTTAGAGGAGTAAAATTTTTTGAAATGTTGTTAAGAATGTAGGAGCAGCAGCCCAAAAGCCCAACGTCCTGTTCTCACAGAGTCCAGACAGATGCCTGTGGTAAGTCTCAAAGCAGGAACTGAGAGCACCAGCACTCTCCCCATTTGTGATTCTCAGCACATGAGAGGCATACTTCCTCCAACAATGGAGGTAAAACAGGCATCGTGGCTAGTAGCTATTGATAACCTTCTCCTCCCTGGAATAGTTGAATCCTCTTATAAAGCCATCCAAGTGGTGTCTGTGCATTCATTCTATTTCATATAAAAATACTAGTCTTCCCACATTATGAGGGAACGTGGTGCTGTGTTAATCAGAGCTAAAATACACCACAAAGGATATAAGACCAACTTGGGCCCCACATCTATTTATTGTGGAGGAATGCCTTATTATGTAGTGGACAGTTTATCCACCATGTGGTCCTCTGAAGGCCCATGTCCAAAACCGATTCCCATTTTGGAGGGCTGTTCTAGTTTGCAAGGAGACTTTTGCCATTTGCCCTTCCAACATTATTAGTGCCCCTCTGTGAACAGCCATGGAATTATCTTAAGTCTGTTGAAGCTCCCTCACACTTTAAACAACAGTTATGTCTACTGCAGGAAATACCACCTCTGATACAGCAGGATAAACAGAAAGAAGCCAGACATTCTCTCTCAGCCTAATCTACCTAACAGTTGTTGTGAGGATAAAAGGGTGAGGGTCCATGCACTCGCTTGGAAGTTCTTGGAGAATAGGCAGGAAATAAACATGATAAATGAAATGTACTAGAATGTACCTACCATTAAAAATCTACACGTCTGATGTAGAAAAGGCTGGTGTAGTTCGGACAAATACTACTGTTCTATGAAATGCCCCTTAGGCTCTCAGTATTGGTAGGCACATTTGCTCATCTATGCCCATCACTATAAGCTCTCACTAAATCTACTTGCAAAAGTTGTACTATTGAACCTGTATTGTGATGTTAGTCTACCACTACAGCACACAAGGAAAACAGTAATTTGAAGAGGCTATGAAAGCAGCTGTGATTGCAGCACCCTATGTTTAATGCATGATTTCTGTCTGTGCATATTTTGTTTTCTTGTGATATAATTTGTTCCTCTCTTCCATTTGGAAGGGCTTTAAGAGATAGCTTGAGGCTACACCACTTCTTAGAGATGTCATAAGCAATTATTTATATCTAATACTCAGCCACAAAAGTGTAATCAAGTCTCAATAAAGATGCATTACTGGCACACTATGTGCGATCCCTGTGCATGAGAATGTTTAGAGTGTATTTTTAGCAGAACTATGGTTAACTCTGCATAATACCACATTTTCTCATTCGATTAAATGGTATTATGAAATGAAGACATGCAATAGAATCCATCAATCCTCTTGGATTTTCAGGGTAAAGAAGACCTGGTGCTCAAATAATTTCCAAGGGGTGGTTGTGTTTGTCTGTTGCAGTAAAACTAAGAGTCCAGTGGCATCGGACGAAGTGGACTATAGTCCATGCAAAGTTACATCATAATAAATCTTAAGCCTTTAAGATGCAACAAGGTTCATTCTGTTCAAATGTATTTCCCAGTTTAAGTCTTCACTTTTGGGGGGGGGGGGCTGAACTCCATGATATCTCCTGGAGAGCAACTAAAAAGCACCAGATGTTGTAAACTTTCCCTACAATAGGGCTGCCATACATCCGGATTTTCCCAGACATCACCAAGATTTCAAAGGCAGAATTGACATCGGGGGGGGGGGATTTCCGAAATGTGGCGCTTTGCCCTGGATCTTAGGCAAGCCAAGAGAAAAATTCTGGTCAACAATTGTTGGGGTGTCCTGGTTTTTACTTTTTCAAATATGGGAACCCTACCTTACAGGGGAGTTTCTCCAGCTTTTTGCTCATTTTGGTTGCCTTCTCTTCCAGCTCTACAATATCCTTTTTAGGTGCAGCAACAAGAACTGTATACAGCATTCCTAGTGTAGTAGCAACCATATTATTTTTTTAAAGGTATTATTATATTCAATGTTTTATTTGCAATCCTTTTCCTAATTACCCCTAACATGGAATTTGCCTTTCTCACAGCTGTTGCACTTGATGGAATATAACTCTCAAGCTGAAAAGGCTTTCCACCTTTTCATACCTGTCCTATTCAATTTATGTGCATCTGAACGCAAGGATTTTGGCCCCCACCTCATCTAGAGGACTTTTGTTCATAGCTATATGTGACTAGCTATTTAGAACACAACAATTTATTGTTGATTTTTATGTTATTATGTTTCAAGGAAGTTTTGAATTTTGGGGGAAACAGTTTTTAAAGGCTATATTTTGTTTCAAAGTACCAGAAATTCATTCCTTTTGAATATAATTCCTTTTGTACCATGGTGGTTAATACGGGTTGCAAAAGTGTTTGTACATAGTTAAGTCTTCAGATATGTTTGAAGGGTGGTGGGAGCTACTGCTACTAAATTATGGAGTGCAAATTAGAACACAGTATCTATTCTGGTTATTTCTTTTACACATTAAGTTGCTTAAAAGGAAACATTCTAAAACTAAAACCAGTCATAGTTTCAAAGAATAAACTGGCTGCATGCTACAAAGTATCTGTGCTGAGTATCAGAAGAAATAGGCTTTGCTTGGAAAGTAAGACAATTTGCAAAAAGCAATCCAGAAAAATAAAATATACCGTATTTTTCGCACCATAGGACGCACTTTTTCCCTCCCAAAAAGCAGGGGAAAATGTGTGTGCGTCCTATGGAGCGAATGCAGGGGGGAGGCAGGCGGGAAAAGCCCTCAAGAGCCGCACATAAGCTTCGTGCACTCTTGCGGGCTTTTCTCCAGGAGGGAGAAGGGACTGACTGGCCGCATCAGTCCCTTCTCCCTCCTGGGGGAAAAGCCCCCAAGAGCGGCGCCCTCTTTAAAGGCTGTGCGGCTCCTGCAGGCTTTTCTACGAGGTGGGGGAATCCCCCCACCTCCCAGAAAAGCCAGGAGAAGCCGCACAGCCCCTTTAAAGAGCGCACGGCTTCTGCGGGAGGTGGGGGAAGCTGCAGCAGATTCCCTCCTCCCGGGCTCCCTTTGAAGTGGCAATGTGGGAGGGGAGCAGCTTACACTCGTGTAAGCAGCTCCTCTCCCACTTTCCTCCTTCAAAGCAACTACGGAGGAGGGAAGGAAGGGGACCATGGATCCTCCGCTGCTAGAGGCTGCAGCGGATTCCCTCCTCCGTGATTGCTGAAGCGGCAATGTGGGAGGAGCAGCTACACTCGTGTAAGCAGCTCCTCTCCACTCTCCTCCTCAAAGCAACTACGGAGGAGGGAAGGAAGGGGACCATGGATCCTCCGCTGCTAGAGGCTGCAGCGGATTCCCTCCTCCGTGATTGCTTTGAAGCGGCAATGTGGGAGGGGAGCAGCTTACACTCGTGTAAGCAGCTCCTCTCCCACTTTCCTCCTTCAAAGCAACTACGGAGGAGGGAAGGAAGGGGACCATGGATCCTCCACTGCTTGCGGCTGCAGCAGATTCCCTCCTCCTGGGCTCCCTTTGAAGCAACAAAGCGGGAGGAGCAGCTTACACTCAGGTAAGCAGCTCCTCTCCCACTTTCCTGCTTCAAAGTGGAGGGAATCCACTGCAGTTGCGAGCAGAGGATCCATGGCTCCGCTTCCTTCCCTCGAAGCAGGGTGCGGGGGTGCAGGGGGGAAAGAGGGCAGGAAATATTTGCCGGGCAGGAAGACACAACCACACTTTGACCACTGAAAGTCCACCCCAGCCTCCCCAGATTTCCACTGAGACGGCCAGGCTCATCTCGATGGCCATAAGTCAGGCTTAGCATTATTAACTGGACTTAGATAAGCCATGGTTCCCCTTCCTACCCTCCTCTGAGGCTCAGTTTAAAGCAGCAAAGCGGACAGGAGCCGCCCGCTTTGCTGCTTTAAATAGTTTAGTGCAACATTTGATTCAGAATATTTTTTTCCGTATTTTCCTCCTCTAAAAACTAGGTGCGCCCTATGGTCAGGTGCGCCCTATGGAGCGAAAAATACGGTAGTAACCTAAAATTGTGCACACTGCAAATTATGCCAAGCAAGCCACATACAGCATGGACATCATATGTAATTACATTCTAAACTGCAATCTTTCCAAACACCTAACAAAAATACCATCCGTGTAATTTCAGAAGAAGAGGTTGTGAAGAAAAAGCCTGGTATCTGGCCACTCCATTTCCATCTACCAGAAGGTATCCACAGTGAGTCACAGATACAACAAAAATGGGCCTTCAGCAAGAGTAAGGATACGTATTTAGCAATCTGGGTTGCAATAGCAACCTGTAATAGCAACCTAATCTCCATGCAGCCTGATCTAAGATTGTGTGATCAACAATATTTGTAATATTATTTGAAAGCACTGGCAGTTAGTAGTGGATATTCTGGGTGAAAAGTTTGCTGATTGCACATAAAAGAACAAGCGATCTTAAAAGATTTGTTGATCCACAAGTGCAAGACTCTGTGGATATCATCTGTCTGGATACCACACTTATTACAAATATCAGTAAATGGTAGATGTTTATGAATAGAGTAAATAGCAAATCTTACATCATTCAACACTTTTGAAACCTTTGCACATGTAGCAGCACACATGAGGTGTATGTTATCAAGATCCCTTGCAAATATTTTTTTACGTAAGTCAAACTCAAAGGATCACTCAAGAAACATATAGGTAAGCATCTGAGTAGCACACATAATTTTTAAAATAGTGAATCATTTTGTGCAATAAGATCACTGTGCTGGAACATTTTCATTGTTTTGTGGGGAGATGGCCAAGGACAGAAAGAAAATTTGATGACAAAAAGTTGCAAGGAACATTATCTGAGCAGCAGGTATTCAATGTCTTCATTTAGACCATTAGCAGAAACTAACTATATGTTTTGCATACAGTTTGTTTCCACTAATGGTCTAAATGAGGACCCTGAGTATCTGTCACTTTTTAAATTTCCTCTATGACAATTTTCATAAAGTGAACTTAGACCATAGCATTTCTGGGCAGCTACAGTCAGACACAGAACTTCAGTTATTAACAGCCTACTATACATCAGTTTCATGATGTGTAGAATAAAATGCAATCAAGCATTTTTTGAAAAAGAGCTTCATCCCATGATCAAATCCATAATTCCCGTGTTTTTCACCAACTTATTTATTTATTATATTTATATCTCACCTTTCCTCCAAGAAGAAAGTGAATCTTAGATAGGTAATCAGACAGGGATGTTTTTAGAAAGCAAAATCACTCCCAGTTGCTACATTGTCACTGGTTATGACACGGTATTTCTTCTTTTAAGTCTTTTGTGCTTAAACGCAAAAGAGATTCAGATTGCTTAACTCAGGGGTAGGCAACCTAAGGCCCGTGGGCCAGATGCAGCCCAATTGCCTTCTCAATCCAGCCCGTGGATGGTCTGGGAATCAGTGTGTTTTTACATGAGTAGAATGTGTGCTTTTATTTAAAATGCATCTCTGGGTTATTTGTGGGGCATAGGAATTCGTTCATTTTCCCCCCTTCAAAATATAGTCCAGCCCACCACATGGTCTGAGGGACGGTGGACTGGCCCACAGCTGAAAAAGGTTGCTGACCCCTGGCTTAACTTCTGTTCAAGGGTTAATTATAGGAAAATAGAAAACCAGTTTGCGGACAACCCATAAGGCAGGAAATAAGGTGAGAGGTGGATAATGGAAAAGCATGAGCTAGGAAAAAAACCAGCTGTCACAAAAGAGAATTCCAGTCTTGATTGCATTTAGATAAAAAACCTGCAACAGAATTAAGTATTGTCAAAATTTTCCAGTATGTGAACTGAAATGAAGAATTGGATTTCAAACAATCAAATCTCAAACAATTCGATGTGGCCTCTACTCCCTTGTCTGTGTCAATTACTCTTTGTAATTCAGAGAATACTGAACAATGAACAAGCCCAGGAAAGGACTGAATATGCACTTTGTATAGAAATAATAGCTTCATAATGTAAACATTTACTACTATTTATAGTAGCACAAAATGCAATTATACTAATTTTCCTCTTCTGGAAAGAAAGATGAAATTCAATAGCCTCCAAAAGAGTTTTGGAGAAGAAAAGACAAACTTAATGTTCACAACACAATCCTAAAAAGCTATAACCATCACAGATAAAACTACATTTCTTTATGCTATCATTCAAATGGCACCTCAAAGAACAGTCATTCAAAGGTCTTTATAAGCATTCCTTGATGATGATGATGATGATGATGCTTGTAAGCCATATGTAAAACTGTCATTCTAGTTAACAGAATATTTACTTTTCATGAAACAAATGCTGTTTTAGCAGCTTTGTATATATGCCACAGTATATGTAAAGCACAGAGATTGCAACTGTGCTTATTACACTTGAATCAATTTTACAAAGACAAAGCAGATGAGGAACGGTTCTATTTGCTGAAGTATTAACCTCAGTTAATTATCAACCTACTAAATCATTACAAAGTGCCAATGGAAAAATCTCACTGGAAAAAACCTGTACTTCTTAGGATACAAGGAGGGAGGGGGAGTGTGAAGTATATAAGTAGGTATTAGTGTGCAGTCCAAATGCGAAACAATTAAAAGAGCACTAAATCCAAAAATACAAGGAAATAAATGTGCAGTTACCTCAATTCAGAGCAACCATCCATTTCCTTTACTGCACTTAAAAGTATGAAAGCTATTTACATACAACTACAATCATTTCAATAAATTGAAGAATTTGAATTTAATATAAATTGAAGAATAAATCAGTTGCTCCCACTGATTAATCTGACACTAAGAGAGGTATTAATATGCAACTGAAAAGATATAAATGTTACTACGACAACAACAACCTCCAAGTCCATTTGCTATACATACACCTATAGCATTCTACCAGGTAAGGAATACTAGGTTTACTGCAAACAAATAGCTTAAAAAAATTGTTTGCCTCCTTTCCATAGTTCAAACCTTGCTCAAGGAGGTTTATAACATAAAAAATACATAATTACAAACATAACAAAAATAGTCGTAAACAATAAACAAACATCAAAAAGTGCATGACCAAACTGAGCAATTTCCACATAAATAATAAGATGTAAGATAAATATACGAAAATGTGGTGGTAGGGTGGCAATGGGTAAGGCTGGGCAAGCCAGAGCAACTTGTTGCTACCGCCAGTGATAGTCCCATTGGCAGCCTGGGCCTGAGTCTGCAAGGTGCAGGGTACAATCCACCCCAACACCTAGTGGATGTTGATGAAGGTCACAGGGCCCATCGACAGCATTGGCCCAGCTCTGCAAGGGACGAGGTGACATCCTAGCCGAGCAGGGTCATTTGGTGCTGCTGACTTGCATCTACTAAATAATGAAGTGTCTGCTCAGAAGAAAGCCACACTGTGTTCAGTGGGCCTTACTCCCAGGTAAGCGAGTGTAGGGCTATGGTGTTTTATATAGGCATCCAAGGCTCCTCCGGATGACAAAAGCCTGCCCCCCCAACAAAAATCCTGGCTACACCCATGTGCGTTTAACAATATATCGCTGCACGATGCTGGGTAAAAATCGTTATCGTGGTGTGATTTCAAAACCGATTTTTGCCATTATATTGAAAATTTGCATAGCGGTAAAACAGATAATAAAATTTGTGATGTTATCATGCAAAAATGATGAAAAATAGTTGGGAGGAGGCAAAGGATGGGGCCGTGGACCCCTAGAGGTCCCCACTGGTCTTACGTGATCAGTTCCATACAAGCTAGAATTGACATTCAATAGCTGTGTCTCATCTCAACAGAACAAAATTCAATATGCAGTGATTCTTTATGCTGCACAAGTGGCCTAGAAGTTTGAAGCTGCCAGCTAAAAATATTTTCTTAAACTCTGTATGGAAGTATCACAAGATTCCTGAGCTGATAAGAGGTACTGAATGCCACTGATGAAATCACTCCTATTTAAAAAAAGGAATTGTTGAGGACAAGAGCATCAGACACATTCTAGAACCTTTATGCCCCTGGTGTTTGACAAAAAGAGAACCAGTGTGGCATAATGGTTAGTGTTGGACTAGGACCTGGGAAAGCAGGGTTCAAAACCCCACTCAGCCATGAAGCTCACTGAGTGACCTTAGGCCAGACACCATCTCTTCGCCTAATCTACTTCACAATGTTTTTGTGAGGATGAACCTTGAAATCCTTGGAAGATAAAGGTTGTATATAAATGTAATAAATAATAATAATAATAATAAAAACCAACAGGCATTTCTCATGTTTATTATTCCGAAGGAACAGAGCAGGAAATGCCACACAATGTCTACGATCAAGAATAGTTGAAGTAAGTCCCTGAATGCCAAATTGTATTCCTGTAACTGAAAATTTGGGAGCCGGATGTATGAAGCCTGCTGTTTTCCCAAAATGAGGGTGAATTATGCTGTAACCACCAGTTCTCCCACAAATGGCCTTAAATACATCAGAACCAAGAAAGATGTCAAGGAGACAGCTGAACTGGAAGTGATCTAGCCAGCTGGCCCCTCCCTGCATCTTGCTCATAGTTTTTAATCATAGTTTTAGCGTAATATGTTAAAATTTCCAAGTAAAAGTTATTCCTTGTCTTTAATACTACTACTATCCTACATAGTGTATACCTCCAGTGGGAAAGGAAAAACAACAGATCGTATACCCCAGGTAGACAGGGAGTGCACTTTAACATCTGCTGCCTGCCTGTAACTCTGTATGACAAATTAATAACACTGTGTATATATTTCATACATTGCCCTGGAAAGAGACATGATTTGTGAACCTTCTAGTCTCTCCAAGGATTTAGTTCTGCTTTCTTTTACAATTTAAAATTCACATCCAGGGATGGCTCAAAGGGAAAAACTGGTGGTATCCAATTGGTGACCTTCAGTGAGGGAAACAATTTTTGATCATTCTTCTACCCCTGCAATCCCATTCCCTTCCCCACCCCTGCAAAAAAAAGAGAGCCTGCTCTGGAAGGTCTGGAAAGAGATGAAGCATCTCAAAAATTTCCCTCCCTCCCTGTTCTGCCTTCCTTCAGCAGAGGGATATCTACCATATATTATCGTTTATGTTTCTTCTCTTTTGGAGATCACTTGGAGCTGACTAAGATTGTCTTCCATGAATGTGGTATTAACGGTGTGTCTGTAAGTGACTGTGAAGGCTGATTCTATGTTTAGGACAACCTCTGCCAACCAAACGCCTCCAGAATGATGTTTTGTATTACAACTCCCATCACTCCCAGCCAGAACAGTTAGTGAAGGCTGGTTTGGGGAAACACTGGATCTTGGTAATACACTTAACAGTATCTGAGATTTCCGCATCTAAGTTGACCCACTTTTATGCAAGAGCCGAATTGTTACATTCTTCCTTCTTTTGGCAGTGCTTGATACCCACTGCCCTAGGGCTGTGAGGGGGGCGTAAAATTTTGGCCCTCCTCCCCTCCCATGGAACAAGGCAGAGTGCGGCCCATGGGTTCCATGTCCAAGTACTCTTGTGGCCCACCTTGTGGCTGGTATAAAAGTTGGACCACCCTGCTTTAAGAGAATGAAGAATACATAACAACTATGTATTTTAAAGTACTTGTTGCTGGGCCTGTTTGTAGAAATTGCCTCAAGCAAACACCTAATAAACCTCAAAAAATTCAGCTGTCTCAAGAGTACAGAAATGAAGCACCCCTGTGTATCGCTAAAGGTCAATCCAATTACTACGGGGACTTACAGGAAAGCATCCCACAGAGTTAAATAAGCTCATTGTCCCCAGAAGAATGGCTGGAACATCCCAAATCTAGATTCATATTCTTAGTACTGTGTATAAACTTTTGCGGACAAGTATTCACTCAGGAGAATAGCTCATAAAGCTCTCTTTTATAGATAACTCACGTTTCATTCCAATTAAATGAACCAAAAGTTATGCCTCTGTGTTGTACTACAGTAACTCCTCTCTACACCCTCCCTCCTCCAAATAAAAACCCACAACTGGCAATCAGCTTATGAGGATGAACTGGTAGGCCAGGGCACACCATTCTGTCTACAGAAACTAGAAGCTGTTAGCTTGTGTTATTTTATTATACCTCATAGAAGTGATTACTTTGGGAGTGTATATGAACCATGATCTCACCCATCCTTATTATAAGATCCATTTGTCATTATACACCATTACTCAAAGCAACTTAAATTACTAAGTGTGATCTAATGTTACAAAAGGAGTAATAGGAGAATATCTTAAAGGACAAAGAATGAAGGAGATTTTCCAGGAAAAATATTGAAGTGCTTCCCTAATCAGCTTAGCATTCATGACATACGCATTGCCAAGAAACATGTCCAAAAGACTGGTCATCTGACACTAACAAAGAAAAGGTCTATGTTCTTTAAGTCAGGGATACTTTAGAAAATACAAAAGCTACCGGGAGGCTGCTCTATGCAGTAAATCAGAGTAGGAACTGGCATTACATGCTGTTTGGTCACTTCTGCATGGTCTATAATGCTGTAGCAGCAAGCCATGTAGCATGAGCAACTTTGCAAGGAAAACAGTTCACTGCATGGAACAGATGTCATGGACAGGTGGTTTCAACTGACCTGCACATGGCAGCAGCTGTCAGACTAACAGCTGCAACTACTTCCCTAGTTAGGAAAGCCATCTACCATTTCATTTGTTAATATTTCATTAAGCTGGCAAAAACAATTACAATACTGCAAATGCTTGTCAGCAATTTTTTCTTCAAGGAGACAGGTGTTGCGTTACTGCATACACTGCAGTCTAGCCTATTTTTTAGCTCAACTCCCAAGGTAGAATTCATATGTCTAGTTCATTTGCCCATATGATTTCCATTTAAGGAGATAGTAGGGAGGAAACTTTTAAGACAAACATCAAATCAAATATTTGGTTTTTTAAGGGTTTTTCAGAAAAAGCTGTTTCCAGATCAGGGCATCTACCTAAAGTTTATTAGATCTGCACTACAACTAAGCATTCCATACACACACCATATACACAGTCTGGGTCCCCTACATGCTCCCAATGGATTAGCATAAACGTAACCAAAGAAGCGCTTGCCTACAAAGTGGAAGGGTTTGCATTACAAGGACTAAGCATAGGTGTGCTTCCTCTTCCTTTTCTGACACACCCGCAAGGACATGATCAGAAACTTTGACTTCTGTTTCAGACTACCAACAGTTTGATGCAACAAAGTTTGCCACAATTTTGTGTAACCACAAGTACTTTTTGCTGAACCTTCTCAAATCATGGTTTGAAGCTAGTGGTTTCAATCAACTATTAGATATTAACAACCACAGTTTGTCAGGTTTGGATGACCTGGCAAACTGTGTTAATCTAACAGAAGTGAAAGTTTCCAAATTCCTCCTTGTGGCTACACTGGAGGAAGAGAGAACATGTGAACTGGAGACACACCTATACTTAGTTTCATAAGTGTTTACGGTTTAGTACAATTTTGTTCCAGAATGGAAGGAAGGGGAAAGGAAGTGTCAACTATGTGGGTTGTTGAGTCTTACCTCCCTGACATTTCTGATAAGACGACACATATATTAAGAAGAAATAAATAAATAAAATCCATTGTGTTGTGGCATGACTGATGATCCCTTGCTTCCCAAAATGAGTTGCCTATTGTGATATTCACTCAGATGTTCCAAATTATCCTACCTATATAGTTCAGGCAGGTTATGAAATAAACTATTTTTACCCTTAGCTATTCAGATGATAATGCCTTCTCAGGATTCTAGTTCAGCCAAAATCAGGAGAGGGACTTGGGTTTGTCCACTCCCTTCCTGTGCCCCACCCAGCTAGGGGAAAGCACTGAGCTGAGATATAACTTTTTCCCATAGCAAAGAGGGGAGGGGAGTCCAATGCCAGCAACACATTAAATGAAATGCTTAAGACAACTAATATTGAATACACTACAACTGCTATATAAAATAGGTGGTCAGATGTTCTGCTAAATGAACTGTTCTAGTTATAAAAGCAATTTCCATGAGCTCTCTAAGGCCATTTTAAACTTCAGACTGACCCCCCATCCCTCCTTCACCCAAAGTCCAACTTGTTTTCATGATATAAAAGTAGTAAGAACAAATTGGGGGGAGGGGCGATATCACCAATCAGAAGTTAAGCAAATTTAATTTATACTCATATTGCAAATTCATTACTCCCATCTCCACTTTTCTGAATTTGTCTGTGACTGGAAGTACAGTGGTACCTCGGGTTACAGACGCTTCAGGTTACAGACTCCACTAACCCAGAAATAGTACCTTGGGTTAAGAACTTTGCTTTGGGATGAGAACAGAAATCGGGCTCCGGCGGCACGGCAGCAGCAGGAGGCCCCATTAGCTAAAGTGGTACCTCAGGTTAAGAACAGTTTCATGTTAAGAATGGACCTCCTGAACGAATTAAGTTCTTAACCCAAGGTTAGTAACTGTAGTAAGCTCTAGCATTTTTGACTAAACGACTAAACAACAACAAACTGTGATTAAACTGTTAACTTAAGACTAATGGGAGGTAAGGCAAAAAGAGTGCTACACTAGAAAGGCCATACATGTAGCCATATCCTATTAGTAGTATTTTTCCTACTGCAAAATATTCCTTGGCTACCAGGAGTGTTGCTGTTGAAAGTGTTAATAACTATGCTCAAATTACTGACGCTGGTATAGTTGATGGTATGCTATAAGGGATAATTAGGTGCAACTGATTGTGTACATTCCTATGATCAGAGAACCTTTGAGCACTGAGATGTTCTCCCAGGCACTCTTGCATTAGGTTGGAACTGCTGCATTACCACATTATTGGCATTATTAGCAGCAAAGTCTTGCCCTGACACAGACTCAGGAAGGCAATATGATCCACTCCATACTGTATCATATGAACAGGGCACAAGGCTCTTGTACCTTGCAGTAACTGCAGACTGTAGATTCAATGTACATGTGAAATTCATTCACAGGGAAAATGCATTCCAAATTTGAAGAATCCTCAAACACTACCACTTACAAATCAGAAGGAGCAACCCTCAGATACCATCCAACTCACCACCCACCCATAGAAGCCCAAATTGTTTATGCACCAAAATCTGTGAGGGGGGGATCCATGGAGAGTGAGAATACATGACAGAAATGCATGTGTTCTGTACCCATTGAGAAATGCAGTTTAGATTGTTTTAAAAAGCAAATTTTTAGCCCTTATGACTGCACAGTATGGGGAACCATAATATTGGGATCAAATTATATAGAACCTTAAGGCCACAAACTGGCCTCCCTTGACTTAATGTAAGATTCAGAAGTCAGTGAGAATAGGTTTCTTTTGTGGAAGAACATAGCTACAGAAACCATGTGAAGTCGTTGCATGCCATTTTTTTTATTTAACAACAGTAGAGTCTTCATATAACTATTTGAACACACCCACTTCACATTCCCAATAATGCTCAAACAATGATCATCAGATTTTACAGCTTATTTCAGATGAGTGAGTGGACCTAGGCATAAAGCAATTTTAACTATTTCAATGATACTGCTTATTTCCCTTTGTTAACAACACTTGGAAGAAAGGTTCGGTATTGATATGATCTATATGCTCAGATCCTCAGCATACTTTCTGGGATTACTTGCAAGTAAATAATTTAGCACTGGGGAAATAAAGTCACTCTGTGTGTGTGTGGACACATGCAAGGGGAGGGAGAAAAATAGGTCTGTTTCCAGTTGCCAAATCCCAATTTTTATATTGATATTTGATATGCTCATCGCTTTGCTATTTCAAAAATGCTGATGAACTCTGAAAAGGGTCATATGGAATGCCAGTTCATTGCAACACCCTAAAGCTTCCCAATAGACTGTCTGCAGGGAGTGCATTTTGACCTAAATGGAGCATTCAGCTGCTGATCACTGCATTTAACACAAAAAAGAAAGCCTTTACAGGCATTTTAGTGAAAGAGGTACAGAATAAGGGTTTGTTTCATTTTTTTCAATAAATCCAAACTGGGTATAAAGCTTGAGGCCCAAGACCCTATAATTCAGATGATGTCCACAGTATTTGATTCATAACTAAATTCTGTCTTATCCAAAAGGTATTTAAGGCCCTCATTTTATTCAGCTTTTAACCTTTTTTGATTTTTTTTAAAAGAGAAAGCAACTAAAGGATAGGTTTACAGAATAAACTTAACTACATGTCCAAATTTGGAAAAATACCCATTTTTCAAAAAGCCATCTTAACACACAAAAGAGATGGAAAATATTAAGCAGCAGAATTTCTTTAGAACAATTCCTTTGTTCTTCCTGACTAATACTTTTGAAGAGGCAGCAGCAGCTTCCCTCTGTTTTGCTAGGTGGTTATCAGTCAAATACTATCCTATGCAGAAAGTCCATGTGTTCCATTCCACCTTGCTTTTTCCATTGAGCTCATATTGTGGTATATTAATATGAGTCTTGTTTCTTCTGTATCACACAAGTATGCTAGATATTAAAGCCAAAAGAGCAGCAGGCTCACCCGAGTCCATAGCTCTGGATTTGCAGAAAGGGGGGAAAACCCTGTCTGCCAGTGGACAATTTGCTCTAAAAAACCTTTGTGTCTGTTAGAGGGAAGAACAAAAGGCAGAGCTGCTTCCTCTCAATACACCAGACCCCCGCCCACCTCCTCCGTACAAGCAGAGATTTCTCTTCTATGAGAGAAATGTGATAATGACGACAGTCCCACAGATCTTGATGGCAGAAGTCACCTACCTTTGATAGCTGCCTCCTGAGGCTGAAGCGCTGGACCATGGTCACCTTTTTTCTCCAGACAAAGCAATCCACCAGGGGAACGGGAAGGGAAAAGCAAAGAGCAAAGAAGACAGACTGACAGCTGTCTAAAACTGTGTCAAGCAACACATCCTGAAGCCTACTAGACGGGCGAACTCCAAGGGGAACCCTCCCAGTCTTAAAACTTCAAATCAGTTCATTGTTCTTCCAAAAAACGAGCTTGTGAAACATGCAGGCAAAGACAGCGAGGGAATGAGAGGAGGGGCAGAATCCTGGAGCTGATCACCCTTGTGCCAAGCTTTTTTAACACTTCCTGTGAGTCAGCTGTGAAGGGTCCTGACAGATGGACCACCCCCCTCTCTAGATTCATTAGCTAAATGTTGCCACGGAACCACCTGAGCCTTGGACGGGACTGACTCGCTGCTCTAGTTAATTCAGGGTGCGGTTAGCAGGCATGTGCCTGAAGTACCGGTAAGAGGGTAAACACCCAAAACAATCCTCACAAAGATTTAAGCAGCCTCCCTCTTGTGGGTGTCAGCTTTATAAAAACACATGCAAGATCTACTCTTCTGCCCTTGTTGCAAAATGCAGCCTAGCTTGCTCAAGCCTCAGAGGGTAGGTGGGGGTGGGGAGATAGATGGTTAACAATGGCTCAGAGGAAGCAAGACTCTCTCCTACTCTGGGCTCAGCAGCTGCAGGGCTGTGCCCAGTACTACTGGCTACACATTTCCTCTTATTCACATGCTGAGGTCTCACCTCTTTGAGCGATCATCAGGTACAACCACACATACTACAGCAATGACATCAACTTTGCTCAACTCCAAAGCAAATTAGAGGTGTTTGCTTTGCTTCAAGGGGCTAAAAAAAGCAGCAAATGATTAACAAGAAACTGAGGTCTGTTGCAGCACTCACAAGAGCCCAGACAGCATCACGCCAGAGAAAATATTTAAAGAGGAGAATATTTTACCACCAGCTTAAATCTTTTCACTCTGTTGCTTCAAATTATACCTAACAAAAATCTCACTTGGAAAACTGAATTCAAGAACTGGAACTTTTGACTGATGTCTGTGCCCCAAAACTCTGTCTGCCCTTGAGGAAGTAAGAATACTGTGGCATTCACACCACTTGCAAGTGCCAAATTGCTAGACCAGAGACTGCAGACAGAACAGCAGAATGAGGTGCAGGTTACATTTCCAACTACTACACATGTGCATGTGCACGTCATCCAGAATTATTACAGCCTTTTTGGTTTTGCATGCACAGAGCATCCACATATAGTTCTGCTGCACTAGTTCAAGCAGGGTCATTTACTATGTGTTTGCTTAATAAGCCATCACACAATGGGGCCCAACCTAGTCTAGGCTTTAGGCACTGATGCAATACAAATAAAGGGTTTTCAAAGCTGGAAAGGATGACATTCTTAACTCATTCCCTGCCACCTTCAACATGTGTAGCTCAGAAGCTATGTTAAGAAACTCTGAATGGGTATGGAAGCTTATTACATGTGGTCTAAGAATTTTAAATCATTTAACTGAAACACATTGCATGTTCTAGAAATCTATAATGAAAACAGCAAGGACAAATCTTAAAATATGGCTGAACTGCGTAGCCATTGTGACCATGCTAACCATACTTATTGCAAAGCATACCAAAGATCAAATATTAACTCTTCCAGAGTACAGTGGTACCTCAGGTTAAGAACTTAATTTGTTCTGGAGGTCCGTTCTTAACCTGAAACTGTTCTTAACCTGAAGCACCACTTTAGCTAACGGGGCCTCCCGCTGCTGCTGCGCCGCTGCAGCATGATTTCTGTTCTTATCCTGAAGCAAAGTTCTTAACCCGAGGTACTATTTCTGGGTTAGCGAAGTCTGTAACCTGAAGCGCCTGTAACCCGAGGTACCACTGTAATTTAACATCCCTGATGTTAAACACATGGAAACATTTTTACATGCATTTTCTATGGTCCCATCCCCCCGCCCCAATGCTGTCTTTCCATTTGTGGAAGATTTTGTTTTGGTAAAGGGGTTTCTCTCCCCCCCCTCCCAAGTTTCCTCTTTCTCCTAAAGCTTCCTGTGTCACCTACCAGGCTGTTCAAAGGTCCCACATACTTCCTGGGTCAGATTTTGAAGCGTACAGGGGGATATAGAGGAGAGAGGGAATCAGAAAGAAAATACTCCCGTTAGAAAACAGCAACACTGAAGACAACCCTATATCTATTCACTCTTTTTCCATCAAACATCTTACTGTATCAGCCATGGAAGCTAACTTTGTTTTCCTTCCTGACATTCTTGCATAAAAATTGAGTTCATCATTAAGGTGGTTTCAAAGATATACTGGTGATAGCTTCTTACTCCATGTTAGATTTTGATACAATCCAAGTACATACAGTATAACTTGGTTTTTCTAAAAATCTTCACCATTGTTGATTGACCAGTTTCTTGCATTCATGATGCATCTGATCAGCTGAGTCACAGACAGGTCTGGCTCAAGCTTTATCACCATTGGAGGCATCAAGGACTGCCATCCATTCATCTCCATCCACAACAGGAGAGCATCTAAGCTACTCTTACTTGGTGTAGAGAGCATAAGAGGAAGTTGCACTGCTTTTTCACTTTCTGGAAGCTTTGTGTGATGTAGGAATATCAAGTACCAACTCCAAACTTCTGCACACCGAAGGACTGAGCAGCACACACAATTTGCACAAGTTGACTGGGAAAGTAGCAGTTCTTTCACTTGTTTGAGATGCCTAGCATGAAGGGAAACATCAGACCCAGTCTGTCACACAAAGTACTTTTCTGCCTTGTATATCTGAAAAGAGGTAACTTCGCCTCCCTTTCATTCAAGTACCACACAGCCAGCAAGGGGATTGATAGCTGTCTACAAGAAGCAGAAGAAGAAGAAGAAGAGTTTGGATTTGATATCCCGCTTTATCACTACCCAAAGGAGTCTCAAAGCGGCTAACATTCTCCTTTCCCTTCCTCCCCCACAACAAACACTCTGTGAGGTGAGTGGGGCTGAGAGACTTCAGAGAAGTGTGACTAGCCCAAGGTCACCCAGCAGCTGCATGTGGAGGAGCAGAGACGCGAACCCGGTTCCCCAGATTACGAGACTACCACTCTTAACCATTACACCACACTGGCTCCCAGTGGAGAAGTTTGACATTCTCCATTCTGCCCACTGTTGTGGGGACTTCATACCATGTCATGGTCAGGCTGGCACTGGACACGGAGGTCTTCACTTTCTCAAATTATCAGAGTAACAAAACAGCACATAAAGTTGCCATCACTTCAGCTTTATATACTGTTATAAGAATTCTAAGGTCTCAAATATATAATAAATATTCATAAACACACACATGTCTAAATATATAAACCATGTGTCTGAAATAGTAGAGGAGAGCAATCCTTAAGCCATTTTGATGCTCCCAATTACCTCAAATATTCCTCTGCAGTAAGGGAGGGAAATGGGAAAATCCTTCCCCATAGTCTTTTCACTTACAAATCCTGTCTTAAGCGTGTATTTGTGTATGAATAGGGTGAGCCTGTGACCTAGATTCAGGAACTAAAGTATTCACCATCATGAAAGAATGGCCAGGCTGTCCAGGTAATGCAATCAGTGACCATTATCAAGTATCCTGGCAGACAGGATTTCTGCTGTAGACTGCCTCCTATGATGTATGTATGATGATTTTGGGGTGGTCTTTGACTAAGGGGGTTGGGCAATGTCAAAAGTCTTTAAAGGTTCCTGCAAACTTTTGGTCAGGGGCTCTCCCTCCTTGGAAGGAGGGGAGGGAACTCTGTTGCAACAGAAAAATAAATATCTGCCATGCTTTCCACTGAATCCTGCCTTCATCCATTTTTCTCTGACCGATTATGGAGTTGGAGGACTCAGCATCCCATGGAGAGTTGGGCAGCAAAAGTCAAACCCCTATTTTTAACTTCAATTCATTTATTTAGCAATGTCAAGAACACAAGTATTCTATGCTTTATTACATGAAGTTGAATTACAATTTACTACGAACCCATTTCGGGTGTAATTCTCTTGCCTAACGCTGCATGGGGTTAACAGCTGCTGGAACAAGCAACTGTCTCCGCATTAACCTTTGAAGCAACACAGAAGTAGTAAGTCCAGTATAACCTGTTTAACAATTTTTCAACTATAGCTTGGGAAAGGACTGAATACAAATGGTTGATAATTAGGTTTCACATTGTACTTGCTTGCATCATACATCCAATCTTACCTCTGCATATTTCATGATCCAAAGTAGAACTAAAGAAAAAATTCCAGAACTTTTCCCTTCCAACCTTTTTTTACATTTGAACCCCCATGAAACCCAGGTCTATGCATATTTATGTGGAGGCACATCTCACCATGTTCAGTGGAGCTTACTCCTGCACAGGATTACAGGCTTCAATCCACAGCCCGATTTACTTTTGAGAACTCTTACTTGCATACCTTATTTTCTTTTTTAAAAGACAGCTATAATATCATGAGAATGTTGCAAACATGAGCATTTAAACTATTTTTAAGTTCTAAATAATCGTATTTTTTACCAAATAAAAAAGGTTGGGGGTTTTTACCAATTTTTTTTTTACCAAAAAATTAAGTTTAAAATTGGGGCTTGTCTTATACACGGGTAGTGCTGAGGGGTGTTTTCTTAAATTGGAGTTCCCCAAAATATACATGGAAAAATATGGTATGTACTTTAGGTTAGTGCATATATCTACTGTACAAATTAAGCTGCATTCTAACTGCTCCTGGACAAAGGGTTGTGTAGGACAAACTGAGATGGCGGCAGTGTAAATCTTCGTTTTCTGCCCTTCCATCAACTCCCATGGGATGGATGTAATTCTGTCTGCATTTCTGGTGGTGTAAATTACTGCAGGCTCTGTGGACAGGACCAGGGAATGAAGGTAGTTCATTGCAGAGTTCCCTATTTGGTGACTCTTGCCTCAGGCAGGCCTTATGGCAGAGGTGAAGCCAGCCATGTCCACCTATTACTTACCTGACATTGTATGCGCATTCTCTGCCTTCTTTGCAGCGAGGCTTACATTCAGCACTGTTTAATCACAGGCCAAAGTGAAGCTGATCCCAGCTGGAAGTGCAGCTTGTACTTTGTGCTAAATATAAAGAACACCAATGGAAGCCCACTGCATTCCAGCAGACATGTGTCTATCTGGTGGATACACGTCAGTGACTGCAAGGTGGACACCTATAAAAACTGAGCTATGGAGGATGGTCAGTATTGGATCTTTACAGCTCTTTCAGACTATGCCAGCCACTACAACTGATGGCAAATATGACTGGATTCCTCTGGTTCAATGGAACTGTCTTTGCTGAACCACTGAGATGGAAGATCTTCCACATATTTTGTCCTATGTACTTTAAATCATGTTTTAAGTGTCTGGGTATTATTTTATTTGGATTTATTGGGATTACCCTCAAAAACCATCACCCCAAATAAATCTTATCTATTGTCAGATACTGACTTTGACTTATAAGGTGTCTTTTTGCACTGGCTGCTAAAAAGGATGAATGGAAAGGTGCTTTCAGGGGTAGCTATAAATTATCATGGTGATACAGCAATTTGATTATAATTTGATTATTCATTTTATTGCTTTCTTATCCTTTGTTTTATTGCTTGTTCTTTATCCTTTATTCTGGCTTTGCAATGTTTGTATTTGCAAAGTTGATTTGTTGCGGGCCTTGAGCCTGTTTGAATTTTTGCAATGGCCTTTGACCACAGGTAATAAAAATGTCACCTGACTGACCAGGTTGCCACTGATTACATACAAGTATTCTGGACAAGAAAAACACGTGTACTTTTTCTAGTTTTACTCACTGTAAAAGATATTTCATCACTGTAATATAGTCAAGTGTCTCCTTAGAAATATGAAAAGCATGGAATATGCCAAACACCCACTTGATTTTAATTTGGGTTGACAGGATTTTGCTTTTGCTTGCTTAATATAAAAATCACATCAAAACTAAGCACCATACAAAGAAAGAAATGCTATCCAGGTACAACTGAAAGGATGCAGAACAGCCATCACTAGATGTGCAAAATTTCCAGAAATTGTGAAGCCTTTTCCTGTACCCCCTCCTCCCCGGCAAATAAAATGGAAATTTTGGGGTAAACTGGAAAGTAAGCAATACCTTTTGGCACCCTTTACAAGCCGAAAGCCAATTTGCTTCTTTAGGAATATAAAATCTATTATGGTGATTTTGTAGTGAGAACACTAGTTGAGCAAACACCCAAATAATGCTAGCCTTTGAAGCAGCATTAGCTCGACAAGAAGAAAACATGCCTTTGGAAACCTAGCCCCAGTTCCTTATCAGCCACCTAGATGCAAAGCCCCAGGCTTCTGTCATCTTCTAGCCATCGGTGCCCATTACAGAAAACAATGTTATTTCATTTCACAGTAAATAAACTGGAGCAGGGGTAGCCAACAAGGTACCCTTCAGATGTTTTGGACTACAGCTCCCATAATTCTTGACCAATGGTTCTGCTTGCATGAACTAGTTACTCATAACTTGGCTTGAACCTTGTTCTGTTCAACACTAAAGTTTGTTTACTTCTGTCTTCCAATTACATACACATCCTACTTATTCAGGATTACTATATACCACCACTGTACAGCAATTAACAGGCCCACACTATACATATATTGGGAATATATGAGAAATGTATTCACAGGGAGTGGAAACGTGAAGGAGAAGAATCACAATATGAAATCAACTGGGGGGGGGGGTGTCACTTCAAAGTATGGATCAAGAAGGCCAGATCGGCATCAACTATTAATGGATCAATCCTAACAGAAAAAGACTACAAACTCCATTTGTCATCTACCACTTTATGCCAAAACATTTTCAGGACAACAACCTATAGTCCCTTCTGAAGTATTATTTCTTTTTCTTCCAGGTCCTGAGTGGTAGGCCTATTCTTGCTTACAGATATCACCTATATCCAAATCAGATCATCAATGGCAGCAGGCCACATAATGGAGATACAAATCCAGAAACTGTCCCTTCCAAAAAGCAGAGTGGCCACTCTGTTTTCCTATCTACTTTTGCTCGTTCACCTGCAAAATCTTGCTCTTTCCTTCAATGTTGGGTTCATATTATTATTATTATTATTATTATTAATCACATATCTTTGCATACACATGACCAGTTCATGCATCTGATAGTGGACTAGGGCAAAAGATTAAGATACCATGCTCTTTTTCAATTACAATATAGATTTTCCCTTTTCAGAAACAGGGATCTCAGCCTTTCTTCTTCTTCTAAAATCAGGGTACATATTAAACTTCAATTATCAAGATCCACTATATTACATATTTCTAAACTAGTTAGCTAGACATTACCATTACAGGTTTACAGAGAGGCACAGAGAGTATTTAAAAGGTTAATAGTTCAAGCTTCAGATAAAGAAATGATACTTTTTAATAGGGCATTTAAGCCCTCATCAGCAGCCTGAGAAGGAAGAAGAGGAGCTACACCAAGGAAATTGTGTTATTTGACAAGCACCTACCTAAATGCAGTGGGATGAGTTCAATATTGCATTGAGGGGATTGTTCTATCAGTGCAAGCATTTCTTCTGGATAGATGGAACTATCTCCCTTCACCACCACAAGCTGCTCAGGGGGTTTTCCAGACTCTCCCAAACAAATTTGAGGAGGGTGTGGGGATGGACAGCTGATGGAACTCCTGATGAGCTAGCAGGACTTATTGCGATGGCTTCCACTAGGACAACTACTGGGTTGAATCTGGCCCAGGGTGCACTGCTTTCAAATTAAGTGAAGATTCCAAAAGACTGATACAGTGGTACCTCTGGTTGCAAACGGGATCCGTTCCGGAGGCCCATTCACAACATGAAAAGAGCACAACCCGCAGTGGTGCATCTGCACATGCGCGGGTTGTGATTCACCACTTCTGCGCATGCATGTGACGTCATTTTGCACTTATGCATGAGCGGCGAAACCCGGAAGTAACCCTTTCCGGTACTTCCGGGTCGCCGCCGGACGTAACCTGAAAGAACGTAACATGAAGCGGATGTAACATGAGGTATGACTGTACAATGCTACAAAACCCATTAGGCTACTTTCACTAGACTACCATAGATTTAATACCACAACACCCTCACAGTTATTCCTGAAACAGATTCCAAGTATTTTGATCCAGAAAGTCTTATTGGGTGTAAAATGAGCACACTTTATAAATAAAGCATTCACAGAGCATCAGCACACCATTTCTTAGCTCCATTTCTTTGAGTTCTTGACAACGAAATGCAGCAAGGCATTATTTTGAAACATGCTTTAGGCAGAATAACAAACCCACAACAGATTTCAGTGACTCAGGCAATCAACATTCATGAAGCCTAAGGAGAGTGATAAAGACAGTAATGAGGCTTCTAATAATACCAGCAGCCTAAGGAAGACATATGCAACCAATATTTACAGACAGTCCATCTGAAGGTGCTTCCAGATAGTCTTCATGTTGCAAACAGGTTATTCAGATCCTCCCCACCCCCAAAATGGGGTGACAGAGTAGAAATTAAGTCTAGAACAGTTGCACTCATGCACTATTGCAAAGGAGAGCAGAAGCAATGCAACACATTGAACAGTCTGAAGTTGGCTGCTGCTGCCTTCTGCTGTCCCCACTATCTTCTGCCACCCCTCCTCCTTAACCTGCAGGCGCTGTTTGGAGAGCCATCCATGCCACACTCTAAGGAAAGGGTCCCAGAAACAGTGTGGGCCTCTGTCCTTGCCAGAAAGTTAAACTTTCAATAGGATTTGCCAGTTGTCAGAAAGTAGAGGTGGCACGGATGATGTCTGAGCCCACCTCATCTACAATACCTTGCTCTTCCCTCAAAAGTTGCATTGAGTCCAGAGGCCTGTTAGGAGTGTCACTAACTGCTTGCCTCTTGCAGCAACAACACTCTTGTGGTGGCAGATACATAAGAGAAGCTCTGCTACATTAGAGCAAACACCTATCTACTTCAGGTGATTCCCGTTTCCCCCAGTGTCCTATGGGAAGTCCACAGGAAAACAACAACCCTCTATTACCACTTTCCCCCAGCAATTGGTATTCAGAGTCATGCTGCCTCTGATTCTTAAGGAAACAGCCATCGTGACAAGTAATCACATATACCATTAATCTGTGAATTTGTTGAAACCCCTTCTAAAGTCATTTAATCAACTGGTAATTCCATATTGACCTATGCAATGTATGTATTCCTTTTTTCTGTCCTGAATCTCCCACCAACTCTACATCTTAGATGACTCTTGGTTTTCTATCAAGAAAAAGTTCTTTTTCTGATGATTCCTAACATGCAGTACAGTGGAACCTCAGTTTTTGAACATAATCCGTTCTGGACGTCTGTTCGACTTCTGAAATGTTCGAAAACCGAGGATCAAAGGGCTGTCAGTAATTCAATGAGGAAAATTGAGAAACACACTTCAGAAGCTGTTCGACTTCCGAGGCGAGTTCAAAAATGGAACCATTCACTTCCGGGTTTTCAGCGTTCAGTTTTCAAAACGTTTGGCAGCCTAAGACATTTAAAAACCCAGGTTTGACTATACGTACACCTTTTTCAAAGGCACAACACACTAAGTTGATGTTTTAACTAAGATAGCCATCAGGACTACAAGATCTAATTCCTGGTTAGCTGCTGTCAGTTTATATCCGATCTGTGTACAGTGGTATCACCGCTTGCGGACGGGATCAGTTCCGGAGCGCCACTTGGATCCCAAGGTTTTTGCTACCGGAGGTGCCTGTTCTGCACATGCGCGTGGCACAGTAGAGCGCTTTTGGGCATGCGGCGAAACCTGAAAAAATACTTCTTGGTTTACCGCGTTCATATCCTGAAGTTTACGTAATGTGAGGTACTACTTTATATATGTGAATTTAAGTTTTTTGCACCAATGCTCATCACCTTACACTTCCTTACATTGAACTGTATTTGCCTGTTCACTCATTTTGGAGAAATCCTTTTGGAGCTCTTCATAAGCCATTTTTTATTTTTATCATCCTAAATTTGGTATCTTATGCAAATAAGTAAGTTAAAAAGTGACCACCCAAATACAGTGGAACCTCGACATACGCCTCGTCTCGCGGATGTTCCAAGTTGAGTTCGCGGAAAAACCCGGAAGTAGACACCAGGTTTGCTGCAATTCGCACATGTGTAGAAGTGGCTTCTGCCATCTGCGCACGCGCAGAAACGCGCTACCACCGAATGCGCACGCACACAAGACACCTCTTCTAGCATCCCGTTTCAACCAGCAGACGTACCTCCGGAACGGATTATGTCCGTAAGTAGAGGTTCCACTGTACAGATTCCTTGGCAATCTAACTTCTTCCTTCTGTTGTGAGAACTAATCACTGACTTCTACTCAGACTCTGCATACTATAGTTTAACCAGTTACTAATCCATAAAGGACTCATTGTCTTATTCCACTGCTAGTAAGTTGACTCAGGAACCCTTGCAAAGGCTTTTGTCAAGGGCTTTTCTGGAAGTCCAAGTACACAAAGTCTACAGCTCCAAACACCCCACTCACATGTTTGCTGACTCTTTTAAAAGGACTTCAAAAGTTGGTGGTAAGACCAACACTGCCTAGGTAGTGGAGGGTGGGCAAACAGATGAGAAAACAATCCCTGTCTTACAGAGCGTGACAAAACACCAGCTTCCAATACACTTACAGTCTCGTGGTCCAAGTGGCAATCCAAATTGGCCATCTTTAGGACACAGGATGCTGTTAAATCACTAGTCTGAAGTGAACATGTATTATATAGACCTTGAATGTCTAATTTTTCTACATCCTGAATACAGAGTACACACAGATGCACACACTACAGTTAAGACAACTGAAATGTGGAGATAAACACACAACTGCCACCTTTTTTGCAGTGGCTCGCCATCTGTGGAATGTTCTCCCCAGGGAGGCTTGGCAAGCGCCCTCATTATACACCCTTAGGAGCCAGGAGAAAATGTGGTTGACACCCTATATACTCTTTTAACTGTGTTTGTGGCAGGTGGTGGTAGGGAGTGGGGGTTATTCGTTTGTTTCTGTTCTTGCTTTTATAATGCCTTTTGTGTTTTTTTTACCTTGTATTTTTAGGCTCTGAACCACCCTGAGATCTACAGATGAAGGGCAGTATACAAATTTTGTTGTTGTTAAGTCGTTTAGTCATGTCTGACTCTTCGTGACCCCATGGACCAGAGCACGCCAGGCACTCCTGTCTTCCACTGCCTCCCGCAGTTTGGTCAAACTCATGTTAGTAGCTTTGAGAGCACTGTCCAACCATCTCATCCTCTGTCATCCCCTTCTCCTTGTGCCCTCAATCTTTCCCAATATCAGGGTCATTTCCAGGGAGTCTTCTTTTCTCATGAGGTGGCCAAAGTACAGTGGTGCCTCGCAAGACAAAATTAATTCGTTCCGCGAGTTTTGTCGTCTTGCGATTTTTTTCGTCTTGCGAAGCACGGTGTCGGGAAAGTTTTGGAAAAGCTTCAAAAATCACCAAAGTCTTTAAAAACCTCAAAAAAGGCTACCACACCGCATTCTTTGAGTTGCTCCTCGAAGTCAAGTTGCAACTGTATTAACGGTGTTAAGAAAAAGGAAACAAACTTGCAAGACGTTTCCGTCTTGCGAAGCAAGACCATAGCGAAAATCGTCTTGCGAAGCAGCTCAAAAAACAAAAAACCCTTTCGTCTAGCGAGTTTTTTGTCTTGCGAGGAATTCGTCTTGCGAGGTACCACTGTATTGGAGTCTCAGCTTCAGGATCTGTCCTTCCAGTGAGCACTCAGGGCTCATTTCCTTAAGAATGGGTAGGTTTGATCTTCTTGCAGTCCATAGGATTCTCAAGAGTCTCCTCCAGTACCATAACTCAAAAGCATCAATTCTTCAGCGATCAGCCTTCTTTATGGTCCAGCTCTCACTTCCATACATCACTACTGGGAAAACCATAGCTTTAACTATACGGACCTTTGTCGGCAAGGTGATGTCTCTGCTTTTTAAGATGCTGTTTAGGTTTATAATAATTGTCCATTTTATTATCATTTATAAAAAGCAACAGAAGTCCTTGTTAAATGTTATAAATTAATACTGTATTAAATAAGAAAGCTGAGCAATTACGTTACAGAAGTGGAAAACGCTCTACTTCTAAAATTTCAAAAACTACAAGAATCTTGAAAGAAGAGGAACGTAGGGTAACCACTGTCAACAAATACTGTGCAAAATGAACTCAGTCCGTGTTATGGGAAGTGCATTACATGATTCCAATTAATTCACTGCAAGCGGATTAAGGGCACACAGGATTGCAGCCTAAATCAAATTAGCATACTATAACTGAGACTTGAGTGAGACATCACAGGCTATACTGCAAGCTTGTTAAAGTATTTATGTGTGTTGCATAAATTAATAAATCCAAGGAGTTACTGAATTAGTGTAAACGAAAATTCATTCAACGTTGATACTGCAAGAGTATTCCAGGTGGGTAAAAGGTAAAGGCACAACGTAACACCATGATGGAAGCCAGAACGCACGGAAACACCATTTACCTTCCCGCCACAGCAGTACCTATTTATCTACTTGCACAGGTGCACTTTCAAACTGCTAGGTTGGCAGGTGGACAGAATATGAAAGCTGGGTTCTAGGTTTCATAGCAAAACTGAAAATAATAATTTTGGCCAGAGATTGCACACTGAGGGATCGTGTTAATGAGTCTTCGGAAAGCAATTTGAACTTTGAAGGAAAGGGATTGGTTCCGTTTCAACAGCATTTCCAATAGCTGGCCAGAGCAGGAGAACAGCTTCAGAGGCTAACTTACTATGCTTCTACCCTGTGTTCCCAGAGAGGAAAGAAGAGCAGAAAGAATCAACATACTGCCTCCGCTGCCCAATAAATCTTCCTCAGCTGTTGTTGTTGTTATTATTGTTATTTTATATTTATTTATATCCCGACTTTTTCCCTGACAGGGACTTGAAGTTACTGCTTTTCAAAGAAGTGATCTGCCATTTACTCCAGCAAAAGCCTCTTTTATCTAATCTCAATGTAAGACTTGATTATGTGAAGCACTCTGAACACTTGAAATGTTCTATATAAAAGTTAAGTATTATTACTCACAAGGATATGCATTAACTATATATGAGCTCTAACTGACATTTTAGGCAATGCAGCAGTTGATATTATGAGTACTCTTTAAAATGCACAGATCTATATGATGTTTGGGTGGATATTTTCAGTCTGAGTCTGGCTTACCCAAAGTGTTGTGGGGCATGGTCTATGTAATATATACAGTGGTGCCCCGCAAGACGAACGCCTCGCAAGACGGAAAACCCGCTAGACGAAAGGGTTTTCCGTTTTGGAGGCGCTTCATAAAGCAATTTCCCTATGGGCTTGCTTCGCAAGACGAAAGCCCATAGGGAAATCTCCGGGGACCTCTTTTAAATGCTAGCGGTGGGGAGCAAAGCCTTCCCCCCCCCTCCGGCCTTCAGAAGAGGTCCAGGAAGGCTGGCGGGGGCCGAAAGGCTTTGCTCCCCACCGCCAGCATTTTAAAAGCAGTCCGGGATAGCAGGGAAGCGCTTCCCGCTATCCCGGACGGCTTTTGAAGGCAGGAGAGGTCCGCGAAGCCTGGGCGCGCTGATCTCAGCGCGCGCAGGCTTCGGCATGCCGGCAACTCTCCGCAAGCAGCGGCAGCGCTGCCGCTGCTCGCGGAGAGGTCCGCGAAGCCTGGGCGCGCTGATCTCAGCGCGCGCAGGCTTCGGCATGCCGGCAACTCTCCGCAAGCAGCGGCAGCGCTGCCGCTGCTCGCGGAGAGGTCCGCGAGCCTGGGCGCGCTGATCTCAGCGCGCGCAGGCTTCGGCATGCCGGCAACTCTCCGCAAGCCGCGGCAGCGCTGCCGCTGCTCGCGGAGAGGTCCGCGAAGCCTGGGCGCGCTGATCTCAGCGCGCGCAGGCTTCGGCATGCCGGCAACTCTCCGCAAGCAGCGGCAGCGCTGCCGCTGCTCGCGGAGAGGTCCGCGGAGCCTGGGCGCGCTGATCTCAGCGCGCGCAGGCTTCGGCATGCCGGCAACTCTCCGCAAGCAGCGGCTGCGCTGCCGCTGCTCGCGGAGAGGTCCGCGAAGCCTGGGCGCGCTGATCTCAGCGCGCGCAGGCTTCGGCATGCCGGCAACTCTCCGCAAGCAGCGGCAGCGCTGCCGCTGCTCGCGGAGAGGTCCGCGGAGCCTGGGCGCGCTGATCTCAGCGCGCGCAGGCTTCGGCATGCCGGCAACTCTCCGCAAGCAGCGGCAGCGCTGCCGCTGCTCGCGGAGAGGTCCGCGGAGCCTGGGCGCGCTGATCTCAGCGCGCGCAGGCTTCGGCATGCCGGCAACTCTCCGCAGCAGCGGCAGTGCTGCCGCTGCTTGCGGAGAGGTCCGCGAAGCCTTGGCTGGACAGCTTTTGAAGGCAGGTGGGGGGACAAAGACTTTCGCCCCGCCAACCTTCAGAAGAGGTCCAGGACCTCTTCTGAAGGCTGGCGGGGGCAAAAGTCTTTGTCCCCCTGCCTGCCTTCCCAGGGGCTTTAAATTGCCCCGGACAGCGGAGAAGTCCTCCGCTGTCCCGGGGCAATTTTAAATGCCGCCCGCCAGCATTTTAAGATCGCCCGGACAGCGGAGAAGCCCTCCGCTGTCCCGGGGTTTTAAAATGCTGGGGTGGGTGGGAAGAAAAGCCCTTGTCCCCCCCCCCAGCCTTCAGAAGAGGTCGGGGGACAGACTGTCCCCGGACCTGGTCTGAAGTCGGTTTCCCTAGGAACGCATTAATTGATTTTCAATGCATTCCTATGGGAAACCGTGCATCGCAAGACGAAAAACTCGCAAGAAGAAAAAACTTGCGGAACGAATTAATTTCGTCTTGCGAGGCACCACTGTACAGGCTTGGTTTAATGACTTACCTCCAAAAAAACGGAAAACTGACTACAGCTTTCAAATAACGTAAGAGAAATGCATAGGCATATTTACATTCTGCCTTTATGTGAGCTGGCAAATAATTACTTCTCCCCAAAATTTTTGAGTTGTTATCAAACCAAATATTGGAAGTCATGATTTAGCTATATTACCATTCTACATTAGCTATAACATTAGTCTTTTGAAATAGAGAGATCAAAAGGTCCACAGCACCCTCTATTGGCAAAATGGTAAAGTTTGAGAAGTCTCCCGATTCATTTTTCTTCTGTGAAAACAGCAGTCACTTAAGAGAAATGTTCTGAGGCTAGGAAATGGAATTCAGGTCAACTGCCTCATGGCTTTAAGTAAATAATATTTCACATCCAAGTTGCGGTAGTAAATTCTGCACAGCAAAATATTCAGTTTACCATGCAGAAACTGCTGTTTCAAGGGGTGAGAAATATCTTTAAATACGCTTCCCCGTTGTTTTGCTATTTATAGCCATTGTTCCTCTGATCCAATACTGTCTTAACAAAAGCCACAGCTTTCAAATATTTTTCCAAATAGACATATAAGTCACAAACTTTAAGAAAAAGTATACATAATAAAAGTAAATGATTGGGTAAAACAGAAGTGTTTTAGTTTGTGTTGAAAACAAATGTTGTATATGCACAGCTGCATGACTTCTCCCACTTCTCTCTCTGCCCCCTCCACAAACACTATAGCTAAGAACTGAAATTGGTTCTGCAGCCAAGTTCTGGTATAGGTTGAGGTCTAGCCTAGTTTTATTTTGTAAACGATTTTCCAACTGTACAAATTCCTCACCAGTCACTCCACACTTCGAAGAAGAAGAAGAAGAAGAAGAAGAAGAAGAAGGGAAAAGAGGCTGAACATGCTTTACTTCTTGCTTACACTCTGCATCAGTGGCAGTTTCTCCACAGGAGTCCGTAGTTCCTATCTACAATACAGTGATGATTCATTTATCAATCTGCCTTAGTTCAGCAACTTAGCAGGCACAAAAAAGAATACAAGGATACAAATACAGCAAAGCATACTGGTAATCTTCCCAGAGACGAATGTTCAGAAAAGGAAATACCAGCCCAAAAGAAGGAGGTGTTTCAATATGGTTAGACAGTTTAAGTATGGATACTGAGCACAATCCACCTTTATATAATTTGCGTACATGCTGCCCCTGATTTTGCCTGTAATTTAAGTGCTTTATAAACACATATGCCTAATGTGTCTAACCACCCCCCCTTTTCCAGCCGCACATTATCAGCTTTCCAACTGCACAATTTTCCCCCCAAATGCACATTTTGTTTCCAACTGCACACTAATAAAAACCTTGGCCTCACCAGCACATCAGAGAACATTATACCTCTGTGTGCATTTGTCATGTGTGCAGGCATTTACCTTTTGACCATGGAGCTACACTTGAATTCTTAACTGGCTAAATAGCTCAGAGTCTGAAATATTTCCTACTGTGGGCCTATTTGTTTATTGGCAAGAAAGAATATGGAAAGTCTACCCACACACACCTCAACTATTGCATGTTGTTCCTAATCGCCCATACTCTTACGTCCTATATTCACTGATCCAGTAATAGTGCCTAGTATAGACAAGGTCTCTTTGCACAATGCAAAGACAGAGATTTATGTCAGCTTGTAATGCAATCTTGCAGTTCTGAGACTGCCTTATCAATATGCAATTAGCCCACTTACTGCCATCTAAACATTTCTTATCTTGCTCCAACACACAACAATGCAATCCTATCTCTGTACAAGGCAACAACACTTCATTTGGGCATTTTAAATAAAATGAACGCTTATTAACCAAGATATCTACTCCAAATTCCGATTTGAAAAATCTGAAGCTTTGTACTGCCCACATTCACTATTACAGGGATATATCCAGTGCTTTTTTTCTGGGGGGACCCAGGGGTACGCATACCCCTAAACATTTTGTGAATCTAAGTTTGGCCTCATTGAGGGGCAGTATTTCAATATGAGCAGGAAAATGAGAGTACCCCTAAACATTTTTTTTAAGGAAAAAAGCACTGCATATATCTATTGTACACATACGTATACACAGAGAGAGACACACAGTGCTATGTTTTTTTTGGTTTTTTTTACAGAACTGTATGAAATTTGAGGGCATGGTAGCCACTCAAGAGCAGATAATGTGAGTCAAACACCAGATAGGCTCAGGTAATTTGTGATGGACACCTTTGAAGCTAGAAAGAAAGAAAGAAAGAAAGAAAGAAAGAAAGAAAGAAAGAAAGAAAGAAGCACTTTAACACAGAAATTTTTAAATATTCACTTAACTTACATCACCCTCTGATTCTTGGCTATCCCGATCTTCTTCCATGACTCTTCTGTTAGTTTCATTAGTGTTTCAATTCATCACTATACCAACAGAGATTGGCCATTTAAACTTTTCAGACTCATGCTCTAGTCTCCGCTTCTTCTCTAGTCTACAGGCAATAAGGAAGTCTAGTAAACCTCTAAGGAGCAGGGATAAGAAATAGCACGCACTCATTGTTTTGGAGTTCAATTGACCAAACAGGCCTGTTCTGCAGCCAGTGTCCTTTCAAGAACTAGTAAAATCCATCATGCAAGTTTTAATAATTAAGATTGCTTATCAAGCTTTCCGTAGTTTAACCTCACCAGAATACAAGTAATTTGGAAGTTAGAGCTCTCTTTTTTCCCCATCACAACTGAAAGAATCTCCAGAAACTGGTCTGCAGAATTCTTATTCTACAAAAGAATTCCATATAACTGTCCCTCTTTTAAAGTGACCACCATCTCCTATGAGGAGCATCATTTTATAATTTGTGTGTTTAAAAACCACATGTACAACAAATACATCCATTAAACTTGGACAAGACAACATCTAGGTCATGGGTAGGCAAACTAAGGCCCGGGGGCCGGATCCAGCCTAATCACCTTCTAAATCTGGCCCGCAGATGGTCCAGGAATCAGCGTGTTTTTACACGAGTAGAATGTGTGCTTTTATTTAAAACACAACTCTGGATTATTTGTGATTGGTTATGACAGTTTTGGCACGGTATTCCTTCTTTTAAGTCCTTTGTGCTTAAAAGCAAAAGAGATTCAGATTGCTTAACTCAGGGGTAGGCAACCTAAGGCCTGTGGGCCAGATGCAGCCCAATTGCCTTCTCAAACCGGCCCGTGGACGATCCGGGAATCAGCATGTTTTTACATGAGTAGAATGTGTGCTTTTATTTAAAACGCATCTCTGGATTATTTGTGGGGCATAGGAATTTGTTCATTCCCCCCCCAAAAAAAATACAGTCCAGCCCCCCACAAGGTCTGAGGGACAGTGGACTGGCCCCGTGCTAAAAAAGTTTGCTGACCCCTGATCTAGGTCAACAAGCTCCATAAAATCAAGCACAAAAGTTTGGGCTTATGGATCCCAATCAAGAACTTGTCAAAGTCTCAGAACACTTCTGGCTTATTCAAGGATCCTGTAAACAGTAAACTGAAGTATGTAACAGAAAATAAAAGTATTAAGAAGGGCTCACTAAGGGTGGGGGGAGCAAGCAAGTGCCCTCTCCCACTTTGTGGAGCCCATTTGACCCTCCCGGTATACTCCAGAGCTTAGGGTGAGGAAACAAGCTGGGAGATGGCTTGAACTCAAGTGGAGGAAAGATCTGAATGAATGCAACTGAATGAATGTAAGGGCTCATTATCGAGCCTACCCAGTGGCAGTGAAAGCAGTAAAGAAGGCATACTTTGCTGCCTCCATTGCATCATCATCATGGCGTCTGGCAGCACTTTTCCAGGTTGTACAGGATGGCCCAAAGGAGGTGATAAAACCAACAGTAGCTTGCTGTGATTTGTTTGCAAAGCATTTTGAGGATAAAATCGCTTGCATCCACTAAGACCTTGACTCTGCTGTTATAGCAGATGAATCTCATGGGGTGTCCAGAGCACAGTCTAGTCCTGTGTTGGATGAGTTTCAGTTGGTAAGACTCAAAGATGTGGACAAGGTGCTCAGATAAGTCAGGGTGACCACTTGCGCTCTAGACCCTTGCCCTTCTTGGCTGATAAAAACCAGCAAGAAGGGAACAGTTGGCTGGGCCAGGGAGGTGATCAGTGCCCCTTTAAACCTCCAGGTATAGGGTGGTATATTATTAATTTTTATTATTATTATTATTAATGGTGGTGTCATTTTAGGTGTTACATAAACAAAGAACAGAATATAGGGGAGTTTTATATTAATTTATACTACACACACATACAGGGAACAGACATGCTATAAGCACTAATGCATCTTTTTAGATTACCAAAGGAATCACTCTTGCACTTGTAGGACAACCACCACCAGATCAAGGCCCTTCCATTGTTCCCATGAGAAAACCTGCCACAAGGTTTTTCCTTTGCCACTATACCGTTTAACAGCCAGCCACACCAGACACGATGGAAAGGAGACAGCAAGTTCTCTTTCATTAATGTGCCTTGACCAGCTGTTGTCAGATATAAGCTTCCTAAAGATGACATTCCAGTAGAACCAGCAGAAGGGTAAGCAGAGAGAGTATAGCTCCTTCCTGTAGACTGCTAGCACCAATTATGTGCAACACTACTTGAATGAGTCACTTTGGCACTTCTTGTATGAGTCACTTTGGCTTTATTTCTTTAAAATGCCGTTTTCATGATCACCTAGCATACTGTCTTTTCAAATGTTAAATGCTACAGATAACAGCCAACATTAACCATACTCCGAATACATAGAGATCAATAAGTCCACTGATTTCAAGGGTCTGCTCCAAGTATGACTACAGCTTGGCATCACCCTATGGCTGCAACCCAATATAAATATATTGGGTTGTAAGTCCCATTCAACTCAACAGGATTTACATTTGAGTAGTTGTGCAGGATTGTGCTGCAAATCAGTTTACCGCTGCAGAAAGCTTTGTAAGCAAAAGCGGATTACAACAATTAGGGTAAAAGTTTAACTCTCTGGTGCTTATCAAGCTTTAATTAGTACAAATCAGTTAAATTTACAGGGCCACAGGACTCTTGCTGCTGCTGGAATAGAATGCAGTTAATCTGCTGAAATCCGTCTCAAATCCAGGTTAGTTTAAAGGTAACTGATCAAACTTTCCGGAACTGGTGTTGTTTGCTCAGAGTCAACGGTTCATGCTCTTCAAGTTCCACTGTATAACTGTACCGAGCATCAATAATGAACATTGGTTTCATATGTATACTAGTGCATAAAACAGAAAACACAATGAACAGTAAAGAAAGTATCTCATATTTTCCATAAAACATTAAAGATAGTGTGAGAACAGCCACCTACAATTTGATATGTACTTTTGATAAGAATAAGTTTTATCTGAAATTCAAATGAATTTCAAACACTTCAAGCTCAGTTGGTACAGCAGGATACTCTTAACTTCAGGGTTGTGGATTTGAGCCCCACACTGAGCGAAAGATTCCTGTATTGCAGGTGGTTGGACTAGCAGGTTTCCTCAAACTCGGCCCTCCAGATGTTTTTGGCTTACAACTCCCATGATCCCTACCTTGCAGGACCAGTGGTCAGGAATAATGGGAATTGTAGTCTCAAAACAACTGGAGGTCCGAGTTTGAGGAAGCCTGGACTAGATGCTCCTTGTGGTCCCTTCCAACTTTATGATTCTATGATTCTATGAATACTGCTCAGTTCTAAGCTTATACCACAACTGTTTAGAACTCTTTACTGTGCTGAATTAAGATAGCATGACATAATTATGTCACTGTCAATAAAGAAAGAATGCAAAATGTCTTTTTCTATTCTTTGTATTATTATTATTTTAAAAGGCTACCAAGATGGGTTCTGTCTAAAGCTTGCAAAATTATCTTTGTTCAATATTGTGGTGTGTGTTTTGATTTATTTATTTTTTTAAAAGTATTTCTGTGTTAGCACACTAAGTTTTATGGAGCTGCATTTTGAGGGGGAGGGGACAGAATTTAATATGAAGCATTTCTTTACTTACACAATATACAGTGAGGAATGTCTCACTTGGCCAAAATCCACTCAACACACTGCTACTACCCAGTTTGCCATAATGTCTTTGGAAGGACAGAATCAACTTTTGTCTTGGACAATACAAGACTACACCTAGCTCTTCATGAATTTGATGATGCCACTACAGTTCATATAATATAACAAGACACATAGGAACAAAGTTTCCTATAGACTCTGATTTGTTTCTCAGAAGACAAAACTAAAACTAAGAATTACAAGATTAGATGAGATACCTTATGAGCATATTCTACTTTAGATATACAGTTGTACCTTGGTTCTCAAACAGAATTTGTTCCGGAAGTCCATTCGCCTTTCGAAAACGTTTGAAAACCAAGGGGCAGCTTCCGACTGGCTGCAGGAGCTGCCTGCACTCAATCGGAAGCCGCGGAAGCTGCGTTGGACGTTCGGCTTCCAAAAAACGTTTGCAAAGCGGAACACTCACCAAAACATTCGAGTCATAAGGCGTTCGAAAACCAAGGTATGACTGTACTGTAACAGTGCTATAAAAGACAGTGATCCCATTACCACTGGCTACACATGGGCAGAGAAGCTGATGGGGATCCCCCTAATAATAATAATAATAATAATAATAATGCAGCTTCTTCCCTGGGGCTGCTCCTAGAGATGTTTGAGTCACATATTAATTTGCCTTTTTATATAGGTGTTTTTATGTTAGTTAGGGATCAATGGAAGTTCTTCACTTAGTACAAGTGGAGGCCCCCCCCCAAAAAAAGATGTAGCTCAATCTCTTATGTTCCTTATCATTCATATTTAATATAATGTATCACATTTGGATACATTCTGTTCTTGTTTCATAGCATTAGGCAAGAACCATGAAGAGACTTCCCAACCAATCAGAAGAAAGCTTTTCAATCTGAGCCAACCAGTTGCATGTTACTTGATGCTCTTTTCTGAGGCTGAGGTACTTTTTCTTCCATTTGCAAGCACAAGATTAAAGCAGCCACAAGCATAAGCCTTTCTTCTTTTCTATGTCTAGCCAGCCAGCCTACCAGTCTTTGTAATCAGCAATGTATCTGTAGTGGGTTTAGGGGTTGCTCGTGCATAAGTTGCCGCCACTCCTGGCTAGGTTACCTGGTTAACCCTTTCTGACTGAACAGCCTCCAGCATCGTGACTGTCTCAGTCGCTGGCAGTGGGCGTTTCTTAAACATCTTCCAGCACAAAAATTCCTTGACGCCAAGTCTCCTCCTACTCTCCCTGCGCGGAAGTCTTCTGCGCAGGGAGGGTGTGGGCAGTGGAGTACCCGTACTCTCTCCGCTGGTCTCCGGCGAGGAGTCTTGGAGCCTCCTCCCGATTCCCCCATCTGCCCCCCTTCTCTACTGGTGTTACGCTGATTTCCTTCCCCAGCAGACGGGCTCCCTCTCTCCCTACTGGGACCCTCTCCGCCATCCCTTTGGAGCCTTCCCTCCGCTTCCAGCTCCGATGGCAGTTCCCTGACAGTATCTATGTGAGTTCATTGTTTAATTTCTACATTCATCATTGCCACACACATGCACACCCAAACACACATTTCAATGAGAGTGGTGGCAAACTATCCCAAAAACACGTTTGACTGGTGGGAAGGAGGACAGGGAACCTGGTTTATTCATGGGCAAGACTGGGCCCTTTTTTATTGTTAGGGAGAACGGGAGGGGAAAGAGTTTCCTGGTGGCATGTTTGGCTGACATCATAAGCATGGAGTGGGGGAAGAAAATCTGGTTTCCTTCATTGGCTTAACCAGGCCTTTTTATTTATATTCTCTTCACAATCAAAACCAACCACCTTTACAAAATGTTAACAGTTAAAGTCTTGTTTTGCTACTAAAAAGTGGTGAGGAGGGGTGCCTACTTTTGGGTTGTAGATATGCTTAAAAATAAGACTTTGTTTCAGTCCTCTCCACTCCACAAGAGCAACTCAAGGAAATGCTAATGTCCATACTTTCATGATTGATAAAAAGGTGTGCAAAACACAGAGCAGAGTATCTTTACCTTGCCAAGCAAGGCTGATGTTCATAATTACTGTCTCACAGTGACCTTCTTTTATTGAAGAGATGTGTTCCATCTCATCTATGCATGCATAAAGAAAACCTCCACACACACAAGTTAACTTGGAATTAGTACACTTCCATATAATACACACAATAGATCAACAACTATGAGTCCATGCTTTAAGAGTCTGTTCCACTCCAACCTGTCCTTGTCCCAACTGCAACACACTTGCTTCTTCTCTCCTAAATTCATTAGCTTAATTTCCTGTTTATTCAGTTCTGCTTCCTCCACCTATGTTGAAGAGTACTGATGATCCCCATATCACTGCACCCTACCCCAGAGGCTTCCATGCCTCATCACCTCACTCAGTCTGCTGTTTTACTTGCACAATGTCTCCTGCTGTGATAGCTACTGCGATGTTACAAGTTTCCACCATATCCTTTTGTAACTTTTCATTAGATATCTGAACAGGAAGCACTGTTCATTAACTAAACCGAATGGAATTAATTGGGAAACATAGAGATGACTGCACTGACTTTGGGGCTAACAGTTCCATTCCTCAATTTCAGCAAGACATAGAACCACCACTCCCTGCCCTCTCCCCTCAAAAAAGAACTGTCACATAGATCTTTCTGCATACCTTCTATTCTGCAGACCAAAATATTTCATACCCAGAACCAAGTTTATCTAATGAAACAGTAAGCTTCAATATGGCTCAATACATTTTTTCCCCCAATCAAATGTCATTCAACTTTTTCAACATAAAATACAATAAAAAGCACACTATAAAGAACACTATACTCAGCAGCAAATTGCACAGTTGGAATTGCATACTACCATTTACCTCTTGGCCATATAGATCCTTACATCTTAAATTTAATCCAATGCTGGACTTACTGGAGAAAAAAAATCAATTATTATGTGCAAAGCAGTCTGCTTGGGAGATTCTGCTACTTCCACAAGCTAAACAACTTCCAAAAATAAAAAAAGTAAGTCAGCATCTACTGTTCTTTATTGCCAACAAGCTGTTGCATCTTCTCTTATTACCAGTGCAGCAAGAACATTATACTATGTTCTTCTTTACTCAGGTACATGGCTTTCAAGGAAATATACATATAGACACACACACACACACACACACATATTTATTGCCCTTGCTACTATATTCAATGCTCAGATTTTTTCAAAGAAATGCTTCAGCATCCAACAAGAAAATACACTTTGCTATAAACAGAACTCACCCGATCTGCTGATGCAACCTCTTCACCAGCTAGACAGATAGGAGAGGCCATCTCCAGCACAGACATATTAGTAGGGGCATCAGTAGTTGATGAGGATCTGGGCCGGCCTGAATGAATATCCTGGAGCGACTTCCTGTTGATTTGGGGGCTTCCCTTTGGAGGCTCTGCCTTGCCCCGTCTGCTATGCAAGCTTGTTCCTCTCTTCATTTTAGGTGGCACTCTGATTTGTTGGAGAACTCTGTTCAGAGCTGTGGGGTGGGTAGAGACACCATCAATTTCAGCACATGTGCTTTGATTTTCCAATTCCGTTTCAAGCTCCAAATCAACCTGAGCTTGCTGAACATCATGGGGAGACACTGAGGACCTCCTACGTTGATGCTGGAAGAGATGCTTCAACCCTTGACCAATCACATTAATATTCTCCAAGGCATTGTGGGTAATTTTGGATAGCTTTTGCTCCGATTCATGTTGCCTTTTGGTCTCTGGATCTTGAGACTTTCCTCCAAGGTCAGGATCATCATAGAGTTGTTCACTACCAGAAGGCTCCATCAGATGACACCAAGCAAGTTTATTTGACAAGTCAGACACAGATGTTCTGTGCCCTTAAAATTTGTTTTTGCTTAAAAATGCCAAGATTGTCAGCCAATAAAGTGTGCAATTGCTTCAAGAGTGAATACACATGCAGCTGTGCCACGGTGGTCTCATGCTTATCTACTGTTAAAACAAAAAAACTAGGGTTACACATCATGCACAGATTAAGGTTATTCACATTGAAAAAACATGCAGCTAGTTTACTCTCTTCTCAATCCTAAACTTTTCAAGCATTTTTTTTTACCATGGGGATTAAGTGCATTTCCACTGCAGGTGGAACACAAAGCTTATGAAAAAATATTCCAAAACCAAACTGCAAACCAAATGCTATATTAAATATAGAAACTATACCTCCCTACCAGCAGAACTGGTATACTGGAAGGCAAGGAAGATTTTGTCAGAGCCGTAACAAGCATACCCCAATTTTAATATGCGTTGTGCTACATGAGGCTGGATTTGGCAGCTTATCACCATGGTATTAAGGAAAGGCAATGTAACTCAACACATTGCTCTATATTTCTAATAAATTTTATGTTATTACAAACTAAAAATATGGAAAAAAGCAAAATAACTTCTTTCAGGCAAGGACCAGAAGCAGGGACCAGATTCCACATTGCCAGCGCTAAAATATTTTGTAGGTACCAAAGGCCATTAGCAAAGGCTCTCTCAGGAATCTCAAATGTCTAAAATGACTGGTTGTTGTAGACGTGGGCAGCAGAATGGCAGCAGCATTAAAAGTGGGTCTTGTTCAGACTCACAGGAACACATAATAATAATTTATTATTTATACCCCGCCCATCTGGCTGGGTTTCCCCAGCCACTCTGGGCAGCTTCCAACAAAATATTAAATAACACAACCTGCTCCTTCAGGTATATTGCTTTGGGTAAGTGGAAAAGGCAAACAGCTATAATTATGTCACACTACAGGCAGGTAGCTGAGGAAGTAAGCAAGTGAACTCAAAGCAACTTGAATATTAAGAAAGGGAGCATTAATAAAGTTAACAATAACTGAACAGCCTTGTAATACGCTTGTTGTGATTAAGTGCGAATCACATGCATAAGCTGTGTAAGATGATAAAATGGACCATACAAATGAAGCTCAGTCTTGGCAGATCCTGCATGAATTTTGAAAGAAGTTGATAGAGATATATGATGTTTAGACTGGAGAAAACATCCAAGAGAACATATTAAGAGCCATTATGATGATCAGGACACATCTTGGATCCGGTTTGGAAGTCTGTTTTGCCAGTTCTAATACTTGAACCCATGACCCTGGGATTAAGAGTTTAATGCTCTACCAATTGAGATATCCTGCAAAAGCAAGCAAATATTGTCTTTACAAAAACTCTAGCACCTTTGCTACCCTTCTCAGACACTGCACAATATAGTGACCTACTGGAAATAAAGCCATCCCAAATTCTACCATTGTGATGTAACATGTTGCAAGTTCTGTTAATAGACTGAAAATTGGGCTACCACTATTTTACCCAACAAAAAATAAGCAGGGGCATCGTACACATTTGAAAACTTAAAGATACAACAAATGCCTCCAATATTAATTCCCACCATTAGTTTATATAAATATATACTATCCTATTGATGTGTAGTAGTATATTTCTGTGACGTATATAGCTAGGAATAAGGCAGCAGTTCTTATGGCCTGCTTTATATGCTTTTCTATGGTAACAGTTTAAATCACAATAATCTTATTTCTCCACGGACAAAAGACAAATTATGGCATAATAAGAAGTTATGCACAAGTGTCAGGAATCCACATGCAACAGCACCATTCCTCCTTTCAGGTGAGTAAGCAAACAGGCCAGAAAGTATTTAATGGGACGTCCAAACTGGAAAATATGGGTATTGGCATCCAAACAAGTCAGGATATGAAACCATAGTTTGAAGTCGGCTTTTGCATCCTGGCTTGTTTGGCATTAACCATTATTTGCTTCCAGTATATTTCCTGACCCAATTTAAAGCTCCCGTTTTAACCTGCAAAGTCCTAAGAACAGGTTACTTGAAAAGATCACGTCCTCCTTTGTATGCCTACCTGCACCTTAAAATTCTCTTCAGAAACCCTTCCCTAGGTGCCTCCACCAATGAAATGAGGCAGAGGGTAACTAAGGAGATGTGGTTTTTTAGTAGTGGCATACCAGCTATGAAACAGACTTCACAGAGAGCCACGCCTGACACCTTCTTTATCTTTTTTCAGTGCATTTTAAATTGAGGCTGTACAGTAAATTATTCTCTGCCTCTGCACAATGAAGCTTTGTGCAGTATTATTATTGGATATTACCTATTACTGTAAATTGTGTTTGATGTTTTTATTTATTTATAAAAACATTTATATACAACTGTGTCATGAAAATATATCACAGTGGTTTACAACATTATAAAAACATAAAACCACACAATAAAAGCATAAAAAGTTAAAAACCAACATCAACAGACCATTGTGGGGAATATACTCTTAATTGCCTGCATAGGCCTGGTGGAATAGAAAAGTTTTAAGCATGTGTTTAAAAGTTGGCACAGAAGGAGCCCACTGTACCTCTCTATTGACAGGGTGTTCCACAGGTGCATGCACACAAAAGCTCATACCAATAACAAACTTAGTTGGTCTCTAAGGTGCTACTGGAAGGAATTTTTTTATTTTGTTTCGACTATGGCAGACCAACACGGCTACCTACCTGTAACTAGAATATAAGGGTTCAGGGTGATCCTTGGGGTATCCTGGAACCAAATTGTTGAAAGCCACCATGGGAATATTTACTGACGGGCTGTTATATAAATCTAATAAACAACTAGTTCTCATATACAACATACAACAGGATGTCATGGTTAGCTGCAGCTTCCTGACTTGTTTCGCTGCTTATCCAAAGGGAGGAGCAAAGCAGCTGTGAGTGAAGCTCATGCATATCTTGCCTTATAAAGCCAATATTTGATAATCTGAATGTGACCACAGTCATGTGATACAGAGAAAGAAAAATGATTCCAGATACAGAATTTCATTCCATTTATTTGGATAGAAATGACCTCCAATTCTTAAAAGGAAGATTTTCTATAAAATTCACAACTCCAAGCTAGATACGCCTAGTACCCCCGCAAGCCCCCAATCCATTATAAGGTGGATACAATAGGATGAGTAACTGCACAGAAACTCAGATTTGTTGCAATTAAAGTGGATCACACACATGCATTAAGGTTAAACTATATCATACACCTGAAACATTCAAAGAATGGGATTACAGACCTATTCCTATGGCATACCATCGTAAACACTCTCTACAGGCTCACTCCAATTTGTGGAATTAGCCATCAAGCTACCCAGGGGAACTGCATTATCTATGGAGAATGCCAGAGGTAGAATTTTTAGTAATAACAAAAAAAGTTCAAAACCCTGTTGAGTCACATTACTTCAGGCTGAACAGACTCCTCAAAATCTCATTTTTTAAAAACAGGCAGATTTTGTCCCCCATGATTCTGGGGAAATGTTTTGATCTGATAAACATTTGCTAATGAGAATGGACTACAGATAGGCCAAAGATAACCTAGATGAATATTTTATTGACTTGGTGGTAATCATATATGCATGGTGTGACTGACTGTTATACTGTAGCTAAAGACCTCCCTGTAGTACCACAGATTAGAGTTTTGTGAAATTCCATCCTGCTAGAGAAGACTGCATAGATTCTGCAGCTAATCCAACAGCCCTTGTCATTCAATGCTTTGCCTATGGGGATCTCACTATGCAGCTATTTCAAGAGTCACTACATGTTGTCAGAAAATATACTGCATTTGTGGTTAATGAACCAAGTGGCAACTAAAGCCAATTTTTTCCTATTTCTTTCTACTGTGTGTGGTCAGAACTTTTCTCATGCTCCCAAACATTTGCTGGTTTGCCCCTTACCCTTGAAATTTTCCATAAAAAATATTTCTGTATGTTCACTAAATTGCTTTGAAATATTCTACTATGGCAATGGCCAAGTCTCCAAGTTTATTACATGGACAACTGTCACTGGAACTCATGTACTACCGGTTTTAGGGGGAAAAACAGCAAAAGTGCTACCTAATGCAGAAGATGAAACAAGCTGCAAAACACCATATATACAGTCAGTGGACATACGTATTTGCAAACATTACAGAACTATTCTAGCATCCTCTCAGGTGAGACTTAACATAGCTAGTGCAACTCAGATGCCAAGACACTACTTAAATATAGGGAGGAAAAGGTACTTACCTCCACCACTTATCCTTAAACATGACTGGCTGGTGGGGCTCCTCTGTCAAACAGCAGCTTGGGGGAGAAAAAGACAAAACTTAGAAAAGAAACATACACATCAAGAGAATGTGACTTACTGAGATTATTTTAAGTCCAACACTGTAATAATATGCCCCTAGTTATGGTTGGTCTCAGCATTACTAATAGGCAACAAAGAAGGAGTAGAAAAATGTGGTGACTTCTGTGCACCTGCACATTCTGCTAAACTTCAGCTTACACAGCCATGCCCCTATTCTGTCTCTGCAGACAAAGAACTTGCTGGGAATTTGCCACAGTCAGTGAAAACTCTTGAATATTTGCAAGCTGAACTTTCCACATGCTCAAAGCTATTCAGGGATAGGTTTGCAACAGTGGATTAAGCTTCACTGAAAGGCTTTTCTGCCAAAAATAAATAAGATACCTTTCATTCTTTAATTATTATTTTTTTAATTTTCAGTTTTTACAGAAAAAAACCAAGGTTACATGATAAGACTGCTTCTAAAGCAGTAGGACTTCCCCTTCTCCTACCTAAATCAGCTGCTGTGGGTCCCTCAGAGCAGATTTTATAGGCACATGGGGGGAGACTGGAGAGGAAGCAGGCCCCATTATGTGAGCACTTCTGCACAGACTTCATTGGAGTCCACACTATAATTTATTATTTTTAGCATTAACAAATACTAGAGCAGGAAAAGAGAATTCAAATCGCAGAGAAGGGTTAAACTTCAAAAATGTTTCATAAAAGCATCAAAAATTGGAAGGCACACAACTATCCCATATACAAATTTTGATCAGCAAGAAGTAATTGAAGCAGCATATGGCAAAGCACTCTTACACAGGGATCTCTAATTCAGATTCTTGCATTTAGGCTTGAATCCTAATTTTCCTCCCATGAATGAAACAAAGTCCACATACATGGAACAAGGATTTCCCATCTTCTGCAGCTCCCTACACCACCTGAAAATGAAAGATTGCTCCTGTTTAGGAGACCCTTGGGAATGGTGCAGAATATGATGTAGGGGGCCTGGAGATGGAAGAATAGGCAGGAATCACTTTTTCCTTTACGTGAATGAACAAGTTAGAATCAAACTCTTTCCAACATCAAAACTTGTGGATGTTTCCATGTATATAAATATTGGGAGATGGGGGATATTTTACAGGCAGATATTGATTTCCAGTGCAAACATACCATGTTGGTGCTTTATTCCCATATTTTGCTCACTGCCATATTTGTGTTGACGATAAACATTTAACTAACTACTGTGGACAGAATAAGTTGCCATTCAGATGATCTGCATAGGAAAACTCTTACCTACTAGAACCAAAATATCAAAATAAGGGTGTGTTGAGGCCAGTGTCCTTGCTGCATTTCAATTTAGTCTTGGCACTAGCTGCTCTGATAACTAATGTTCATTATATCTTGTACACTGTGCATTCTCCTTCCAGATTTGTGGGATCCTTAATGTAACACTGGCACACACCACATGCAATTGATATGTTGGGGAGGAGGGAGAGACACAGATGTAGCCAGAAGTTAAGTAACCAGAAGTTAGCAAGCTACTTCTTAAGTGGTGAATGGACATATGAGTACAACAGAACAAAGTGAGCATTTAACATTTATTTTGATAGAATCATAGAAGTGTAGAGTTGGAAGGGACCACGAGGATCATTCTAGCCCAACTTGCTGCAGTGCAGGAATCTTTCACCCTATGTGGGGCTCGAACCCACGACCCTGGGAATAAGAGTCTCATATTCTACTGAGCGAGCTATCCCTCAGTTTGAGTAGAGACCAAGGTAGAAAGGAAAGCATCAAACTGCACATACAGTATAGATTTATAATTTGGCCTATTCTAGTTCTCTGTGCCATGTATTGAATTACTCACAACTGGACAAGTTTCTAAACTGCTTAAATTTTAAAATGTCCAAATCCCAGCTCCTTAATATGACATTCTAATTGTTGCAGTTAAAATTATTCCAAGAGGAGGATACAAGGACGAACAAAGCAATTTGACATATTATGCCATGTTGGTCCCACAGAATACAAATCATACTGATCATCCATACAGTAGATACACAGCTGCCCTAAACAACATCTGGGAAAACAACTGATAGGCAGCTTGAATTTATTTCTATCATATGAGGTAGAATAGTGCAGTTTGTGAACTACACCTGGGTAGCAGCCCAGCCAAGAAGATGGTTCACCACTGTTATCACTATTTTTTCGATTTGGGTCTGTATTTTATTTTATTTATAAATGGAGAAATGGGGGCGCAAAAGAACAGACAAGATAAGAAAGGAGAAAATGGAATATATATTGTGAAATATTGAGTGGCTCTGAAATTGTAGTTGAGCCCCAGATCCCCCAAAATTTGTGAAGTGTTGCACTACTGCATGCTGGAAAAGCTGGAAAGGCAGCACCCTGCAGAGCAGATAAGTTATTTTAGAATGCAAGTAGCACACAAAGAAGCTGTACTGTATTTCCTACAACGCACATCCTTATCCCAAGCTAGTCATAGCCTCTTCAAAATGTAACCAAATATGATGTCCAGTAGGTGAAACACAGCTTGTGGGTGGTAAAATGCTTTTTCCCAAAACACAAAGTGGAAATGCAGGCTGCTGTGAGAATGTCAAAGACACTTGTGGCTTTGGAACGATCTTGAAAATCCTAATGCTGAGATTAGCAGAATAATGCCTTATAACTTTTCAAAATAAAGTTACCACAGAAGAATTACAGGCAAGCTGCCTATACGATTTTCCCACCTGCACCCCCATTCCTCCAACTGGCTAATGCCACTGAACCCTGCAGAGAGGGGGGAAAGAGGAACCCTGCATACTTATGCAACTCCTGGAAAACAGATTCCTCTGGTTGTGTCACTCAGGTGCTGCCACTTTGGTATTCTGGCCAGAGGCAGCGAGAACGTCAGCAAGAATTGTAAAATTCAAAAGCTAGAAGCTACACTTATTTCAGTTAGTGTTCAAATACTTGGTCAAGTTCATTTATCATTTTTCTGTTCTTTCTCCCCTCTGTGTGTGCATGCATGCACGCACGCACCCACCCACACAGAAAACTATGTCTGAAAAGATATAGAGATACATGCAAATGAAGTTGATGCCTAGGAGATACGTACTGGTTTATAAAAATCATGAAGATAGCATATAGGCAGGCTAACTACTTGTTTCAGAGTAACGCTGTTCTGTTCATGTGTTCCCTTGAGAATAGTTGGCTCCAGTCTTCTTATAAAAAAAACATTGATCAATACTCTATTTTAGAGCAATTTCCTACCTGTGATGTGGAAGAAAGATAGCATTGACATACGCAGCCATGAGGCAGTTAGCAAACCATTTCAACCATAACTCAAAAGCAGAAATGTGGTCTGATTAATTTTACTGTATATAGATGAGAGACAACAGTTTTTGCATCCAGCAGTACAAAACAGGTGATGGCTAAAGAAACTATGCCAACTACAGGACCCTGGCTTTTTGATCACAGTAAGGCATTTGGAAGTCACAAGAACTTGCAACTGGTAAAGAAAGAATCAATAAATCTGATGTCCACCTTTCATAACCAGTACCTAGCATAGGAATCTTAACAACAGCCTTTCTGAAGAAAACTTTTATTCCATTCAGAATTACAGTTGGCACACATAAAAAAATTAATCTAAGTTTACTCAGCAGATTTTATGTCACTTAAAGAACTGGAGCAAGCACTATTTGAAGTTTAAGGAACGTGTAAAAAACAAAATATCTGCCCCCAAAATAAATTTCTCAGTAAGGTATGTACTCCTTTTTCATACTTCTGATATAGCATCCTATATCAGGCTATGATAAATATTGTTTAAATATACCTTTTTAGTTGAACCAAGTGCATTGTTAAGGTAAGATGACAAACATTCAAGTTATACAGGACACACACATGCTGTATAAGTGTACATATACTGCAAGTTGCTTATCACTGTTTCACATCTGGTTTAGGTATCAATCCTGATTGACAATAAGTCAGCTAAGGAACAGGAAGTATATACCTGTACCAAACTTAAGAGTTCTTAAGCAGTTTTCAAATTCTTATAACACATCCTTATGTTTAGATCTGCTTTAAAGCAAGCCTACCAGTAAAATTAGAGGATAACTCATGTATACAGCTCCAATAAGTTATGAGCTGCATAAGGAAGACTTAAAAAAAAAAATGCTCCTCACCATGTCAATGGGTCTGGTAGGTTTTGGCCAATCAGACAATCCTAGGAGTGTCTTCCTAACACTGGAACTTCAGAGGGGGAGTACAATCTATGTCCCGTCCTCAAACACTGATATATGGTTGTCTCTGCACCAACCAGGCAGTTGGTCTCCCAACCTCCTAGGATGGTGTTTTACAAATTGCATCATTATTACCAGCTGAATTTTGCTTCCTTCCATTCTTAATGCATTTGATGCATCACTCCTTCTAATGCAGAACTTACTGTGCATTACTCCATCCAATAGCAAACGGAGGTGGCAAGTGCCTAAAGAACTGGATCGAAGATGGGGACATTGAAAAATAAGAGGTTCTCAGTGTGCTTGGGAGAACCCAGAGATTTACAAAACTACCTTGCTTTAGCAGAACTGATAGTTATAGGGGACCAGCAGGCTCATGGAAGAAGGATGGATTGCTCTGCCCCTCCTCCACCATTCTCTTACCTTCCATGCAGAGGAAGGAAAGCTTACCAACACATAATCTCTGTAACAGAAGTACAAATTAATCAAGGGGTTTTTGGGGGGGGGGGGGGTCAGTCATTTTTAGAATCAATCCAAATGCTGTTCTTCACCTCCCCCTTGAATCACCAGCATAGCAGAGTAAGCAAAATATCAAGTATCCAGGTCAGTTAGCCAAGAAATATCCTGAGTTCATATTCTTTATGTACTTCCAAATATATTCGATAAGGTCAAGTGGGCAACAGTAGATGTATCACTGCACTAATCTTCCATGAAGCTTTCAAATGGTTTTGACACCAAAGAGTATGCCTACTGAACATTTTAAGTTCAAAATGTCAGTAGAGTGGACCTGATGGCAATTATTACTTTTTGTGACAGCTTCATGTTAAAAAGTGAGCTGACTATCTTCCCAGTTTCTAGGTAGTCAAGTCATCCCAAAAAATGTCTCCAAGCTCCTATCATGTTGCTATCTCATATCACTTTGCATAGCCCTACAAATAAGCAGTGGTTTAATTCCCCACCCACCTTAAAGCAGTATCTTCTAACATTTTAGAAAGGAACTCTGCCTCAAATTTAGGGCCATAATCCAAGCAGCAAAAACCAATTTTACCAAAGCTCAATCTCTGCTTAAGTACAGTGGTACCTCGGTTTACAAACAGTCCTGTTTACGAAATATTTGGTTTACAAACTCCACAAAACCATAAGTAGTGTTCCGGTTTGCGAACTTTACCTTGGTCTACAAACGGAAGCAGGGCACCAGCGGTGGGAAAGCACACCTCGGTTTAAGAACGGACTTCAGGAACGCATTACAGTATTTTTTCGTGTATAAGATTAGGGTTTTTTCCTAAATGTAAAAATGTCAAAAATTAGGGGGCGTCTTATACTCTGGGCCATCTCCCCCCATGTTCTTAAATCTGAGACCCCAAAAATAGGGGCGTCTTATACATGGGAGCGTCTTATAGACAGAAAAATACTGTAAGTTCATAAACCAAGGTACCACTGTAGGTCATGTTGTTGTTGTTGCTCTTCAGGAAGATGTTGCAACTTTTTAAAAGTTACCTTGCATATTTAAAATCTTGATAGATTAACAGGTTTAAGTTCTAAAAGGGTATTTAAGATTCTGTGGGATAAATTGCTTTCAACATCCTCCTGCACTTCTGGTTTCCACAGGTCAACAAATTTGGGGTGACAATGAGTGCCAAGTAAAAAGGTCTGCTGTCACCAGGACCTGCCAGTTCTCCAAAAGGTAGGGTCTTCTCCCCAACCCCATGCTCTGTCTTTAAAAAAAAAACTGAGGTTGGAGACAATACAATTTTCTTCAGCTCACAGCTAGCAAGAGGCTGTGTGCCATCTTCTGCTGCCTCTTTGCCTGCCAGGTGGTTGAAAGCAAGCTTTCACTCATGTTTAGAGCAGCCGGAGGATCAGGGATCATCCTTCTCCAGTATCATGTGCCCAATAATCTTGGTCACCGGGGCCTAACTGGCTCTTGCCATGGCAGGGTGAGAAGAAAAGATCATCTAAATCCTGCTCTTTATGTTTTTAGTTTGCAGTCAACTATTTATAACACAATGCTCAGCAACTAAAGTTACTCTTACATAGTGAAAAGTCAGCCCTGCACAGATAAGAAAACAGACCAACTGAGATCTGTCAAAGCAAGAGATTTATAGTGTAAGGATTGTCAAATGTCATAGGGGGCACACACATATTAATTTCAGCGTTCTTAGCATACTTCAAGATATGGTACAAAAAAGGGAGGTGTGAGGAGGTCAAGGAAATAAGTAAATGAAAGATAAGTTATGGGAGGATTCATTGTATTTTTTTTCTTTTTTCTTTTTTCTTATTGTGATGTGATGTTTTGTATTTCTTTAATATGCTGTTTTTTATTTTTTTATTTTTGTAACTCTTTAAAATTCAATAAATATTATTTTTTTTAAAAAAACAACAAGATATGGTAGAACAAGGTAAAACAACTCATAGAAATCACTTTGGGCGTGGCATTCTTCCAAAGAATCTTAGCCTGAACCTTGCAGATCTGTGCTGCTATCTAGCTGTGGACAAGTTAGCTCTGTACTGAGCTTTCAAAAGTAGTTCATGTAGTGCTCCAAGAATTATCTCTTCTGTGCACTGCATGCTCAACAGTAATTGTAGACTGGTACCACATGCATGATTCAAGGTGCAGCGCAGATGCTGTAGTGCTGTGACTTGGACCTCTTTCCACGTTTTCTACATGCATACATTGCATGTCCATCTTAAAATACGGTGTAATTTCACATTAATGTTAACTGCTTGCTCTTAAACATCTGCTCTCATACATTTTTGGTGTATGTTCCGATTGACTGTCAGATTCATTCCATAACCCTGTATCAGGAAACTTTTAATGTCTAATGTTTTACAATTTTTTATGTGCTGTAAGCTGCCCAAAGTGGCTGGGGAAACCCAGCCAGATGGGTGGGGTATAAATTATTATTATTATTATTATTATTATTATTATTAGGCATCTATCTGGCTTTGCATGTATCTGAATACAGATCTCACACTTACAGAATCTCTAAATATACCAACGCAGAGAATAACATTTCTGGGTATTTAATTCATACTACTAAGCATCATGGGCAAGATATACGAAAGACTACAGGCAAGAATTTCAATGCCATCACTTCTCCTAACACACAGCCATATATCATGGCATAGAAAATGTTCTGTACAAATAAAGATTCTGATTCTTGATTTTACACCTCTCATCATTACAATGGATAGCTTCATTTTTTAAAATCTATTTACTTAAACAAAAGTACATTGTGCAGCACCATTGTGCTTTCAGATTTGGCAGAGGGTTAGAAATAATGTCATTATAAAAGCTTTCTTCTTCACTGCAACCAGTAGCTTATTTTAGTTGGGGACAGTGTTGTAGACTGGTGATGTGTGGAGGTTCAGATTCTGAGATTTTGGGGTTTTCTAAAATTAGATCTAGCCACCTTCAGAACAAAAAGTTACAAAGCAAAATGGGCAGAAAGCATTCCAAACAACTGTGTTCTAAGGTTCAGCCTGCTCCCAACTTTCAGCGTTCTTATACAGTGACTAAACACAGAGAGGTAACTGGCAAATACTAGTGAGAAATTTAGATAATTATATACGGTAAAAAACTGAAAAATGGTTTCAAAGTGATTCATGAGCTGGGATTCACTCCATTCAACAGGGAAGGGCTTCATTTTGAAGCATTTTTTGTCTTCCTTGGCACATGTGTCACTCTAGAATTTTCTCTCTCTAAAATTCAGACAATGGAAAAGGGCAGACCTGGTGCATTTTAAGGGACTGCCCAATTCACTCGAAAGCTGCTTTTTTGTCTTCACTGGCAGGAAAAAAACTGTTGCCCCCCAAAATTAACAGGAGAGATCCAGGAGCATAGTGTAGCTGTGAATGGGCTGTAGGATGCCCACTCAAAAGCACAAGTCATGATCTTTGTGACACAGGGTTAATTTTATGCAAAAGATATTTTAACCCGGTAATACAAATACAAATAAAACCCATCATTAACCTATCCATATTCTAAGGGCAAGTGGGGATGCATTGTGATTGAGAAAGTGTGGGTTACATCAGCCCTGAAAAGTAGCCCACTGCTGCTGTACTAACTTTGGGGGACAGAGCTGAGAGTGATCGGCAATACAATGTCTGCTCTTGCCCTCAATGCAGTATTGTTAGCCTACGTTTAACTGACAAAAGTTCAGCAGGAGGTGTGAACACATGTGGCCCGATCCTCCAAATGTTGCTAAATTACAATTCTCATCATCCCTAACCACTGGCCTCTCTTGCTGGGGCTGATGGGAGTTGTAGTTCAGCGGCATCTGGAAGGCCAAAGATTCCCCATCCCTGATCTAGAGTAACATAACCGGAAGTGTGAGTTCTTTCCAAGGTTTAGCGTGCTAGAGCAGTGCAGAAAATCATACTGTTAAGCTTTTTCTATGGAAATAAAATTATGAGGAAAGCTTCACCTGCTGACACTTATTACTACTTTGTAAGTAGTAGTAATACACATCTTATTATCACTTGTGTGTAGCTCCAGGTTTATTTTTGGATCCTTGGACTCACCTGCAGAAGAGGATACAAATGTGCATTTGCTCATTCGCATTCTCCTTTGCCTGTTGCATGGTGGGGCCAATCCACACACAGTGTACTAGGCCCACCTCTGGTGTTAAACGTATCTCATACCCTCAAACCTAAGTTCATCTAACTGTTAAAATAAAGGTAGGACAGAAAATACCTACCAAATGAACTTCAAATGATACCCTCAGCCTTAAGATATAGATCCTACTATCATTCAGCCAAATGATACAGAACCTGAAATAAGTATTCATTAAGGGTTGTAGTCAGGTGATCAAGTAATGCAGCTTATGCGAGAACATTCATTTCCCTACTATATTACACTTGCTGCAATAAATCTTTCATTTGAAGACACGGTTAAAAATAAGTTGCTTCACAAATATAAGCAGACATCACCATTACAGCTGCAGAGCCATTCCAGATAGATTTAAAAAACATATCTTTAAAGATGATTTCACCTACATTCAGCCACAATAAAGCAGTTGTACAAACAGGCATCAAAAGAACCAAAGTAAAAGAAATGAAGGTCTGAAGAGTATATTATTCTGAGAAAACTCAATAGGTAGTGTCAATATTTTAAGGCCTGAAGGCACATTAAAGAAAACTCAGAACAAAATCTACCATCTTACAAACATATATGTTTTCCAGAAGGCATTTTACCTGCTGAGATTATAGATTCTCTCTAGAAAATGGAAATTTATCTGCTGGATCTTTAGACCAGAAGATGGATAGAAAAGTGGTACTTCTGGCATCAGTGCCACAGCCTACCCAGTGCTATTTTGATTCATCATTATCATCAGGGAGTAAACATAAGGGGAGAGAAGAAGAAAGATGTTATAGGAGGAGGAAGTTAATATAAAAGAAGCAGGAATCAAGGATAAGGTAACAAGTTGAGTGTGAAAGAATAGTAAGAAAAGCAATTGACAGGTAAAAATACTTTTGAAAGGCCTGTTGGGGTAGGGAGTAAAAAATGTAAAAGGAAAATTCTGTGACTGACTCTGTCCTTGAACCACTATTTTGTGACTGGTGGGCCTCAGTGATTTTCAGCTGTCTCAAGTGAGCCCTGCACATAGAACATTTGACAATCTATCTTATAATTGTCAGAGAGGCATATGGGAATCACAGGGTTAAATAGCTGGTGGTGACTTGTGGACTCCAATGACTACTTCCCTATTCATGAAGAATCACCATAGCTCTGCAGTGACCTTGGTTCACAGTTGGGGAATAACTGGGTTTTGTGGCAGCTGCTCCTGAGTAATTGATGATGATGATAATTTTTATAATTTGTACCCAGCCCATCTGACTGGGTTGGCCCAACCACACTGGGCAGCTCCCAACAAATATAAAAGCATAATAAAACATCAAACATTAAAAATGTCCCTATACTGTACAGGTCTGTCTTCAGATGACTTCTGAAAGTTGCACAGTTATTTATCTCCTTGACATCTGATGGGAGGGCATTCCACAGGGTGGGTGCCACTACTGAGAAGGTCCTCTGCCTTGTTCCCTGTAACTTCATTCTCACAGTGAATGAAGTTTTGCTGATACAGTGGTACCTTGGGTTAAGTACTTAACTCGTTCTGGAGGTCCATTCCTAACCTGAAACTGTTCTTAACCTGAAGCACCACTTTAGCTAATGGGGCATCCCGTTGCTGCTGTGCCGCCAGAGCATGATTTCTGTTCTCATCCTGAAGCAAAGTTCTTAACCGGAGGTATTATTTCTGGGTCAGCGGAGTCTGTAACCTGAAGCGTATGTAACTTGAAGCGTCTGTAACCTGAGGTACCACTGTATTTTGATGGCTAAAGTGTAAGTCAGGGATGGATAACCACTGTAATTCCATAGTAGGGATAGGATCAGGCATTACTCAGTCACCCCTAACATGCTTTTGTCTGCAGAAAATACATATCTACTGTGCTTCAGAATCTCAAGCTCTAAACAGGCAATACACCACCACCTGCCATGCAAGAAAAGCAGTTGTAAGAATCTATATGTACAGAAAGCCAGAGTTCTTTTAAAAATCTTTTAGAAATGTCTAGCCCAGTTCAAGTGAGGTCAGTTATGCAAGCACCAGAATATCAGAATTGCAATGCTTCAGTGCACATGTGCATATTCAACTAATTTCATCTCCAATGTTCTTTACATTTTAGCTATTTGTTTTTAGCTATTTGTATTTAGATGCAACCATGTGTCATTAAGGGCTTTTGGCACTCCTTCAGAGGAAAGAAATGTTGTCACATTACATTCAATTTACACACCATTTTTTCCCTTCACTGTCCTAGTCTCTGTTCTGCCAGAGAAAAGCAAAACCTAGGCAGGAAAAGAAAGCATTTATATACAACGCTTTCATTATCCAAGTGTTCTGGGCTCTTTAACCAACAGTTGCAGCAACAGCACTACTTTAACCTAGTGTTTAAGTCAAGTGTTACTATTTTAGATATCAGCAAAGAGCACATTTGGTAAGCTATGAGATCTGATCACAAGCATTAAAAAATATTTGCTAAAACACTGTCAGTTGCTTCCTTGCTGTAATGGGATTTCCAAAATTCAAGATTTGTTTTTAAATATAGAGGGTGAAATCCAATGTCACTTGAGTGGCATTCCACTCACACAACTGGACTGCCCCTTTCTCCCAGTGCCCCACACACCTCCATCAGCTAAAGGGAAGAGGAAGGGCAAGGCCAATTACTCACACATGGATGCAATTGGGTAATAAGAGGTCATAAGAACAACCTGGGTATGGGTGATTCCCCGTTTCTTATAAAGATGTGGATCCATCTCAAAGTCAGTCTTAAAGTGTTTCCTTGCACAGGAGTAAGCGCTTGTGCTATGATCAACATCACAAACGCATGCTTAGTCAAGTGAAAACAGAATCTGATGCAGAGGGTGAGGATTACCAGTTACATGACCATTGAGCTTTTGAATTAATTAGTCTACTGTCTCACACAGAAACACATACACACAATCTCACAAAATGTATATACTGCTTGATTGTAAAAAAACAAAACACCTTTAAGCGGTTTACTAAAAACAAAAACAAACCTTAAGATTATCAATAAAAGACTGTTAAAAACAGCTATTTAAAAACATTCACAAGATAATAAAATCAACTAGGGCCACAGGGAGGATATATAGCACTATTACTCACAATCCAAATCCATCCAGTTTTGTCTGATTAACAAAATAGGAGGAACAGCTAAAATGATTAAGGCCTTGTGTTTATCTTGACACTAATTACATAATCATAAGTTCCACAATACTAGTACCAAGAGAAACTTCCTCCCCAGCAAGGGTGCCAACTTGAATAAAATATTGTGGGGGCCCAGTTAAACCCCGCCCCACATAATTGAACACAAGATGCAGTGCACACACACCATTTGAATGGGAATGCCCATCAACTTTGTGGAGGCCCGGCACCCTCAAATATTTTATTGTGGGAGCTGAAGCCCCCACAATCCCTTAGGAGATGGCTCCTATGCTTCCCATGACAAACAACAGATGAGGGGAGCAATTTCATCGTTGTTAAGGCCACACCCATACATTTTGGGTTGTTTAAATACCCTGGTGTATCATTTTTCTCTTTGATCTAGTATATAAAAAAACTGGAAATTAAAAAAGTAACAATAAAACTGTGCATGCATGCACAGATAAAATACCTTTGTGCACACACAGAGCAACAACCCATATACACAGTAAAGTCCTAGTGTGGATGCAGCCTAACACAAGGTTGCTTTACTCAGTGCAAACTATTTCCTTCTAAAGCAGGGGTGGCCAACTCCCAAGAGACTGCGATCTACTAACAGTTAAAAACTGACAGTGATCTACCCCCTTTTTTGGGGTTCAGATCAAAGTTGTTGAGTTTTTTCAGGGAGGAGGCAAAAAGGTTGAGCTTTTTTTAGGGGAGCCACAGTTGTTCAGCTTCTTTGGGGGGAGCCAATGATCAACCAGTGATCTACCGCAGATGTCCAGTGATCTACTGGTAGATCACAATCTACCTGTTGGACATGCCTGTTCTAAAGCAACCAACTCAGTACATCAAATCCAAATCACTGAATGCCACATCACTTTTTCAAAGCTGTCTCCCATGGTAACATTTTCTGTTCCAATTCTTTTAATAGCTTCCCATGCTAGAGACCTATTAAACTTCTAATTCTGCTTGGAAATATTATTACATTTATTTTAAAAGGGGAAAGGTTTGCTTAGGGAGCAAAAAACCAGGAAGCATTAGGGTAACCAATTTAACAGAAGTCACTTTACTCTGGAGCAGCACTTGATGAGGATCTTCTGCTCTCCCCTAGCATGATCACTGGAATCAAAACAAGGGTTTTAAGTATTTACACATCAATGGTACACCTAATGGATTACAAACGCAAGGAACAGTATAGGCTGTTGGTTAGCAAACTATCAAAAGACACTGACAACTGTAGAAGAATCCCTCCCACTCAAGTTTTTCCAATATCTGCAACTGTTCCATAATACATCCCATGATACAAACAGTCTTTCCTTCCACTCAGATGCAATGTGAAATTCTGTTCCTAAGAACACATAAAAAAACCTGCAAGATCAGGCCAATGACCCAGCTAGACTGGCATCCTTTTCTCAGTGCGAAAATCCACATGCAGGACTCAGATTTCCAGCAACTGGTATTCAGAGGCATACTGCCTCTGATAGCGGAGGCAGAGCATAGCCTTGTTCTTAATGAATTTGTCTAAACTCCTTTGAAAGTCGTATTAGTTGGTGACCATCACTGCCTCCTGCAGGAGCGAGTTCTATAATTTAACTACACACACCGCATGAAGTACATTATTTTATCTGTCCTGAATCTTCCAACATTCAACTTCATGGGATGCCCATGAATTCTAGTGTTATGAGAGAAGGACAAAACATTTCTCTATCCAATTTCTTGGTCCTTGCAGTACCTTTCCTGATCTGCAGTACAGACCCAAGTTGAGCATCTAATATTGCATTTTTAAACACGTTCCAAGCATTTTGGAATGAAATGACCCCCTTGACTTTTCAATTTCCTTTTTTCCAACCCCCTCATCTTGTGTTTCCAACAGTAATCATGTTGAATTTTCTTGGCAGCCAGCCATTTACAAGTATGTTTAGTTTAATAGCACTATGGTCACTGCTCCCAACAGCTCTGACTACACTTACACCAGGTCCTGGTCCCATAATCCTAATAATTCTTTAATAATTCACAACAAACCAGAATACAGCTGTGCCAGTATCTTAGTTTTTTGAGTTAACCACTACCCCACTCCTTGGCAACGCTAGAGAGAAAAAGCACCTTCAAATGGTGTTGGAGGCCCTCTTTCCCACACTATTCTACTTAAAGCAACAACAGCAACGAAAAACCAGACCAGCAACTGAAAAATAAACCGGCCCCTGCACAGATGCAATCTCAACCCCGGCCGCCTAAATCTGTTTACTTTTGCGATGGTGGCATGCTGCAAAGCAGAATCTGAAGGCACGGGAGAGGTGGTGGTGGGAGAGGGGAGGAAATCAAAAGGGCCCGTTTAAAACACAATGCACCGCTTTAGCGTGTGTACACATATACAGTATACCCACAACCTTAAAGCAGCAACCAACATCACCAAGAACGAGATCTAACTTTGAGGCTACTGATCACCCCCCATGACTTTCCCCAACCCTGCCTGTCTCTTCCTCCACCCATGGATGCGATTAATTTCGGGGCAGAGGGGATCACTCAGAGAAGGGCGCTCTGGAAGGGGGGGAGAGAGAAGAGGAGGAGGAACAAACAAGCCCCCTCCCCCCGCAAAGAGTTCTGAGGGAACGAGAAGGGGCAGCAGCAGTTAGGGAGGAGGAGGAGGGAGCACGAGAACCGGCCCCAACTGAGGAGAAAGCGGCCTCCGTGGGGGTTGGGGGGTGCATTAAGACCCTACTCGCCCGCGACCCCGTCCCTGAGGGTGGGCGCCGAGAAGGGGGAGCGCAGCTGGGCCCGGGCCGAGGAGGCGGCAAGAGAGGAAAAGCGGAGGGTCGGGAAAAGGAAGACGCTGCTGCTGCTGCTGGAGGGTCGCTTACCGGCTGTGGGAGTCGCGGGAGGCGACGCCCCAACGACTCCTGTGCTGCTCCTGCTGCTGCTGCTGGTGGTGGCGGCGGCTGGTCCTCCATCCCAGCCGGGCTCCCAGCGCCGCCGCCGCCGCCAACTCTTCTTCCCCCCCCTCCTCCCGCCTCCTCACGGCAAAGACAACGACGCCGCGTTATTGCGCAAGCGGGGAAGGAGGAGGAGGCGGGCGCGAGCCACAGAAGCACATAACTCTCGCTCGCTCTCTGACGTCACGCGCGCAGCTCGAGGGGCGGCGCGAGGAGCCGTTCGAGCGGCTAGCCCCGCCCCCTCCCTCCTCCTGCTGACATTGGAGGAGGAGGGCGGAGGGTTGGAAGGCTGGGGATGCGGTGGAGGGTTGGCGGGGAGGGGGAAAGGGGGCGGGGCTTCCTCGCGCCTCTGCGGCGGGTTCGGCCTCTGTGGTTGAAAGCGCGGATGGCGCTTCCTCTTTCCCACGGTTGCCAGGGAGCAGACACACGCTTGGCTGCGCGCCAGAGCCACGTGCTCGGTCCGAAAGAGGGGGGTTTTTTTTCGGGCGGGGGTGTGTGAGATGGTAAGCAGCTTCAGAGGCGCACGCGTTGTTTTTCTTTGCTCTGACATAGAGGCTAAATTGCACGTTCGTTGCCACCTCCTCTCCGTTCATTATTATTTTTTAGGCCATCCATCGCTTAATTTTCATTTTATAACTCAGTGCGCCTTATTTCTGAAAAGGCGTGCATAGGATTGCACTGAAGGCACGCTTAAAAATAATAATCCCGTATTTCATCTCAGAAGCTGAAGGTGACTTACATGGTTCTCCCCATTTTATCATCGCAACAAGATCGTGACTGATCCAATATCACACCGTTGACTGTGGAGTTGAATTCGGTTCTTACTGGTCCTATTCGGATACTGCCATGTTACTGTTGATCTGAAGACAAGGAATCAAAGTTTTGCCTTAAGTCTCTGCTATTGCAATGAACTCTATTGTAATGTATACCCAAAAGCCGAGACAAGCCAATTTAAACACTTTAAGTCTTAGCTTTTACAGAAGGTATTAGATATCTCTCGAGATTCTACACACCAAAGCTAAAAATGGTGGCTTCCATTCATGAATCTGCACCTATAAAGTTTGTTGAGTTAATGTGAAGGGATTCAAGATTCGTTGAGGAAAGTAGACCAGAGGAGGCAGGCCTTTGACCAAAAATATCTCACCCCAAATGCACACACAGGAGCTCATAATACGTTGAATAACATTTTGACATTTTCAAAAGATTGTACGAGTGCATAAAAATCAGCTTGGTATTGCATGCACTTAGGTAACCGGATTTTAAATCAGGCCCAAATATTGAAGCTTGGTTGGCTTTAGAACTGTTGTGGTCAAGGAGAAGGGAAGGGAAGGGGGATATTCCATTCCACAAGCAAAAGAAGCCTCTTGCTGAAGCTTGTCAGATCAGAAAAGTAATCAAGTATCAGAAGAGGAGGGAGACAAATGAACATCGCAGCATGAAGCAAATCTGTCATTCAGCCACAAGAGTCTATGAACCTAATGTTTAGTTAGTCTAAAATTTGGACAACAAGCAACAGTAAATGGAGCACACTGGCCAATTTGTGTGTGTTTAAAGCTCAGAAGAGCTAATACTTCCTAACCATGATCTCTGCAACCAAAAGGTGCATACCTCTTTTGCCCCACATACCTAATTCTCAGTCCCCACCCTGCTCATTTTGTTAGCTACCAAAAGAGACCCTTTCAACTTCTTCACTATGCTGGGAAGCACTGAAAATTAAAGCTTTTTCCCATTGCCAGGGAAAGGGGCAGGCTTTCCCTGGTTCTCATTTGATAACCTCTTCCTAGGGTGGGTAGGAATCCCATCCTCTATTTGGTCCATTTGAAATATGTAAACCGTAAGACAAAAAGACAGGGACCTTTAAATTGACCATCAGCTGTGAGCATCAGGACAGCACACTCAACAGCCACACCCTGGTCAAAGCCTTCCTCAAGATGGCCAGATTGCTGCTATTTTGAATTTTGTATCTATTGACATATGCAAATCTGTGCCCTCCTTTAATGACATGTAAGCAGTCCTATCTGTTCCTCAAGTTTCCTTTCACAGTTTGGTCATGGACAAAGGAAGGATGAGGGGAGAGAGAGAGAGAGAAGAGAGAGAACACACACTGGGGTGTTTTTGCCTTCAGTGTATAGATTCTACATTTCTTGCAATGCTGTTAGTACAACTTACTGTACCTGACATGGGTGTGGTGGGAGTGTGGAAAGTATTAATTGGTACAATTGCACAACATTTCAACTTGTTTCAAGACTATTAAGAAAGCCTAAGCCAGTCTTCTGCTGAGCCTATGATATTTATCCAAAGTGACTGGTCTTGTGTATTTTTAGAATGCTGCACCCCTTTGAGTGGAAACTGATTTGATATGGGGAAAAGAGTGCCCTTGATCCATTTGTCTCATACAATTAGTTTATCAGAAGTGGGGGAGGGAGGGATTGTCTCAGATAAAAGCTGAAGCCATGCTTCTGATGCTGACTCAGTTCATTTGTCCATGTAAATCACAGCTCTGTTCATACCTTATTAATTTTTCCCAAATAGTTACACAATACAGAAACACAAAGCTACTTGACTTCAAGTAACCTTTCAGAAAAAGGAATTGACCTTTTATTTTTAAGCAAAATGCCGAGTCCAATGCATGCAGAACGATACCAGTGTGGTCCATCTAAACGAGCATCCTGCTTTCTTCCCAAAGACGACAGCTAGATGCCTACAGGAGACCCATGAGCAGGACATGAAAGCAACAGCCCTCCGCTGCTGTTGCTTCCCAGCAGCTGATCTCCAGAGGCATTTCAACATGTTTGCCATTAGCATCTTATAATTTGCATCTGAAGCCATGCATGAACATGACCAACCTGGAAACTTGCCAATAGTTTCCCCCCCTTTTCTATTTTTGTCCAATAGCAATAGCTTCCTATTTAAGAATATAAGAACCACCCCACTGGATCAGTCCAGCATCCTGTCCTCACAGTGGCCAACCACAGGCCTCTCAGACGGCCTTCTGGGTCATGTGGCCAGCATGAATAAACTGCTTCTGGCACAACTGAACACTGTGACAGAAGCCATAGCGCACGGAAATACCTTCCCACTGCAGTGGCACCTATTTATCTACTTGCACTGGCGTGCTTTCGAACTGCTAGGTTGGCAAGAGCTGGGACAAAACAACAGGAGCTCACCCCGTCATGGGGATTTGAACCACCAACCTTCCAATCAGCAAGCCCAAGAGGCTCAGTGGTTTAGACCACAGCGCCACCTGCTCCCCATAATTCTATACACCTCTGTTATGTCCTCTCTTACTCCTTCCTCCCTAAACTAAAAAGCCCCAATAGGGGAGTTGCTCCAGCCCATTAATAACTTCCATTACACCATTCTGGATTTTTCAAGCTTTTGGGAGTGTGGAAACCAGAACTGGACACCGTATTCCAAAAGCAGTCACACATATAATGGCATTATGATATTTGCAAGTTTTATTTTCAACCCCTTAACCAATTATTCCTAACATGGAATTTGCCATTTTCCACAGCTGCTGCACACTGGGTCAACATCCACAGCAAGCTATCTGCCATGACCCCAGTACAGTATCTCTTTCCTGGTCAGCCATTGCCAGTTCATATGGGGTTAGGATTTTGTTTTATTATATTTATTTCCCCCCGATGCACATCAGCTGCTTTAAGTTGAATCGCATATGCCATTTTAATTCCTGTTCACCAAGTTTGGTGAGATCCTCACAAGCCCTTTTTGTCTGAACCATACAGAATCTTTTGGTGCCGTCAACAACCTTGGTCTGCTCACCGCGGTTCTCAGCCTGTGGGTCCCCAGATGTTGTTGGACTACAACTCCCATCATCCCTCAGCTCTGGCCTTGCTAGCTAGGGGTGATGGGAGTAGTACAACAACATCTGGGGGCCCACAGGTTGAGAAAGGCTGCTAGATCATCATGATGAGGCTGCCACATCTTTTCCCATACATTCCTGGTTCTCTCCAACTTCCCATAACTAGCAGGACTCCCACTTATTTTGACCAACAGGAAGGGAAAGGAGCCGAGACATACACGCTAGAGAAGGAGAAGCTTACGTTATGCTTCCTCTGTAATTCTAAAGCTACAACATGAGTAGTTGCCATCTGTTTTAAACTGCCCCCTGCTTCTATACCTGTAATAGTAGCTTAATAAACAGATATTAAGGAAGTGAAACTGTTTCCTAGCATGGAGAGAAGTAGCAGAGAAGGCTTCATCTAGAATGATTCTTGATGGCTTAGCAGGGGCAGACTTTGGTCTTTCAAATTTCATCGGCGGCCTGTCTGAGGTTGACCCTCCTCTGCCCACTTGTGGCCGTATGTGGCGATCACACGGGGTCCCTGGACGTTTGCCGGTCTATTGATCCCTGTGCCACCACTGTGATTGCTTCCCCGCTGCCACCAACCCGTTTTGGGTACACACAGAGTCCAGACAGTTGTTAACATTAAATCAAATAAGCGAGTTTATTTTATAAGCATTAACAAGGTTATGGTTTCAGATAATTTTTCTTGTCAGTTTCTTAATCTTAGTTTCTTTACTGACCTATACCTTCCTAATAACTCCTAACTGATTATCCCAACTGTATCTGACTCCTAACAGCTTCTCTCACTCTCTCACAACAAAGCTTGACCAACCCACAGACTTATCCTCCCTCTTCCTTCTCCAACTCCCAACTCTCAACTAACTTCCCAACAACTCCAACTCTAACTCTAACTCCTCCCCTTGGGTTCCCACTGGCCAATCACTTCACACTCATTTAGGAGGGCAAACGCCACATCCTCCTCTTCTCCAGAGGCTTGGGGGGAAGGGTTAAATTCACAGGATCCCTCCCAGTTTTTTTTACTGGAATTGCAGTTGTCTCCTCAATTACTAAGTTGAAGTTAATTGCATCCATTGCCTCTGAGGGATGAGGCCGAGCAGGGTAACACATGTTACAAGATCCTAAGGGCCACTTTTTCTAAGGACTCACAGTTTTAGGAGGAGAGACTAAGGTACAGAGGGAGGAGAGGTATTTAACCCCTCCCCACCCTCTTTTTCCAGTGCAACCATGGCATAATACAGAAAGCTTTAAGTTTTGTAGCAATAAGTCTTGCCTTTTGTTCATATAATAAAGGCGGCTAAAGAACAGAATGCTACCATATATATTATGCCAGAATGTAGCAGGTTATGTAATCCCAAAGACTTGAATTTGAGAAATTTTCCAAACAAGGCACTAAAGATAGCAATAATGAGTCATGCTTATCACCTAATTACATGGAGATCAGCTCATAAAACATGCAATATGTTAATTGGCATGCACCAAGTCATCTTAAGCATACCATGTTTTGTGGATTTGCAGATTCCAAGCGAGATTGCAAAAAGAGACTTTCATTTTGTTCCAGATCAAGTCAGAAGTTGGATGCAACAACTGTTATCGTAAGCTTACTCAGAAGACGATCATGCTGGCCACAAGAAAAAAATTAAGAACGCACATTTTAGATTTCCTTCTAAATTGTTTGGCCAGGTTCATTGTTGCAAATAGCTTTGCCTTTTTTCTAACACGGATTCTGATCTTCAAGAGCCAGATGGGTGGGGTATGTATGTATGTATGTATGTATAAATAAATAAATAAATAAATAAATAGTATTAAAAAGATACACTTGCTCAGCACTATTTGGCATCTGTCTGTTTTGGGAGACAATGGTGGAATGTGCCTTTGGGGGTGAAGTCAAACTGTTGGACGGTTGCAGCACCTGCTGTCTGAAAAGCTATATGAAATTGAACTTTGACTATCATACAGCCATTTAATGGCACAAAACCTCTGTCTCTGTGCTTTTCCTCTAGAAATAAAGGGTGCTGGTACTGTGTACGTTTGAGAACCCACAGAAAATAAGCACTGCTCTGTGTTCAGTTACAGAAGCCTAGAAAAATGTAAAATTGCGGGTGCCTTGTCGTAAACAGAGGTCTCTTAATGTTTAACCAAAATTAGGAGAAAGCCATGTTCCTAAGGACTCCAGTGGATGAACTACCGTTGGCATTTGTCATGACAAGGATTCCAATACGGGGCTACATGTTTTTTATTTTAAAATGGTGCGTTTTAAGAAGAAATGCTTTAACCAAGCTGTACCGTTTAATGGGAAGAGAAAAAATCCAAGGGACACTTAGCAGCCTCGTTACCGTTAGATCAACTTACTGATACTTTTGCAGGAAATGTATAATTGACATCAAGAGCTCAGGAAGTCAAGCAAGTTATTTAGTTTCCACAGAAAGCAGGCATGACAACTGAAGAACAGTCCTACTAATGAGCCAGTTCAGAAGTACTCTGTCATAGATTTAAGTATTATAACCCCAGCATGTTCCCCAGTATAACAGCACTGCAATATGAAAGGTTCAAACTAACCTTACAATTCGAGCAGCCACACCCAGCCACACAATGCAGCTACAGTATTGGGAGCGGTCTCCATTTGAGGCTCAGTCTTAATTATATAGCTTTCCCCATTCAGCATTCTTCCCAGCAAACCAATTAGCTTTCACTAACCTCTTCTAAAGGCTCTTTCTAGAAAAATACTTGCAACCGCCCTCCTTTCTCTAAAATGTTCTCTACTTGTACCACAAAATTACTATAGAAGAAATAAAAAGCCAGATTATCTCTGGAGTTAATTATTATACGCAAAAGGTAAGCTAAGGGTTTAAGGAAATGAGTATAATATTAATGCAAAAAACAACCTTCCCACATATTTCTGCATAATTAGTTGTACAGAAAGAGCTTGTTAACTGCAGCTTTTTGGTATTTATTAATTCACCGCTAGGTACGTGGTTTTGAAATCTTTTATATGGACCAATCCAATGGCCTTCTGCGGAAAGGCCTTTAAACTGTCATGTACACTTACGACTTTGTTTGGACAAATACATCCTCAAAGTGCACACCTGAGCATGGATTTGTGTAAAAAGTTCCTGTTTCATGTGAGATCTTAGTAATCTTAGTAATCTTAGTAATAAAGAACAATTGCCCCACTCTG